TGAAGATTTGAATTTCGACAGTTTCTTTGTATTCAGCTTTTAAATTGTTAAAATTTCGTATTTCTGCACTTCTGCACTATGTATGTGTGTTTAAATCTTCTGGGTGGGCCAAGGTTCTTATTTTTTTCATGAATCTTCCATTGGGGCAGTGAAGATTTGCAGACTTGTTATTTTTTATCTTATTTTCCAAGCAAGGAAGTGATGAACATGGTGGAAAGGTATTGAAATTGAGTTGATCCCAAAAGGTTTGAAATTGATGGTTGAATTGTGTGTTCCCAAAGTTTTGGAATGCTAGCTCATAAAGAGTGTTTCTTGACTGGTGCTTGTAGTCACATCCATTTGATTGATATCTGATACTCATTGGTGGGTTCCCTTCATCTTCTGTTTGTATCTTTGGTAGCTGCAACAAATGACGTTAGTTTAGTGTGCCGCCGGGGTGTTAAGGTTTTAGCTTCGTATACCTTGGAGCATTTTGATAACCATTTCGTTTTTTGTTTTACTTTTAGTTTTCGTTGTTGTGTTAGCGATAGAGGGTAAATACATAGGAGAATTTAGGGATATAGAAGGGTAGAGGAAGTAAGTGGAAGAGATGCATAAGGTAATGTACGGAAAGTTTAATCTAAAGACCAAAAACGAAAAAGTATTTGAAGTTGTTTTCACTTTCAATATGTTGTTTTCATCCATTCTTCTTTATTTGTTCCCTTCTCTTTCACCTCCTACTTTTCCCCCATACTTTCCTCATATCTCAAGGTTTAAAAGGAAACTGAAAATGGTCATCAAAAGGGCCCTTGATGTATGCAGTGCATAGTGACAAGACAATTATCACTTTATTTTATGATTACCATCTCCTTTTATCTGAATGTGATTTGTTCTTTCAGGTGACGGTCATTTTGCATCAGATACATGTATGTTTTAACCTGTTGAGCAAAACTAAGTTAGAACAGTCATGCCAGGAGACAATAGTGTCGGCAGCCCACCAAATCCAAGGTCCCCAATTGCTCGACTTCGGCATCGTAGACGCTCAGCTGAGGTTTGTTAGAATTGGATACTTATATTATTTTCTTTCAGGATAGTGTTGGGCTGTCTACCTTCATTCTGTATGATTTTATATCTAAAAGAATTGTAGGGGACAGTATGACTTTCTCTGGTAGTTTAAATAATGTAGAGCGCACATTCGAGTTTCTCCTATTTTTTTGTTCATTTTTCTTGGTTTTGTAACTGATCATTTGCATGTTTTTTAGTTGTTTCTGCACAATATGTGTTTTTGTTTTGAGCTCTTCTGCAAACCAAAAAAATTAAAATTTTTATGCATGTGCTGTATTAGATGTAGGCATTTTAGATTAAGGCGGTAGTACTTATTCATTTTATTTCCTTTATGGCTGCAGGCTGTCCCCGATGATAGTAAAACAAATGGAGGCAATTTACTGGTTAATGACCGTAATAAATACAGGTCAATGTTGGTACGTGCGTACTCTTCTATTTGGATGATTGGAGGTTTTGCATTGAGTATATATCTGGGTCATCTCTGCATCACTGCTATGGTGATGGTTATCCAAATCTTTATGGCGAAGGAGCTGTTTAATCTACTCAGGAAAGCTCATGAAGATAAGCACCTACCGGGATTCAGGAATCTAAATTGGTCAGAATAGTAGCATTTCATTTTGTCTAGTCTATTTTACTCCACAGAATCAGTTCAGGTGTTATTTAAAGAGTGTTACTGTAATATTTATTCAAGTTCAATTTCTCTGTTCAGGCACTTTTTCTTCACTGCGATGCTGTTTGTTTATGGTCGCATACTCAGTCAACGGCTTGTGAACACTGTCACTTCAGATAAAGTTTTATATCAGCTTGTCAGCAGCCTTATCAAGTATCATATGGTTGTCTGTTATTTCTTGTACATCGCAGGTTTGTTACAAATGATGTGTTCGAGTATAGCCAAATATTTGGTTGAAGTGAAATTGGATTTCATTGTGTTTTGCCTCTTGTTGACCAGCATCGAATACTATATTTGATATGCATAGTGGTTTAATTGGGTGAACATTTGTTTCGTTGGTGTTTTTCCTTTTCCATTTATATATAACTCAGATGATACTGATATTATTCCTTTCCCCATAATTGGGTGCAGGATTTATGTGGTTCATTCTTACATTAAAAAAGAAGATGTACAAGTATCAATTTGGCCAGTATGCGTGGACGCACATGATTCTGTTTATTGTGTTTACCCAGTCCTCTTTCTTTGTAGCGAACATCTTTGAAGGAATTTTCTGGTAATTCAAGTTTCTGTAGGAACAAACTCACATGTTGCCTTTTTTTTGTTTCATTATCTGAGACAAAGACAAAATTGATGCAGGTTTCTTCTTCCAGCTTCACTTATAGTAATCAATGACATTGCTGCTTATATCTGGGGTTTCTTCTTTGGAAAAACCCCTTTGATCAAGATATCTCCAAAGAAAACTTGGGAGGGATTCATTGGAGCGTCAATTACAACTATCATATCAGCATTTTTGGTGAGCTTGCTAATTAATTGGGTGATAGGAGATAGACTTCTCTTGTCTTGCATGAAAGATAAACCATAGTTTCAGTCCGATTGCCCTGATTTCATTATTATAGATCTTATGCTCCAGTAAGATAATTATTTGACTTGAAGGTCCACCATAATTGGTCACGGTACATCTCAACTTATAGAAATATGTGTTTAGAAGTTTTTTTTCTCTGTGACTTGTTAAACCAAATGTTTTCCACTTTGAATGTATCAAGATTACCTCGTACAGCCTATCTTTTTGTTTGCATGCTTCAACCAGATGCACAATGTTCTCAGATGTATACACATTCTGACTATAAGCTCTATGTGCTTGTGAATAAACGATAATGTGTTGACATATTCATTTGAATACAAACATGGTATGTACATTTGTTTATGCAGCTTGCAAACATCATGGGTCGTTTCAAGTGGCTAACGTGTCCGAGAGGGGTAATGATTCTGATGAAATGTTATTCAATTGGTTTAGGAAAGAAATAGCATTTCAGTTGATGTAGCTAATCTCCACTGGTTTCTGTTGATGCACTTGCAGGATTTATCGACTGGTTGGCTTGATTGTGATCCTGGTCCCTTGTTTAAGCCAGAGTATTATACCTTTCCAGAATGGCTCCCACAATGGGTGAGTAAAGTGTCGCCTTTTGATTCTGTAATTACATGACAGCATTCCCGTTTGTGTATTGTACTAAACCATAGATCATGGTAATCCCTAAGAAATTGTGATTTGAATCTTCTGTTTTGGGGATCAGTTAACTTGTTTTCCACTTTTTGATAATGAAGTCATTATTTGGCCAAAGAGTTTTGTGTCAACTGCTCGCAGAACATGCATATTGTATTTGATAAATAGTCTCTACAGTGTTCAATGTTCTTCTTTTTCTTCCGTGCTGAAGCTTCTTATAAAATTCAATCTTAACTGTTCTTTCAGTGGATCAGCAGGCTCCCTCTTAGTATTAACAGTTAGATGATTGTTTTCAGTGACTGCTTCAGTTATGTTATAGCCATGCCTGCAATTAAATAGGCTATTTAAATTTGGATTCTTATAAATTGAGTGAAATATAATCCTTATCTATTTTTTGTTGCAGTTTCCTTGGAAAGGGATCTCAATTTTGCCAGTTCAATGGCATGCGTTATGTCTCGGTTTGTTTGCATCAATAATCGCTCCCTTTGGAGGCTTCTTTGCAAGTGGCTTTAAAAGGGCTTTTAAAGTCAAGGTTTACTTCTGTTGTTGTAATTTGGATTCATGCAATTTTGCATAGTAAGCTTCAGTTGTTCGAAATTATTTTAACATTCTTCCATTTGTCATAGGATTTTGGTGATAGTATCCCTGGACATGGTGGAATCACAGATAGAATGGATTGCCAGGTATGATTTTCCTAAATAATAACGATAATAATTTTTCTGTCGGAGTGCTCTAAATTGTTCTTTAGTACAACGAATGAACTGGTCATACTAATTATTGCTGCTTCCAATTCCCACTTTATTTTGATCTTTTGCTCTAAACGATGGGGTCTTTATGTTTGGCTTCAGCGAATGACTTAGATGACGCGACCCATTTTGTTTTCTTGTAGATGGTGATGGCTATCTTTGCTTATATCTATCATCAGTCTTTCGTTGTGCCTCAGAGCCTCTCAGTTGATATGATCATAGACCAGGTATCCTTTCTACAAGTGTCGTGCGTAATTCTGTTATTGGCTTTGAAATTTTTAATGAACAAGAATTGATAGCGATTGGATTGACTTTTTTCGTTTTGCAATTTAGATTTTGATGAACCTTACGCTTGAGCAGCAGCAAATTCTGTTTGAGAAGCTTAAACAAGTCTTGCAGGATAGGCTGGTTGGTTAATTGTGTGTGAATAACTTGTATTTCGGTCATCTCTTCGCCTCTCCCTTGCATGTTTGTACATGGAATATTTGTAAATGGCGGTGTTCTGTTTTCGGAGAGCAACCCCCATTAGGCTGGAGGCATTCTTGTGCGCAGACCCTGTATATTCTCGTTCTCGTTTCATAGGCATCAACTCTAGATGGACTTACATTTCTCTCTCAATTTCCCTTGCGCTTTCGATGGATAACATGCCCATTGCGAAATTGGGTGATGTAGTAGTGTTCAATTTTTGCTGGCCTTTTGTGACAACATTGTATTTTTATAGTTTGATGGATTCTTGCGTCTAGGATTCATTTAACAGAAGATGTGACACATAATCAAGCGCAACGGCATTCTAGGATTTATATAGCCGACCCCACTTGATGAGAAAATGTTTTTTGGTTGTTGATGGATTCTTGCTTCTTTTACTCGTCTTCCTTTCTAATACATGCGATATTTGATATTTTCGGACAAGGGTTGTTCAGAATCAATGTGCTTGGCGTGTACATACACACGTGCCACGCAACGTGTAGGGGTTCCTACAGTGCCAAAAAAATGCTTGGTGTGGTAGAGACAAGCAACAAATACAACTGAAAATTGCTCCTGCCATGAAATCTCACAATTTTTTCAAAATTTGGTGACAAACAATTGATAGAACCAGAGTTGCACTTCCAGAAATGAAAAACGAAAACAAAATTAAGTCACATCGACCAACGCAACAGAAAAGAGCTTATAGATATGTTACACGTCCTACTTTTACAACGAAAATCAAGACAAGATCCAATCTAAAACAACAAAAACCAACCTTCTTCTCGGTCCAATCTAGAGAGTGAAAGAAAATGATTGTCCGGCTGTCCGGTTGCGTTCCACACCTGCGGAGAAATCTTACTGAAACTATACTCCTGCCTTTTGCTTTCAACCTCTCATTGGGTTTTTGGTTTTTCAATCTTCACATACGGCAAAAACCCCATAAAACGAACAATCCTGGGGGACCATCCTCGTTGCTGAGCCCGGCAAAACATCAAGAAAGTGTTCGCAAAGTAGGAATTGAAACCCATGAACAAATGCCACAAGGCATGACCCTGTGGGTTAATCATCCAACTGGATATCTCTTCGCAGAAGATGTTATCACAGAGCCAACACAAACTGCCAATAACAAGGGTGGCCACATACAGCTTTGCAATCCGCTTAGCGCACACGTCTTGCGTATATATGTAGTACTTATACATTCGAGGTACACAGAGAAGACACAAGATCACATAGTGCACCTTGAAGCCAATCTCAAAACGAACCACAGAATGAACACCAGCGAAAAGAGCACCATAGAGGAAGAGGAAGGTGGGCATTGTACTGCGATAATGCCAATCTGGGGAGTAGAGGATATACATGTAAAGGAGCATCTCCCAAACCATAGGAGTCTCATCGCTCTGTTGTTGCCTGGAATTACATACCAGTAAAGTTTCAGCACTCAACTTTCATTGCAACAATTTAGACAAATAAATTGAATAATATAGTTACTGGACCTGACAAACCGAGTAACTAAAACAACTATTAGGCAGATAATAAGTCCACATACCTCATACCTAATGTGGATTATGCATGTGTTAATGAATGCATATATATGCGGTCATTTCTTACGAGAGTGAACACATCGTTGTCATTAGCTACCCAGACTACCTGTGTTTTGCAACTTCATGACATGTCATATACATTCCTTAAACTGTTAAGGATTAAAGAAATTTACCCTGGTCCATAGAAGACAGCCTTAACCACCAACTAACCAACTCAACTTAAACTTTCCAGAGTGCATGGGCTTTGTTTTCAAAGAAACAAGCTAACAATATTTGCAACTTTCATGTAATTTGTAATCAGATATAGTACTTGTAAAATGTATAATATACTCATAAAAGTCTAATATTGATATTTTTAATGTTTTGAAACACGTCATTCAAATTTTCCTGTTAATCCCTTCTGTCAGCATATAAACTTAACGAGAGTGATACTTACACATGTTGCAATGTGGCATGGTATAACATGCTTCCGATGGCAAGAATCATATTAGATATGTGTAGAATGCCAAATCTCTTCTCGAACCGCTGTCTCAAGGCATTTATAAGGCCAATGAGCGCCAACAGAATGCATGGAATGTTTGATATAGTGTTGTAAAATTCCGCAATATAAGAAGAGTAGGCATAATTCTTCTCACAACACTCAATTGTTGATGTGACAGGACCCCAGAAGCTTGATCTTCCATCAGCCATTCCTATTTCTATGTTTGTATATTCTCAACCGAGTCTTTTACTTCAACCGTTGCAGAGCTCATAAAACCTGCAGATCATGTACCAGCACAAGACAATGTTGTGAGCGATTTGACTTAAAACTTAATGCAAACAGACACCATATCAGTATCGCAAGCGATTTGGCATAAAAATTAATGTAAATAAAACACCACACAATATCGCGAAAATCACGTTCATCAAATTATTTATTTCCATAGAAAGCAAACAATTATGACTATCCTAAAACCAACTAGCATGAATCACGCGCAAAACGCAACTTCTTTTAACTTCATCACTGAACCGAACATAGTAGTAGCACTTCCCTTAAATCGAAACAAAAGTCCCGATATTGATCCATACAACACGATCAAAATCAACCATGACAAATGAAAACCAGCAAATTCCACATATGGGTCATCAAATTTCACCAATAACCCACACTCGAATAAAGGAACTAATCAGATCCCACATACCAAATCATCAACCCAGATTACACCAGCACCATTATCCTAGAAACCACAAGAAATTCGCACAATACAATAAAAGATAATTCACAATAAGATCCAATCTCAACCGTTAAAGCTCACGTAATCTAGCCAAAAAAACTTGAAACCCACCAAAAACCAATAATTTCCCATGACCCATGATCAACGAACGTGCTCAGAAAACTTGAAAACCCCACCAAAAGATCGAACCAAAACAAAAACAAATACCAGATAAACAGTACAATTTTACGCATATTAAAACAAGCATATTACTTCTGCATATTGAGGAACAAAACGCACCGTCTTGGCCGACAGAGATCTCATCTTATTCTCCTTGTGTGCTTTGACGCGGCCACTCTCTGCCTCTCTCTTTCAATGGCGTTCCAGTCTCTGAAATTTTCTTTTCTTTTCGGCGACCGATTCTGCTTGCGAGTTGTGTTTCTTTTCTTCTTTATTCTTTTTTTTTTTTTTTTTTTTTTTTTTTTAACTATTAATTTTAGTGGTTTTGCAATAACCTTTTACTTCTTGCTTGGGCCGGTGCCGACACAAAATGATGGCCCAGACCATATTGTGCTGGGCTTAAATGGGCTTTAGATGTGAAACAAGTCCAATTAATTTTGTTACGTTTTGGGCTGGCAAACTGTGCACAGCATCAACGAGGGATGTAGCTTGATCTTTTTTTTTTTTTTTGATGCAAGGGATATAGCTTGTTAACAATGCAAAGCAACTTTAGCAAGAATGATTTCGACCAGACACAATAGTAACTTGAGTTGTCAAAATGCTGACTTTATGGGCAGTAATGTGAACAAACTAAAACAGTGTGTTCGTTTTTGAAAATTGTGTAAGTGCCAAATTACCAATCACGTCGATATTATATTTTATTTGTATTTTCTCACCTACTAGTACAATGTATACAATGTTTTATAACACAAATTCAGTCTTCGTTCGGAGTAAATATACTACACCTTATTTTGTCAATTATATTTTGGATTTGTGTATTCGTCAAGAACATTAAAGGTGTATTTTGTGATAAATTTTTATTTTCATCGTGAATCATATTGAAAGGATGGGATTAAATACAGAACGTCGTGTTCAAAAATATTATTCTCAACTACTTAAACTACAAAACTCATTTGAACGTACAGTTAAGAGCACTTTACATAAATTTTATTATACAAACTATTACGTAGAGGTACTTGTTAAATGCTCGATCGAATGCTAAGATGAAGTGTGCAGTATCTAATAAGATTATTATTCCTTAAGCATTAACCCTTATTCTGGAAAAAAATTTCGATGTGCTCAGAGACACATGTTAACTGGAGGAAAGTTTTATTTTTCAAGTGTCCAACAACTTGTATAATAACATAGTATATCATTCTGTATTCTTGAGTACATTAAAAAAATCTCCTTCTCTTCATGATATGAAACTATTGATTTAGTTAAAACACTCAGTGATCAATTAATTAGTATATATGGTATAGAAAATGCTAATTAATATATACATGGGGATGAAAAAGAAAGCTCCCCGCAACATATATAAGTTTAGAGTAATGGAGTAGGGCAACATGATCAATCAATGTATGTAGCTGAAAAAGCAGTCGTATACATGATCTTAGACTATCGCAGAGCTGACGGATTGGAATATATTTCTATTTATAGGACCAAATGGAAGTACTCGATGTATGCATGGGAGTTGGGACCATTTTAAGCAGACAATCTTCACTTCAATTGCCCAAAAATAATGATCAAATTGACTGATGGAGATACACACGGCCTCTTAACGTCCAACGAATTTGGATCCTCTTTTTAATGTTTTTTTTTTCTCGACAACGATAGATATTTACATGACATGTTAATTAATTACGATAAGAGGTAACTCAAATAGAATGTGAAATGTCCACAAACTAAATGAGACAATTACAATTATTAAAGTTTCCTTAACACTACAAGAAATACTTCTGTATATAATATATTGTTACTGTAATGACAATACTTCAAACTAATCATGCATATTTATTGAGAAAGTTCAAAGTAAAAGAATTTCCTTATTAAAGGACCAACACGAATGTAGCTTGAACACTATATTACACTTTATCAATCATTCAAATGCATGCATGTCTATTAAAGTTGAAAATTTTACTTGATGTTTAAGTTCGATAAGTACCATATTGCATTCTGAGAACGATATATGTTCTCTTCCAATTTTCGTAAAGTGAAAAATCTTATTAGCTTGGGTCGTCTTTTAGTTGTATATGTCCACTTTTGGCGGCTGCAATTTGTTTGAGTTTCTTGTTACTTTAGCTGTTAAACATTTTAACACGTGCGGTCACGGTTTTTTTTATAACTAGTGTACATTTTGTAATGACATTGGCTTAGAACAAGATGAACAATTTAGATTCAATGCATGTGGACACAATTAGGTTCATTGAACCTGGACACCAACAATGATTATCAGCTTCGATTTGCCACATCCGAGATGAAACGCCGACGTATTTGGCACGTGTGAGAGTATACGAATCCACATGCATGCGTAGGCCAATGAGTGTAAAGTTACCGCGCTCAAGTCACCAATCCATACACGCAACAGCTACGCAACTTCCAAGCATTGTTCTAAAAATCGTCATCTAACGCCATTTAGATCCCTTCTAGTGCTGCATAGACCCTGTCTAGGTGTTAAGTAGTTGGTCACCGTCCCAATTAATGTCTAGGTGTTTGAAAATTAAGAAATGGCGCCTGGACCTATTGAGGCGTCCGCCTAGACCGTCTAGGCACCTGCCTAGGCACCCGCTTAATTTGCAACTCACTTAGACAAAAAATAGATAAATTTCATTTTGTATTTTATTTTTTTCAATAAATTATAAAGGACTTGTTGAATACTTAAATAAATACACATTATATACATGTTCCCCATGTTTTAATTATGTTCTAGTACTTTCTAATATATATGTCGTTTTATTTTGTAGTTTATAATGAAATTATATATATTTTAAGTGTAAACAGACTTATTTACATAAAATGTAATAACTTTACTTAAATTCACATAGTCCGCCTAGGCTCCTAGACTCCAACTGACCGTCCGATTGACGTCTAGCATCTTTTAGAACCTTGCTTGCAAGTCATAAAACGGAAATGAAAACCAAGACTAATCTTTCATGTATTGCATATTAAAACTCTAGTATCATATTAGATAGTTAGTTATCGTAAAAGCTTCAACTGCTAAATTATTGGTAAAACTTTGAGTTATACAAAATAAATTATTAATCCCCATCACTTAATTGGTAATTCTAACTTGATTTTTGGCCATCCTTATCTCCTAAATATAATTAAGGAAGGGTTTTATTTAAGGAATTGTTATTAGCATTAAAAAAATCTTATTTGACATTCTAAACTTTCTATAATTAAAAAAAAAAAAAACATTTATGATGATTATAGAATAAGATTTTTAGAGTGTTAATAACAATTTCTTTTATTTAATGCAAATTTAAATTAGAAAATGCAACCCTGACTAAATCTCCAAAATATTGGTTACATTGTTAATATAAAAGTTTAGTATCTACGCAGGCGTACAAGTACAACAAACGAAATACAGAAAACGGAACCAAGACGTCAAATCGGGCAGGTTCATCGTAACTCATTAAACTCACCAACCCCTATAAATAATCCGCGGTGTCGTTTTAGTCACCACATCATGTCATCATCTTCATTCTCTCTCTCTCTCAAGACTTCTGTCTTCTATGTAAACACCATGAACAAACCATGACAACACTCTCTTTCTATATAAAAACACGCAATCGGGTCATTTGCTCCAATTATTTATCCCAAAAGCGAAAAAAATTGATAGTCTGATCTGATAGGAGGGAGCAGAGCGAATCGGAGTCGGAGTGCGAAATTCCGACCAAGTTGAAGAAATACGGTTGAGATATAGTAGCCAAGATCATTCTCGATTGCGAATCGGAAAAAATGGGAGCGGTGAGGTTTCAGAGAGTGGCGGCGGCGTTTGACGAGGTGTCTCGGTTGAGGCTGTGCGAGAGCAGCGGGAGCGAGTACTCCGCGGCCGGGGAGAGTTTTGCGGATTTGTCGGATCTTGTCAAGTCCTTCATCGAGAGAGGGGATTTGGGAGAAGGCGGCGGCGACCGAGACGGCGTACGGAACGATGAAGAATCAGAGGGCGGTGATTGGTCGGATTCGGAGACGAAGAATTCTCTCGAGAGATTGTGTGAGGTGAAAGGTGATGATTTGAAGAAGACGATTGCTGATGAGGTGGAAGTTGCTTTGGCGGGCATTGGGGACGACAAGTCGTCCCGGGGGTTCAAAAGGAGGTTGATGACTCACTTGCGCCACAAGGGTTTTGATGCTGGTGAGTGGAGTTTTAAATTTAGTAATGTTACTTATGTTTTGAGACGAGTTTTGGCGCAACAAAAATGTTGCTTATATGTGCCCGAATGATCACAGAAGCGTTATTTGCTTGGGGATGCCCTTTAGTGTTATTTATGTTTTGGTTCCCAAAATTTGAAAGAAAAAAAAATCAGTTTTTTCTCGTTATTTGGCAGAAATAATACAATTTAATTACATTATGAGATTGATTAATCACTAATTACATTATTCATACAATGTGTGCAGGCCTTTGCAAATCAAAGTGGGTGAAATCGAGCCGGTTTCCAGCAGGGGACTACGAGTTTGTCGATGTCAACCTCGAGGGAACTCGTTACGTAGTGGAACCATTCCTTGTTGGACATTTCGAAATTGCTCGTCCCACGACACGTTACACATCGCTCCTCGAAGTTTTTCCAAACACATTCGTCGGAGAAGTCGATGAGCTGAAGAAAATCGTGAGGCTAATGTGCACGGCAATAAAAAAATCTATGAAGAGCGTGGACATGCCAATGCCGCCATGGCGGCGGAACGGATACATGCAGGCCAAATGGTTTGGATCCTACAAGCGCACAACCAATGCAGTAGCACCATTAGCCGCCGCCAATACGGCATTGGAATCGAACCATGGATTTGGAAGTGTCAAGAAATCAATGAGGCTTGAGGCATTGCCTACGAAGTCTTACTATTGCAGAGATGATTTTGCTAGTAAGGATGGCTTGAGAGTTGGGCGTTTGACTGCTGCGTTTCAAGAGGGATAGCTGGTCGTTTTGTCTTGATTCATTTTGGTCGTATTAATTTTGTTTTTGTTTGTTTTTTTTTTTTTTTAACGGGCCCAATGGCCTTGTTGCAACCGTAAAATACCCATCTCGGTTTTGGTTAGAGAAAATTTATGTATTAAAATAGATTGCAAGATAAATTCGATCCCATGTTCATAATATATCAAAAATTTCAATTCCAAAATGTAATTTGCAGTTCAATTGTAAGTTAAAAATAAATCATTTAAAATAGTGCTTCGTCTCTTGCACTGTATTTCACGGAACGGGTCCCCTTTGAATCCAAAAGAATTGAGCTCATTCATCAAATGATTCAGACTATTAAAATTTAATTCAAGAGTTACAAATAGAGAACTCCTCTAAAAATATAATTGTAACTGTTTGATCAAATTTTAATGATTCAGATTAATTGATCATTGAACTCAATTCCTTTGAATCAGAAGGAGATCCATTTCCGTAATTCATAACAAAATCGATGTTCAAGACTCATCGGATTTTCAAGTCCAAAAGTGTATTTTGAGGTGAATTGCTAATAGGACAATATTCTGTCCGTTTTTTTATGTTCGATCCTTTATATCCTAATCATTAAATTAGAGCAGTGTATCCGCTTGCAGTCAAATATGAGTACAAATTCTAATTAAAATCCAACTCGATTGAAGTAGCTTAAAATAATTATTTTTCTTTTGAAAAAAAGTGTAAATTGAGGTTGTAATTAAAAATGTCCAACCGCATGAAAAGTGAATAAATGTGGGCACCAATAGACGCAAACAGCCTGGGAAATCGAAGCAGGTTTGCCTGGAAGGTAACCCTAAAATTCGAATAATTTTAGTTCATGTACGAGAAGGGTCTCACGAAAAGGCTAAATCCTATGCCATTTCTCTCCTCTCCCCTTCTCAATCAATTAAATTAAATCACACCAAAATTAAATAAAAATAATAAAACAATTTAGATATGAAAAAAGAGGAAGAAAGAACTGTGAGAAGCTCGGTAAGCAGATCTGTCGACGGAGAACAACGACCGGCCAGTAAACTTCTCTCTTTTGTAATTCGATATAGCTACAGCCCTTTTGGCCAAAATCAAGCGAAAGGGTATGTTGAATTTTTATAAATCAAACCCTTCTCTTGGTACAAGTAGCTTTCTTTTTTCATCAAATCCATAAATTTCCCACAAAAAAAATATGAAAATAAAACTTGAAAATTCGGGAGAGAAAATGAAACGGTCAGCGGCTGCGGAGAACGAGTCAGAGATGGAAGTGTGATACCTTTTTAAAACCCTAGCAGCGGCTGCTCATTTATAATGTATGAATCTCAAAGGACTTGTTGGCAGGATTGATCTCAGCCGTACATCTGCTCGATTTCACTAATATGGTGGCGAAAATGGACCAGTTGGGCTTATAGGGAGATGTTGTGATCCACACCGTCCAAATGTGAGGGGTCCCGTCATACAAAGGAGAGTAAAGGATGGATTGGACGTTCATGATTTTGGGGCCTTGGAGATTCAACCCGAAAGAGCGGAAATTTGAGAATAGGTAATGTAACTGTTGCGGTATTTTAAATTAATTATATTGTTAGGTGAGAATTTTGAAAGCTTGATAACTCTTAACTAGCTTGAGATATTGACACAGTCGAGAAAAACTAGGGTACGAGATGTGTAGACATTGAAAAAAGAACAAGAGTACCCTACTGCTGTATTTGGGTACTATTTGGCCCAACGCAGTTACAACTCTCAAAGCAAACAGCCTCACTTTTGCCATAGGCTATTTAGCCATTGTACAGATAATGCAGTGAAGAAAAAGGATATATACGACTCACGCTACAGGTTGAGCTGAGCTCTTTTTTCTGCTACCTTCCCATCTTTTTTTAAGTATATGCAATGTGCGCATCCAAGTAACAGGTAGTGTATATAACCGGGACAAAGTCTCTTCAAAAATGAAAACTTTCGGTTCTGCTAGCTGTATTCGTTGGGATTTTCTTTGCTCCGGATAATAGGAACACCATCCTCCCTCCATACTATCCGTTCTTCACATACTGCTGTTATCGCTTCCACGTACAAGGAGTGCTCCTAAAATCAATAACGAAGCCAAATAAAAATTTGATTGAATATAATGCACATACTAACACATTTACGATTCCAGCACCCGAAAGAGGTCAGAATCCAAAAGGAAACACACGGAGAAAAGATTTTTCGGATTTATTCAGTGGTTCAGACAAGACAAAAATTGCATTACCTCCCGAAGAACCCTTGCTGCCAGCTCCTCGGCAGTGTCCTTAGCAAGCACAGGGACAACTCTTTGGGCAAGGATACGTCCTGTATCATAGTGCTCATCGACAAAATGTATTGTAGGGCCTGTGTATCTAACCAAAATAAAAGTTACAAAATATTAGAACATTTCCTGTACATACAAACAGAAAATGTAACTTGAATAGTGAAGTTTGACTCAAAAGTCATTGGATATTGGTGAAGGATGCATACCTTGCCCCAGAAGCAATGACTGCCTTGTGGACCTTCATACCGTAATGACCTTTGCCTCCAAATGCTGGAAGAAGTGAGGGATGGATGTTCAGTATGGATCTGGGATAAGCTTCTATCAACTCAACCGGTATAAGTTTCAAGTAACCAGCCAGGAGAACAAAGTCAACCTCTAATCCCCTGGTCATATATATAATCAATCAAAAGCTAATTAGCAATAAAACTATGCTTAAAAGACTGCTCATAGATAATTCACACCACTGCTAGCTACTGCTGAACTTGGTCTATGTCCCTAGGCTAATGAAACACCAGAAAATAAGCATGTACTTTTAAGCTACGGTCTTACAGATTGTTTATAGTGCATAAGACTGATGTTATACATAACCAACCAAAATGTGAAGAGGCTGATAAGTAATGTAAGTAACATACTATTGGGTTGTCTCCTTTATGAATTCAATAAAATGAGGGGGTTAACTTATTTAAAAATTGCGTGCCAATAAAGGCACCCGAAACTAAAAGCACCAATGCTAATGCATTTGTATCAATATTTGCCCATGCCTCAACCTCCTCTTTGAGGGGTGTCATCGAACAAGTAGCATATAAGCAGATGGTTCGACATTCTAAATAACCAAGTGAGAGAGAGAAACTTTTGAGCTGTAGAAGAGGCTGACCTAAGGTTAGCAACAAGGTCAGCTGGAGATATTCCGTCAGGCTCAAGTTTAGTTTTTGGGAACACCATAATTGGGAGGCCCTTTTCTCTTGCATAGTCGGCGCCTCCACAACCTGACAAGCAAAAATAACATTCAGTACACCTGAATGAATATACAATACTCTCATCAATGATTTCTACAATATATTTTGAAATTCCTAACTTGCTTTTACCACACTCTATCATTAGCAGCCGAAACCCCAAGTGCCAATGTAGGCATTTTGAAACAAGCCTTTTGAACAAGTCTAAGGGCTCTGGCTCGGAAATGCATTTGCAGGAAGCACTCCTGCTCATAAGTGCTTTTGCCAGAAGCATAAGACCATTTTTATTCACAGTTTAAGTGCTTCCTAGAAAAGCACTAAATACTCATTCTAAAAGCATGTAATCTATCTCAAACATCAATGCTGCCATTGAAAGAATGCTAAAACATGTGACTACAAAAACTTTTTCATTCAATCTATATGCCCGATTTTGCCTTGATACGACAATAAAAAAACGAAGACCAAATTTTGAGCAAGCGATAACAACAAACGTTAAGATAGAGCAATTGCGTAGAAGTGAAATTTAATCCCATGATAAGTTAAGATCGAGCAATTGCAACCAGATTATCGAGTAAGAAAAGCAAACTGGATTGCTGTCAATGACAAAAAGCTCTTGAGAGTGGAGGATACCTTGTTTACTTGCGACCAAAACGACAACGTCTCCGAGAATGAAACCGTTAAGACACGCTTCATGGATCGAACGGAAGTTGGAGCCCCCGCCGGAAACAAAAACGGCAAGCTTTTTCCGTCGAATGCCACTTGTCAAATCTTGTTTATCCGAAGAAACCACCACCTCAGCTCTCTCTGTGTCCGCGGTGTTCCTGCACTGTATTAGCTTGGTAGACAAAGGGCGAGCTTTGAAGGAGACCCACCTGTGGGATTGAGCAAAAGAAGCGGTGGAGGAAGAAGAAGAAGAAGAAGGAGAAGGAGAAGGGGAGGGAAATCTGACGAAGTATTGGGTTCTGGCGTTTGGAATCGGCGAGGGTGAGCAGAACCCAGAAAGCAGACGCTGAGCTTCCATCGAAAGACAGACAGAATATTTAGTTCTGAAGCGTTTGGAATGTGTCTGAGAGGAGAGGAAGCAGCAGAGTCAATCTGTGATGAAAATCTTGGATTTGAAGCAACTTTCACATAGAGATGGAGGAGAACGAAGTCGCGGCGGAACTCAAAGAGTGTTACTGATGGTTCTTTTTCTTCGGCTTTTGTTGTTTTTTCATATTTTATTTTATATTTATTTGTTTATTATTGGGTTATATTTTTACGGTAAGAAAGAGAGAGTTCGACTAAATCACTAAATGATCAGTCTAATTTAAGGGGATGTATTCAATTGAGATTTTCAGAAATTTTAATTCTTTTAATGAATTTAGGGGTATTCAATCAGGATTTTAAGTGATTTTTTGAAATTTAAGATGTATTCAATTAGAATTTTAAAATAGTTTATTAAAATTTTTAGAAATCGTGCATTCAATTATGATTTTAAAGAAGTTTATAACATTTTAGGTATATTCAATTAGAAATTTATTTTAAAAATTTGATAAAGTTGAGGAATTAGATGACATTTGAGAGATTTCGTAGTATATTTTAAGTATCCACAAATCTCATCTCTCCCTATAAGATTTCGAGGGAATTGAATCAAAATTCTATATGGAATCTCCACAACTCAATTAAAGTCCATAAAAATCTATGGATTTATAAATCCATCAAAGTCTCTCAAATTCTCAATTGAATACATCGAATTTGCCATCCATGAAATTTAAACATAAAAGTTCTTACGTCTAAATGAAGAGAAATATCATTGAGTGGCCTTATACACACACACACACTATAATTGGCTTTTTGTGTTCTGAACGTCAAATTTATTTATTATTATTTAGAATTTTGTTTTGGTTTAATTATTATCAAATTTAAGGGCTTACTTCAATTCAGATTTTCAAAGATATTAATTCTTTTAATGAATCTAGAGATATTTAATCATAAGTTTAAGTGATTATTTGAAATTTAATGGGTATTGAATTAGATTTTAAGATAGTTTATTAAAATCTTCATAAATCTTGATGTATTCAATAAGGATTTTAGATAAGTTTATAACATTTCATTTGTATTCAATTAGAATTTGATTTTAAATAATTTGAAAAAATTGAGGAGTTAAAGGAAAATTGAGAGATTTCATAATGTATTTTAAATATCCACAAATTTCATCATTCTCCATGAGATTTCGAGGGAATTAAATCAAAATTTTACATGAAAATCCTACAAATCAATTAAACTCCATAAAAATCCATTTAAATATCTCAAATTCCCAATTAAATACACATCTCTTATATAGCACTTTGATTTTTTTTTTAATTTTTTTTCTCCACCCCGTTACGTTAAATTTGAACTATTATATACTTTTCATAATTTTGATTTAATTCCTTGAAAATCTCAGAAAGAGAGGTGAAATTTGTGAATGCTTAAATTACATTACGAAATCTCTCAAATCCTCCAAAATTTGTCAACATTTTAAAATAATTTAAAATAAATTCCTGATTGAGTACAACGTTATAAACTTTTTGAAATCTTAATTGAATACAACAAGATTTATAAAATTTTTGATAAACTATATTAAAATTGTAATTAAATACAGATTGAATTTCAAATAATCACTTAGAATTCTAATAAAATACTCTTAAATTTTATTAAAAGAATAAAAATCTCCGAAATCCTGGAACCCTCCTATACACTTCGACGAAGCAAACAAGTTAGACTGGTTAGTTTTGTCTTTCTCCTCTGTCTCTCTTCCGGGCTCGACTTTCTCTATCCTCTCTAACCTAGAAGCTATAAGAAAGGCGTCGCAGAGTGAGATCCGTTTCGGACCAGGAAACAACCTCAACGGAAACGCTGCCCTGCCACTGCCAGATCTGATGAACAAAAGGGGGTGCCCAGCTTCTCAATTTTCCAAAAGCAAGGTACACACCCTTTTTTTTTTTAACAGATTCAAAACTCCGAAGTTTACGTTTTTTTCTTCTAGTCTCTTTCATAGATATCGAATTGTTATGAAAAATTTGATCTTTCCGTTTCCCATATACCAAACGCGCATGCCACCATCTAAAAATTGAATCTTTATATTTTTCCACATATCTAATTTGTCCATTGCTTTACGCAAAAGATACTACTTGCATCCCCCCATTGCTAATAATCTACATTCATTCATCTTAGAAAATTCATAATCGGAACTGTTCAATTTCAGAATCTCCAATTCGAAAGATTTTTCGTACGAATGACGTTTAAATGATGATTAAGAAATTGAACGGTTTCGTTTATGAAATATATTCATGAAAATACGTTTATGGGGATGTAAGTATTATCCGAACTTGATGAACGCTACCCTGTGACACTCCTTAATCCTTACTCGGTTTGTTGTTGTTGTTGTTTTCCCTTTGGGGTTGGCATGTTGATCTATTAGAAGAATGAGCACAACTTCGGGACGAGAGGAAAGGCAACAAAAAGAGGAAAAAACTTGGGGGCAAAAGAGAAAAATAAGGGCAAGTGCAACGCGGTGGGCAAAATCAGTCGTCGTTTGCCAAATAGTCTTCTATTCTCGCTTTTCATGCTAACGGGAGCAGCCTCTGCTAGGAACTTTTATCGGCGGAGTAGAGACATGCCAAAAAGAAAAAAGAAAAACTTGGGAATAAAGGAGAAAAATAAGGGCCAAAACAACAATTTGGTGGACAGAATTAGTCAGTTGCCTGATGAAATACTTTCTAGTATTGTGTCTCTCTTGCCACTTAAGGAAGCAGCAGCTACCAGTATCCTTTCTAGACGATGGCAGTATGTGTGGTCGTCCACTATGAATCTCGATCTGGATGCTAAATTTGAACTTGGTGAATATTTATTTCACTTCATGGTAATGGAACCAGAACTAAAAGACCAAGAACAGCATAGATACGTCAATTGGGTAGATAATGTGGTGGAACAACATAGAGGTCCAGTCATTGAACACTTCCGGGCTTGCTTTTATGTAGATTTCCGTTTTTCAAGTTTGCTCGACAAATGGATTCAGTTTGCAATGAATAAGAGAGTTCAAGTACTTGAGCTGGTATTCTATCTAGAATTTTGTAACCGTATTTCAGACGATCTCTATCCATTTCCCCACAAACTATTAGGTCTCGAAAACGTTTCTACATCGAAGCTCAAGGACATGCATTCTGACATTCCACAATCTCCACTCCACAATCTCCACTCCATTGATCCCTTCTCGAGCAGCAAGATGCTGCAATTGACGAGCATCAGAACGGTCCTTGGGATATATGCTTATCAGAACTCTTGGTTCCCACTTTCGATTTCTCTTAAACCACTGATCCTTTTTCTGGTTCCATAACTCGAGCAGCGATTCCAACTCGCGCCACTCGCGTTGTTGTGAAGAGTCGTATCGAGTTGGAATCGCTGATCGAGTTATGGAACCAGAAAAAGGATCAGTGGTTTAAGAGAAATCGAAAGTGGGAACCAAGAGTTCTGATAAGCATATATCCCAAGGACCGTTCTGATGCTTGTCAATTGTAGCATCTTGCTGCTCGAGAAGGGATCAATGGAGTGGAGATTGTGGAGTTGGGGGAGGTGTCAAGGAAACACGGCGAACGGGTGCAAAGCTGGGGTGACGTCAAGGGGGCGTTCAAGATTTTGGCCAAATTGAACAAGCAGAGGGAAAAGCTTGAGGTAGTGAGGATCTCTATGAGCCAGTTCGTGCAGCAGCTGGAGGCCCGCGCATCTGTGCGCATTGGGACCGAAAAGCAGGCTATGGCCGTCGGCTTGCCTGAGAGAGTTTGTCAGCACATCGTCTTTGTGCGCGCTGGTTCTGGAGGACGCCGACGTCGGAGTGTCCGGTATGGTAGCAGACGTGGCACGTGAGGCAGGCTTCACACGCGTTAATCTCGGGTATATAATTTAGTTAATTGATTCTGATTATAGTTAATTGATTCTTGATTATAGTTAATTGATTTTGATCTCTCTCTCTCAAATGTATAATTCTCCCTGCAAATTCAAACCCGGAAATGTCGTCGGTGATGGTTTCTATGGCCAATTTCCTGGCTATGGAAGATCGGTGTGAAAAGTTGAAGTCCAAGATTTCCCACTCGAGAGAATGCTTCGTGGAAAAGGCTAACAAGGTTCATCGCACCGCTCGCGTTGTTGTGAAGAGTCGTATCGAGTTGGAATCGCTGATTGAGTTATGGAACCATAAAAATGATCAGTGGTTTAAGAGAAATCGAAAGTGGGAACCAAGAATTCTGATAAACAGATATCCCAAGGACCGTTCCGATGCTCGTCAATTGCAGCATCTTGCTGCTCGAGAAGGGATCAATGAAGTAGAAATTATGAAGTTGGGGGAGGCGTCAAGGAAACACAGTGGGCGGGTGCAAAGTCGCGGTGACGTCAAGAAGGCATTCAAGATTTTGGCCAAATTGAACAAGCGGAGGGAAAAACTTGAGGTAATGAGGACCTCCATGAGCCAGTTCGTGCAACAGCTGGAGGCCGACACATCTATGCGCATTGGGATCGAAAAGCAGGCCATGGCCGTCGGTCGCCTGAGGGAGTTTATCAGCACATCGTCTCTGCGCGCACTGGTTCTGGAGGACGCCGACGTCGGAGTGTCTGGTATGGTAGTAGACGTGGCACGTGAGGCATGGCTTCACACGCGTTAATCTCCGGTATGTTTGTGGTTGATATTGTTAGAATGACATTTCAGCAACCACATCAGCATTGCCATGTCAGCAGAGTCTGTTAGGGTTGTTAGAATCTGTTGAGAGTTAGTTAGCACTGTAACCGACTAACTTGAGATATAAAAGGATAGATTGTAATTCATTTGTACTAAGTCGAAATACAAAGATCAAATTCTGATTTCTCTCTCTAATTGTTCATCTCTCTTTTCTTACATTTTTGTAGTCTTAGCATTTCTTTTCAGTTCTCTAGTTTGGTTATCATGGTATCATTCGCCCGGACGATCTTTCGTGCCATCATCTTCTGCTGAAGGTTACAAATTGGTGATCTTGTTTGGGAGCTTCGATTTGAGTTTCTTCATCTGGGTTTCGATCTGTTCGGTTCAAGATCTCGGAGGATTGGTTTCTCAGGTTATATTCCTGAAACTTTATGCACAGTAGGTGTTTGATAAATTGTCACAGTGAGAAGTTTGTTAAGTTTTCTTTGAAATTGTATTGAAATTCGATAATGTTTGATGAAGTTTATGATTGATTGAGATTAGTGCTAAAAGCATGTCGATTAGAGGCAAATATCAGCAGAAGATTGATTTTTCTGAGAAGATAGTGAATTAAAGATTGTGAATTGAGAAGTATGAAGTGAAGATTGTGAGTTACAAGATTGTTAACTGAAGATTGTGAATTAAAGATTGTGAATTGAAGATTGTGCATTGAAGATTGTGAATTAAAGATTGTGAATTGAAGATCGCTTGGTGCAAAGATCGTTATCGCAAAGATTGTGTTGCAGTTTGTGTTGAGAATTGTTTCTGAATTTTTTGAGTTGATATGGCGTCTAATAATGTCAAGATCGAAAGTCTGTTAGGAATGATAATTGTGAAGCTCCAAGATGACAATTTTGTCAAGTGGAGTTATCAATTCTAATTGGTTCTTAGAGGGTATGATCTGTTTGAGTTCTTTAATGGGGAATCTCAGTGTCTACCAAAGTTTTGCATTACTCCTTAATGTGGTGTCACCAAAGAAATTACTACAGCATATAAAAAATGGGTTAAGAAGGATTTAGCTTTGTTAAGCTTACTAATTCAAATTCGTCTTTAATGATAATTAAACTTACATTTCATTTAACAATAAAGAGAAATATTACTAGATCGTAGTAAATAGAATCTAACTCCACTTGACGATTCCTTAGGTTTCCAAAAATTGGTGAATCAGAAAGAAAAGGTCCCAATGTGGTAAGAATCCGCGTAGACGCCCTTGATTTAGCATCACAATAGTAAGACCATCTTGAACTGAGGGCTCGTTTTAGCCCTCTTGCCCTCCAAGAAATTAATATTTTAATAAACAATTCATGGTCATATTTGCCTCCGTCTTCAACCGAGGACCAAAGGGTCAAACATAATTTATTATTTAAATTTAAAAACTACAACAACTTAAATTTAAAAACTAAAACGGTAACTGGACCAAAAAACCAAAAAAATTAGAACTTAAATTTAATGAATGGTTTAGGTATTTATAGGAAAAAAAAATAGAATTTTTAAGAATTAAAAAAAAAAAATTGGCCCAAAAAACCCCCCAAAAAAAAAAAAAAAAATTTGAATACAACGGCTAGCTGACTAGCCGTTGTATTCAAAATTTTTTTTAAGCAATTATTTCTGGTATAACTGACAGAAATATATTTAATTTTTAATATAAATATATTCTTGTCGGTTATAACCGACATGATTGCTCTATTTTTTGGCCAGCCCTCCAGCCTTCTCCGATTCTGTGGGACCATCTTAGATTCCATAGCCCTCTGACCTAGTCCTCGGTTAAAGACGATTTTTGAACTATTTTCGATTCTTTAACCTTTTGGAACCTTTATTGGAGATGGCCTGCATGACCACCACCCAATCCCACCCGGACACGGAAACCATATATACGAATCAAAAACACACCCCACCCAAATCTAGAGAGAGAAAGTCTTTGTTTTAGAGAGAGAAAGCAAAGAAACAAAGAATCATAGAGCAATTCTTTAAAATTCTTGATATTTTTTTTTAAATTTTAATTTTAACGACGGATCGGACTCCTAACGACTCGCCAACGCAGAATCGGAGATCCATCAGCAAGATGGAGGGAGTTGGGGCCCGACTCGGGCGGACTTCGACCCGGCACGGACCGGCCACGGTGTTCACTGGGCCGGTAAGGAAGTGGAAGAAGAAGTGGATCCACGTAGCTCCTCCCTCCAACCACAACACCTCCACCCATCACTCTCACCAGATTAACGGTTCCTCTAACGGTATTAACGGCTCCCATCTCTTGCTTTACAAGTGGACCCCAATTGCCCAAAGCCAAAACGCTACCATTAGTAATGGTGCAGTCGCCAATGGAGGGGACAGGAACAAGGTTTCTGCCAAGGACGACGGCCTTTTGGCTGCGAGCGAGGAGCCGCCCCGCCGAAAATTCAAATACATTCCGGTAATTTTGCTCCAATTTTACTTGTTTGATTGATTTTTTGTCATTGGAGTCTGATTGATGTCCTGGGTTGTTTGATTTTTGTACTTTTTTAATGAAAGCTTTGTGGGGTTTTTTGTATTGAGTTGATAGTGTGTTTTGGGTTACTAGTAATTTAGGGTTTAGTTTCAGAGATGTTGGGGAAGGAGGTGTTTGACACATTGGAAATTATGGGTTTATGCTTCTTTTTAGTTTCTTTGTGGACTGAGTGGAGTGATGATCTCGTGATTTGCATAACGCGTGCAGCGAGTCCTCGAGTCGAAAAATGAATATTTGAAATTGAGTTATGAGTTATCTTTGTTTGTCATGTTGATGTTTAGATATAGTTGTTGGATTTTGGTTTGGTTTTTATGTTTCGTAAGTAGTCGCGATCCTGCTGTGAATCATACTTCATGCGGCTCATGAGAATCCATTTAGAATCGAGAAAAGATTAGCACATTGGAATGGTTTGTATTTAGAAGTAAACTGATTGTTGATTGGTTAATCATACTTAATGCAGCTCCCGTTAAACCGAACTTTGTTGTTGTAGTGAAGATTCAGTACTTTGAGAAAACATGGGATGTTCGAGGTTGTAGTGATTACAAAATTCAGCAAGAGTTCTCACAAAGTTGATATAGAATCTTGGTAATCAAGAGTTGGTTTTTGGGGGGTTATATTGACATTTTCCTCTAGACAATGATATACTACTTTGTTACCGGTTTTTGTTTTGTGGTTCCTTTTGGTATTTCTCTGAACCTTATTCTATTGGAAAGAGTTTCGAGCTATTCATCCATAGTGCCAACCGGCAAGTATGTAGTGACGAAATTTGGTAAATGCAGCTATGAAGTTTTGAATATTTACAAGTATGTTGCGATGGAACAGTGGGATAGACAAGTTTTGAATATTTACAAATACCTATTTATACATTGTGTTATGTTAAGATTTGAGGTTTATATTGTGCAAATAAGCTAGATTCAGTGAAAAAGATTGAACTCTGAAGACCTTTCTGGTTTGTCCGGCCATCTCTTGTTTTCCTAAAACCTGCACTAGTGCATGCTTGACTGAATCAAGCATCATCCGAGTGATATTGGGCGTGTCATAAGTGTAACATCATGTCGCCAATTTCCAACTTGGAGAAACATTACCAATTTCATAAAGTGAGCTGGCTCTAGAAATCTTATTCTTATGGTGGATGGCTGGAGGGAAAACAGATGCATGGTTTGCTTACACTGGATAGTTAGGAAAATAGTTACACCAGGAACTCCCTTGTAGTTATTTAAATGCCTAACTCCTACCCCGGTGAAGTAGTCAAATTTGAGTTTGAGATATTGGGAATAGTTATTTTTACTGGTGTGTATAGAGTGTGTAACATTTGAAAACAGCGTAGAGGTTCTCTATGATTGTTCATTTTCTTATTGGATTATGGGTAGGATGACTCTAAGATAGTAATGATATTGAGTTCATTTTGATTAAAGTTGGGTAGTATCGTTAGACAGGTTTCCATCGTAACATTGCTAGACAGGTTTCCATGATTGGAATGGGGTTAATTGCGTAGGATTTTATTTGATTTTGGTGGGGGGTTTTCTGTTGAATGATAATTTTATCCTTTTGACAAAGCAGATTGCTTTACTAGAAGAACAGCAAAATGAGGCTGCAGAGCAGGTTGAAGATGACGGCAACTCTATCGATGATGAGCCAGTTGAAACAGAGGCAACCCCAAAGAATGAGGGTTTAGATGAAAAACCTGACATTAATGACGTTCCTATGGAAGAAAATCAGGTGAAACGTTTTTGCCTTTATATGCTTGCGTTCTTTTCTACCATTTCTTTTTTTGGGTTCGTGTAGCATTACTTTGTATGGTGGAGACACATGCTTATCATATGCATTAGTGTGTGTGGGAACCATAAATTGACTGTGCTTTTCTGTTGGAGGGATTTAATTTACGCCTTTCTCTGTTAAGAAATTGTGGAAATCATAATATTGGTACTTGAATTCTAATGGTAAATCAAAAGAGGTTTGATTTCATTTTTTTTTATTAACAGTTGCTTGATGTTTTTGTTTCATTCGCAGGAGAGTAATCAGGTAGTATGCCAAGATCTGAATTTAAGTTTGGGCTTGAATGGGCATGAAAACGATAACGATTCTGGTCTGAAAGGTGAACAAACCAGAAATGGTTAGTTGCAGCGACTTGGTTCAAGTATTAAGCGAGCCCATATTGGAGGTCTTCGAAAACTGGCACTCATAACCTTACAAGGAGCAGCTAATTGTTGGTGACGAATTCGGAATTCAGTTTTCCCTTTTGGCTTTATAATTTACCTACGGCCATATAGGGCAAGTGAGTTTCAGTGGCATTCGCGTGTACTGTTAGTCTTCATTGTTTAGCTGATTGCAAATTATACCCATTCGGTATAAGATGCAAAACTTACATACTTCAACATTCAAATCATTGAATTTTTTCTAGCCTGCCATTTTTGTTTACTTCTGAGATGGGACATGTACTTCGAAATTTTAGTGAGGTTGTAAACTTCTGAACTCTTAAACATTTATGAAGTTTTAGTTCTTCATTACAATTTGATTAGGCAGATTATCGTTGCAAAACCATCGAGATGTAGCACGGGTCGGAAATGTTGTAGTTTCGTCATGCTTGATCATTCCAATTATACAGATATGTCAGTAGTTAACTTTGCTGAAATTATGTGAGATTGATCATTTTCATCCACTACCGTCTTTCTTCTGACAGGAAAATACTGCACTACTCTCTTCCTATATGGGAGTAGGCCGCAGCCCGCCAACCGTGCGGGAGTGAACAACAGAACCAGGGAAATTGGGGGAGGAGGGATTACAAAATATGTACTGCCCAGATTTAGATATATGCACTGCAAATCAAAATAATATAGCAGAGATTTGGAGAGGAAATTTATTAGCGAATTAGGGATTTTTTTCAGTTGCAAACTGAATCAAACAGAGAAGTACAAACTATCCGTTACCACATCAAACTCGACTATCCAGATCCCTCCAAGAAGGCGGCAACATGAAATCAAATTCAATAGAAACGGAAGGGAAGGAGGCGACATGAGCCTTGGCACCCATGACAAGACGTGGTTGGTACAATTTTCGCCATCATTCTTCAGCAACTGCTGCTTCTTTCTCCGAGAAATAGTCATGCCTGGAAAAAGTAGAAGATTATCTCATACAGATGTTCGTGTCATGATGAACACGCCATAAAAAAGTTTTGATCGGTTCCAGTTAACCATTGATAACAAGCACTGTTTAGTGAACTATTTAGTAAGAGCTATCCCTTTTATCATCACCAAAATTTCATCAAAACAATTAACATTACATTGAACTTACCGTATTTTACGACTGAGTTGGTAGAGGCCTGTCCCTGCCATTGCTACATTCACGCTAAAAAGATTCCAGTTCTTCTGCAATTATGAATCGCAGAACGCAAAGCTCAAAATCCAGTAAAAACTCCATCCAGGAAAGCTCCAATATACAGAATCAAGAAGAAAACCACAAGGCTAATCCTTAATGCATGCACTTTCACTCATCTGTTACCCCAAGTCCCTTTCTATGTTCTATTTCCACATCAAAGAACATCCATGACTCTCTTGTTCTTATGACGAATATTATGCATCCACGGTTTTGGAACTCACAAGTTTACTGAAAGCCGGTCTATCATCTAAGGAAACCTGAAATCTAATTCTCGAACCTATCTCTCCTTGGAAAGTAATGCCAAATCCACATAAGATACATTCCTAGTGTTCATGATCTAAAATTTGGTAACAACAAAAAGAGAACGACAAAAAGTAAGCACAAGCTGTTTGACACTTCCTGGACCGAGCAACTATCATCGATCTTCTGATCTTCTAGAGGTAGGAAGGAACATTATATCGATTAGTTCAACTTACCGGAGTAATGACGGTGCTATAACGTGACCAGACAACTCCGGTGCATGCAACCGCTGGGTACAAAACAAAAACGGGAAAAACATTAATTTGAGGCGAGACCAGACAAATCCACTACTCTCGTATAGAACATGAAACAACAACATATGTACAGAACAAACCTATTTGCTGAGGATATGAAAGGTTTTCTGGTGGTTTAGCGAAGTCAGCAACATTAGCTATGCTGATTCCCCATTTAAATGTGGGAGCCCAAAAGTGAACTGCAATCAAACAAATTTTCCACTACACTTGATCAAGAAAAATAAGCGCAAACAATTCAAAGAATAAAACTTGAACACATTGGTCTAACGGAAGACTTGGCGCAAAACCGAATGCACTCACGTCAAACAATACATGCATCCGATCCCACTTAACGAAATAAGGCTTGGTGGTTGTTGTTTAAACATATTGAACTAAATTCTAAAGAACCAACTACTTTTCCAACTTCTAATTTCTTGGTAAAAAGCTCAATTGGGTGTCTTTATCAAAAACCTAATTAAAAATATACGATCAAAGAAGAAAAGGGTACGAGAACCAGCTCAGTCAATCCAACGCAGAAGATCTAAGTCTTGAAAAAGGTTGCAAATTAAAAAATGGAAAATATAAAGATGTGAAAATTCGAATAAAAATATATCGAGATTAAGATAATTCGGATGTGAAATCGGAGGAAGTGGGACTCACTGGTTTTAGGGCCGGCCGGGTGATTCCACAGCGCTTGGAGCTTCGTAGCCGCCATGGATTGTTCTCTCTCTAAGCTCTGTAACTCGCGAAAGTCAGAGAGACCAATATATCTGTTTGTGTTTTGAGATGGCCAGTAGTGTTTAGCCACGTGTGACTTAAAGGCGGGCTGGTCTAACGAAATGGATCCTCTTTGATCTCTTTCCACCTAATCCACAAAATATGTTATTCGGGTTATTGAAATTTGATTTAACGATTACAAACAGATGACATTTTAAAGTTATAATAACTGTAGTTATTGCATTAAATTTCAACAGTCACGATCACGAACTTGATGAATTAAGTGGAAAGAGATCTGGATACTTTCCTTAACGAAATATTTTCTGTAGCAGTTGTAAAGGCGCTAGGTAAAACTGCGATTTTTTTATTTTTATTTTTTACTTTTAACATATGATATTGTATTTGATGGCGAGGAGGGTGGCTACGATTTTAAGCTTGCGTTAACATGTAATTTTAATTTTTAACTGCCGTTAATCTTCCAAAAATTCAACAATTATCTCCATAAAACTGTAAGATATATCCACGATTTTTTGTTCTATTTTGCAAAGAAAACTATCATGACGATTTTTGCTTAACACTAAGTTAACTATGACACTGCAAATATTTGGTTACAAATTTTAGACTTATGGTTAAATTTTGACAAGTCGTCATTTAGAAAGGTTACAATTTGTATTGACCACTTACGAGCGAAACCAGTTGCCATAAAAAGCGTTGGCATGCGGGCTTAAGTTAAGCTCCATTGCTCTTAGAACTGGAGTCTCAAAAAAATTAGGGAATGGTTAATGTTGAAACTGCAGAAATCACTTTTTCTGTTATAGAAAGCATGCCTCAATTTTAATGTTGCAGAGATATCCTTGTGCTGATTACGACTTTATGAAGAGCATACTTAGTTCTAAAGCAAGTCAGTACGATCTAATGGCATTCAGTATGCTGATATGCTTGTTCTTGAAGATGGTGCTGTGATGCCTTCTTGGTTTGACATCCACGAGAAGAAAGGTGGTCTGCTTAAACCCGTTAAGAATGTGCATAAGATGATAGACAATGAGACAGAAGCTGGCACAAATCCTAGTAATGTCCTTGTGTGTGGATTCAGTCAAGGTGGTCGGTCTCTTTCTCTATGCACTCACATTTACAGTTACACTGTTAGAAAGACTTGCGCGTTGAATTCCTTACTGTTGGTAACTCGAAAATACAATCTTTTTATCAGGTTCCTTGGCATTGGCAAGTGTTCTGCTATACATACCCTAAAACTTTGGGAGGAGGTGCAGTGTTTGGTCGATGGCTTCCTTTCAATTCATCTCTGATGGAACAAATAAAACCAGAACCGAAAATTGTACTTTTCAGAAGTTTATCGTGATTAGCATTCGTTATCGTGCTTCAAACTCGAAAAATCATGTTCACCATTGTTGTGATACCATCATCGCCATCATCCTGGACTTTGTCCCATTCATTTGATATATTTCAAATGAAATATTATCTTCCGTTATGTCTAGTTTGTGGTCTCAATGTTAAATTTGGTTGACAGGAACTGGTCGTTTCGTCAAACAAGCTGGAGAAGCAGTGTCAAACAAGCTGGTGTAAGCTGCGGGTTGAAGGTAATAATATGCGAGCAACACAACATTCCTTAAATGCACGCATACTCCACGTTTATGCAACTCCTACATTTCACCCGTTTCTAAACTGCAGGCTTATCCTGGTCTTGGTCATTCAGTAACCAATGAGGAGCTCAAGAAACCTGGAATCATGGATCAAAAACTCATCCACGTAGTTCGATCTTGATGGTTTACCGGAATGCAGAGCTTTAATCCGATTAGTGTTAAATTTTTATAAACGTGCGAAATTCAAAACTCGTGGTTCATATTTGACCATTGTGATTCGTGTAACATTAGCTTTTTCTCGAATTGGATTCGGCAGAACTGTAAGTTGCTCTTGTGTGAACTTTCTTTCACTTAACTTCCTATTATTCCCAGTGGCCTTCGTGCATCGCTCATCAGGGTGCTCCCATTTGACGTATATAAATTTTTTTATTGGAAGTTTATAGAATTTTCAGATCCTACTCAAAATTAAAAAAACACAAAGCATATGTACAACGTTGTCTAACACATTGTCCCTTTTTGGATTTTAAAAACAGTTGTATGTTTTCAATTTCCAAGTCAACAAGATATAGCGCAAAATGCACGTTACTACGAAATGGAACTCGTATCCGAAACATGACATCCTACTTGCAGTGCTATATTATTCAAACATCTATTCAATAAACTCCTTTTGACGCAGTCTAAATTGCTTGGCATTTAAAATACTCAGCTCCTTGTCTTGTATTAACACTAGAAAACATACTAAAGATGTCACTGTGACAAATATTCTAAATTTATCATATTCTGATGTATAATTAATATTTTTACATAACAGCATACGATTGATTTAGAATACTATCACATTTATAATCTCATTACGTATTTTCCTTTAACCTTGTAGATACGGCCAAAATAGCTATGCAACTATTACAATATTATCACACATTATCACGTGTAACAAAGCGCAATTCATTTGATGCAGTACTGCAGATATTCATGTTGCATGATAGTTGTTAATGATGCGGCACCGCAGATAAGGCCAAAGCTTCGACTGAGAAAGTCATACCAACCCTACGTACAATTAATCATATCATACTTAGTTAGTCCCACCACATCACAACCGTCCAAGCAATCCAATTCAGTATTCACTCACTCTGATGAGACTGCATGTACAAATACAGTCAGTAGTCCCGCGTCGCACATGAACACTTGCCCAATCAGAACCTAACTTTCAAAAACTCATTACAGTCATCACCCCATCACCAACTCCAATGCCTCTCCTCTCTCTCTCTCTCTCTCTCTCTCTCTCTCTCTCTTCTCTGAATCTGGAATATAACCTCAGCAAACCCTTCTAAGGCCAGAGATTCTCTCTCTCTCTCATCTCTCCCTCTTCCTCTATCTAAAAACCTCACCATCTTCATCGCCAACTGTAAGTCTTTGCTTCACCAACAATTAAACCATGAAGAAGCTCTACCGAAAGGGAGCGGTTCATCCGTCACCACCAATCATATCAGACCACCTGGCCTTTCTTCCCGCCACCATCCTCACCCTGGCGGCGGCTCTGTCACCCGAGGACAGAGAAGTCCTGGCTTACCTTATCTCCTGTTCTAACTGCTCCGTCAACTTATCCTCCTCATCCTCGTACGCTCCTCCACGTAATAGGACAACCGCCACCGCCAAAAAGACGGCAGCAGCAAAGGGCGGCAGCGGGAGCGGTGGGGTTGGCGGGGACCACCCGGCTAGGTTTAACTGCGACTGCTTCAGGTGCTACACGAGTTACTGGGTCAGATGGGACGAGTCGCCAAATCGCCAACTCATCCACGAGATCATCGATGCTTTTGAAGATGAGCTGCTGACTGAGAGCAAAGGGTTTTCATCAAAGACTAGTAGGAAGGAGAGGAGGAACAAGAGTAGGGCTAATAATGGCTCGGGTGAGTTGAAGAGGTCCGAGTTGAGTGTGAAAAGGAAGGAGCTGGCTCAGTCTCACACGGCGGATCAAGAGGCCGGTGGTGGCGGCGGAGAGGTTGTTGAGGAAGCCTCGGAAAAAGGGTCAGTGAGAAGGTTTGTGAGCTTTCTTGGAGAGAGAATATGGGGTGTGTGGAGTCAATAATTATTGGGTTAAGTTCTTCTGCTTCCCTGAAGACGGTAATTAAGCTCTAATATGGCTTAATTTTGAGGTGGGTTTTAGCTAAATTCCATCTTCTTCATCTTCATGTTCAAAGAAAAAACTACTTTGTTTTTTTTTTTTTTGGCTGCCCATAAATTACGCCTTCATGTTTATGTAAAAAGAAAATGGGTAATTAAATTTTGACTTTTGGAGTCATGATCACAACTTAGTTTCAGTTTTTATCAGTGCGGTCTAGCACTTAATTAACAAATTATGAATGTTAAAAATATTTGCATACAGTGTGCTTTTTAATTAGATAGTATATATGGTTGGATCATTGATGCGGTATATGTTCAATGTTAATTTAGCACTGTGATAAGCCTACTTAGTAATATTTTCTTTGTTTTTTTATCCTTAAGAAGAGGACATATTTTCTTGAGGAGAAAAGGCCAAAATGGAATACGAAATACAGGGAATATGAAGGAAAAAAGAAAGAGAAAGCCTGGAAATACTTTTGTGATTGTTTTGTGTGGCATGCGGGGAATGGGTGGCTCCTTTCCTTTGTTTGTCTTTTGACTGTCTAATTTCCTCCTAGGGTTTTGACTGCACAAGTGCAACTGCGGAATTAGAAAGCTGGTTTGTTTGTATTGCAACAATGTCGAACAATCCATCGTTTGTGTCTTTTTTCATTTTGGTCGTAACTCCGTCGTTCTTTTCTAAGCAAGAATATTTGGCAAATTATTGCCAAATTCACAGTGTGAACTGGATGCATGGGTGTTTCCGTTCCTATTAAAAATGTCATCAATCATATACTACTACATTTCACCTCAACTTTTATATGTAACTTTGCACGATTGTCTTGTAATATAACTATCACATGGAATCTGTGATAGGTTTATAAAGTAAGTAATGATACTTTAGGTACACTACTTTGTATTTATAAAACTAAGAGAAATGTTAAAGAGGCTTTTTCAAAGTGAGACTCTTTATAGATTCTTTGTCACCTCATAGTTTAATGTTAATTCTGTATCAAAACTATAAATCATTGTGTCAATAACTTGAGGTAATAGAGAGTTCATAAAAAGTGTTACTATTTTAAATCTCCTTAGCATTTTAAAGTGAGAATTTTAATAGCTTGAGCTAAATCACGCAATAAATTAACAAAATATAGTGCTAGTGACTTTGAGTAATTGAATAGAATCAAATATCGAGGCATTGAGATATGAAATTCCTCCTTGAGGAGCGATGGGGATGTTTCGCTGCTGTCGCACTAGACAATGTTGACATTCGGCAACACAAAAAGTAACGAGATAAAGTGTATTCGTTCAAAGCAAAGGATCCAAAACCCAGAAGAATCCCTCTATTGCAAACCCTCTTTTCATTGTTTCCCAAGGTCATTGCTCTTTCCAAGGCTATTAAATTATGCATACCAATTATTTTCTTCTTATTTAGCCCATTTCCTTGGTCGACCGAGTTATATTCAGGCCGCTGGTAAATTAATAATGTTAAGAATTCTCCTTGATCTTCATGTTGCACTTACGAAAGAAAAGTAGCAAGTGCTTCTAAAAAACTAGTCACAAATGAATACGTATTTGAATAATTGAAATTAAAAAATTATCATTGGACACTTGTCTATTTGTGATTGGATTTCAACAACACTTGCTGTTTTTCTTTCAGTAGCAAAGCATGGTTCTACTTTATATGATGCATGCTCAAACTTTTCATCGTCTAATTTTAAGATTGCTATATATAAACACCAAATTGATGTTTATTGTTTAATAATTACAAATACCCAAAAAAAAAAAAAAAAAAAAGGGAAAATTGGTGGTCTTTCCTTTTTTTGGGTTGAAAACTTGGTGGTGTTTCAATTGAGTTGAATTGCATTAATCCTTTTGAGGGATCGCTTAAGACAAAGGGAAAAAAAGGTAGGGGAGAGTTGCAGTTTACCAAACGAAAGGAAAGAGGTTATCCATCACTTTTGTGTATTAGTTTTGTTAATTCCTTTCCACTTAAAAATATAAAATGGAGAAGCCCCAAAAAATCTAGATATTAAAAGCTTCGTTTACAAAAACTAGGGCAAGTGAAAAGACAGATCATGTTTTTCGTTGGTAACTTGTGTAGAAATATTTCGAGTGAGAGTTTGGATTTTAACAACGTAATTAAACAAGAAAATCACTCTCCTTTTTGAAGCGTAAACCCTAACCTTATACAGTTCCACCTAATACGATTATACCAACACATGAAGACACTTGTAAGCATATACCACGTGCGTACTGTATTTAGTGAGCACCAGATATCTGACAACCCCTTGGAAAAATGAGTTTAATAACCCTTATACTTGTCTTTTATTCACTCTATCAACTACACTCACTAATAGACTGAATTTTTTGAGAGATTTTTTAGTGTAATCATCCGTAATTATTACATACAAATTATAGTATAAGTGGAAGTTAATGCATAGTATAGTATTAAATTATAAATACATATACATATTTTAATATCAATGAATTCATAATAATACACAACAACACAGCAGTCACAATCGAAAAATATCTTGAATTGGTTGGATATAAGATGCATTGAACGGATTAAATAATTCATAATAATTCAGTTCATCAAAGTTGAAATTTTCAAAGGGTATTTGGGTATTTTGATCATCAAAAGAAAGAGAATGAAGAACATGATATTCTATGAAATTTTGAACCCTTGTATATGCCTCACCCAGTGCGACCTCTCTCTCGTATTTTTTATATGTATTAATAAGTTAATAACATGCTAAAATTAGGTGAAAGAGAAACCTCTGGAATGCGGACTCTGCATTGTGTTTGCTGGGCCAATAAATAGAGAACGATAGGGGGACAATTGGCTCAGCTCTCAGTGCCTTCAGCAGAAATTCCCCGACAGTTTAGCTTATCATATGGTCAGCTTGCATGCATCTACGTATCATCACCGTACACGTAGCTGTGGAAAACCTAGGAAGTGCATGATCCCGCGTTTTTAGGCAACCAAAACTCATTTAAGTCTCTAAACTGGCAAAGCATTAGTTGAGGATGCGGGTCAAGAAGGTGGTGTGAGTTTAGCACTATTGAATCGAATGAATATTTGATTCAATCATAAGCAAAAATATTAATCAAGATGCAGATTGCAAGGCAACAAACTCTGACATATGCGTTTTAGCTATGAAATGATTACTCGTTAAATATGTTGATTTAGTCGCTATGCTGGTGTGAGTTTAGTACTCTTGAAAACATTGTTAAATCTCACTTGCCCCCTTGTGTCTCACTTTATCACCCTACTGCAAGTTAATTAAAAAATTCCACCAAAGTCGTCGATGTAGCACGTTGAAGTCAAACTGCTTGTTAAATATGTATTTGGTGAAGAAATTTCAAATGTGTGGTTCATGTTGCACGCTGCGCAATATTATTAATCTATATATTTTATAAAATGATTTAAAATAAGGAAGTTTTAATAAAAAGTCTACGGTACTGTTCACTTTAACGAAAAATCACATTTTTACACTAAAAAGTCAATATTGATACTATTCACTTTACCCTTTATTTTGTCCTTATCATTAAAACTAAAGTTTTCAAACTCTTTTCATTAGTTTTCCTTTAAAATAATCTATAATAAGTAGATGATTTAGATGGTTGATATGTTATGCATAGAGCCTTTAAAGGAAGTGATCTTCATTTTTATTTAAAATAAGATTAGTTGTGAGGTACACATCAAATCAAATTTTAACAATCCAAATTTTTTATTTTTCAAGTAGTAGTTCATAGATTATTCTTGCAAAACCAAATCGGAAACATATGAGACATTTAATTGAATTCAAAAAAAATTGATGAACATTATGTTCTAAGAAACATTAAAGTTTGTGCACAATAGGAGCCATGACAATTAAATGGACAAACGGTTTTCGTATTTAATTGAATTTTTGTAAAAATGATTTATTAATAGCGAATTACAAAATAAACATAATTCAGATTGTTAAAATTCGATGTGAAGTGAGTCTCACACTAATCCATACGTTTTCAACAAATAGAAATCACTTTCCTTAAGGGACCTGAATTTCGTGCATAATAGAAGCCATGCAACTGACCAGAAAGCCAACTTGGTGGTGACTGGAGGTGCATGTCGTCGTTCATAGCTTAGTTCTCACGCGTTTCCTCTGACTATTTCTTCTCTTTTTGCCTAATCCTTTTCTGTATCAGAACTGTTTTGTTTTTTTGTTTGTAATTTCTTGGCAAATCCACAGCCCTCATGATTTTAGAGAAATGGAGTAGTGTTTGGTTTCGAGTATCGAATGGATCAAGGGTCAAGAGTCAAGAGTCAAGGGTCAACATATTTTAACAATTTGATTATCATCGTTTAGGCTCATCCACAAATATAAGATGACTGATCACTTGCTTTTGGTTTGTTGCAACTTTTAAAACTGAAGTAAATCACGCTGCGTGTGTGAATATATATATGTGTGTGTGTGTGTGTGTGTGTGACAGCAACTGATATCAAACGCTACGCATTTGTAGCTTTCACGTACAAAGTTTTTATTAATACATAGTTATGCATGCACTGGAACCGTTTCGAAATGCCTTTTTTTTTTTTTTGAAATCACTTATGATAATATTATAAAAAAATTTGATAAAATTATAAATGTTTTTAAAATGACTGAAATTAAAAATGAAAAAAAATATTTTTGAGTTTCAAAAGTATTTAAACTTAAAAGTGTTTTTCAAGAGTTCATTTACATTTTTACTTAAGATTGGTTCTAAAAGCATTTTCACAAAAAACATTTTCTGTTACTTTCAAAACAGTTCCAAACAAGTTCTAAATTTTTAATCCAAAAGTACTTTAAACTTTTTATGTCACATTAATCAAAACTTCTTTAATAACCTAAAAACGCTTTTAATTATTATAAAAGCACTTCTAGCCCTTAACCAATACTACAAAAGCAGATTCCTATTTTAGCGCAGCAGTATCCAATTCAAACGCTTTCGAAATAACAAAACAAAAACGGAATATGCAGAATTAATACAAAGTTTGAAGTATCGTTTAAAACGAATATGCATCAATAATTTTCTTCTTAAAGAGAAATCTTGAATTAATTATCAACATGTCACATTTATATATAAATTTAGAATCCACTTTACTTTCTTTGCGGAAGATACAAGAACTTTGGAAGGAACTTATTGCTACGTATTTTTGCTCAATAACTTTGTTCACGTAGTGAAAAAACTATTAGTGGTGAAGCTTATCCCTCTTTGTCTCACTCGTGTATGATAAAAAATACTACTCTTCTCACATTTTTAATCACCAGATTTGTACCATTTTTCTAATAAAGATGAAACTCACATATGTTGGTGGACCCTACCTCTATTAGAGGGGTGGTAAAAGTATGGTATCAAGAATGTAGTAAGTGTAGCATTACTCGTATATGATTGTAACCTATTTACTTTTCTCTAACTGCTTGAACAAATATTTTTTTTTTCTCAATAAGAATTCTATATCTGAACATTCATTATGATATTTACTGAAAATCAGTGAATCGGAACTAAGCACAGAACCCGTGATCAGTCGGTGTAGGGTTCATACCAAAGCTCACAATCCTCACATACAAAGTTACTTTAGATAATTAAAAGAACATCATGTACAAATTATAATGAACTAATTAGTTTACTAATTAACAACAAAACATATCTTTATCATGAAAATAATAATAATAACTGCATTAATACCTTCTAATGGAGTCAGGCCTGTACAGTTACGGAGGAGCTCAAGGATACACAGCCTTTCAAACGTTCAAGAATTACATTTCTGCTTACCAATCCGGAGTGGTGCGTGAGAGGAAGACCCTCCTTCACACACTCATCATACTTCTCCAAAGTAGACACAATATTGCTGAAATCTGGCCGCTTCGCAGGGTTTTCCGCCCAGCAGCGCTTGATCAGGTGTGCCAGTGCCGGTTGACAACTAGCCGGCATTGGAGGCCGTTCATTCTGCACCATTAGTACAAGTAATGTTACAACACAGCATCTCTATCATCAAATACGAAATTAAATATATTTCTGACACTAATGAAAGGATTTACAATTTGAAAAGAAAAATAATTGTCTTGTTACATATAAGTACACAATCGTAAATTAGATTTTGATGTGCACATGAACTTTTCTTTTTGTAGTTGTAACGAGATATTTAGTTACATGTGCCAAATTGTGATTGGCAGTTACGGAGCATGCAGTATTTGTTTGAAAATAAGCATCTCACCTTCTCAGCCACAGCAAATGCAGCCTGCACAGGGGTCATTCCTTGGAAGGGAAGCAAAGCTGTTGTCAGCTCCCATAGCACAATCCCGAAACTGTAAACATCAACCTTCCGAGAACAAGGTTTCTCCTTGATCATCTCCGGTGCCATCCAACGATAAGTCCCCTTGTTTCCCTTGGCTTCCCGGCACTGCGTTTCAAGACACGATGTACCAAAATCCGCCACCTTAACCCTCATATCATCATTCAGAAGCAAGTTATTTGATTTGAGGTCCCTGTGGATCACCCCTTGTGAATGAAGATACTCCATTCCGCGGGATATGTCAAGAGCTAACCTCAGAATTGTTTCTGTGGACAGAGAATATGGCTCCTTCTTGTTGAGATACATCCTCAATGTTCCTTGTGACATATATTCTGTGATTATACAGTACACAGGAGGCTTTTTACAAGCTGCAATAAACTTTAAAACAAAAAAAATTTCACCAATTTAGAAACACAAAACTCTAATTTAACTACAAGATCTTCAATTATCATATATCATATGATCAGCAAGTGCTGATAGTCGAGGATTACAAGATTAAAACTAGTTTAAAAGTCTATCTCATATTATGAGCTAAAATCATTCCAATTAGAAAAGTGATTTTCACACACTTACGTTTATTTTTGGACATTTGGATTGAATAAATCAAGAGAGAATCGAGAAATAGAAACAAACATCGCTGTGCAGAAATGATTTTCCTTCTATTGGAAATTGGGACATAAATTTTACCTGCACTATGTTGGGATGAAAGAGGCGGGAAAGCAGGGCAACTTCGGACTTGAATTGCTGCTCAAGTAAGCTTCTGGTCTCCTCCCTCTGGTTTGGAATCCTCACCATTTTCACAGCAACAGCTCTCTGCTTGTAGATTCCACGATAAATCCTACTGTGCGCACCAGACGCAAACTTGTTACCAATAAACAGCTGAGAAAGATCAGCAGTCCACTCCTCCTGGTCCTCCTTTGAAACTTCCCAAGTTTCCACATTTTCTGACTCCAGTATCATAGACCATGAATCCAAGCTGTCAAACCTCTTCCTTTCCATGCTGTTCATTTCGGAATTGAACTGGGATTTCTTTGACGAGGAAGGGTTTGGCAAAGGTTTGCTCTTCAACTTTCGCAGACGGAGCTTATGGAAACATGACGTCGCCATTGGTGTTAAGAAAAATTGGCTGGTAGTATATGAAATATGGGGAGATACTTTTTATTTCTGTCAAAACAAACAATCAAAATGTATTTTCCTTCTGAATGTGTGAATTGATTTCATGAAGTGCATGAACTGATTCCGAAACATGGGTGTTGAGGAAAAGTGGATTACATACGTGGGTTTTCATTAAGAACATGTTATCGGCAAAAAAGCTTTGAAATTTTCGGAGAAAAAACACAGAGATAGAAGAACCAAGAGACTATTTTCCATGAAAAAGATAAGCTATTTGTTGTTGTGTATCAAAGCTTGACTAACCGAGTGGAGGAAGAACTCTTGTGATGAAGCAAAGTGGTTCGAGAGAGAAGTAATAATTTCATTTCATGGTTGGAAGAAGAAAATGGAGGTTCAAAAGGAAGAGAAAATGCAGCAAGAAAGTGAAGATTTTGCAGACGAAGAGAGAGAGAGAGAGAGAGAGAGAGAGATTTTTTTGTTGTTTTGTTTGTGATAGGATAAGGAGGATTAGGTCATTCAGCAGTTGAAAAGACGAATTCAAAGGCAGAGATTTCAGGGGTAGCTCGTGATTGCTCGCTTCAAAGTTTACTTTTCTGTTTCGATCGATCGAGAGAGAGAGAGAGTCCAGCTACTTCTTTTGTTGTGTTTCTGTGGCAGGTTCTTTTTAGCATCATCAAGGCTAAGTGGTTACAGTGGAAAGGTCTTTAACTGTAATGCCACTTGCTCCCTACTCAAATGTCATACAAACAAAGAGAAAAACTTCTTGCGTTACTCTGACGCTGTTCCGAACTAATTATCAATTATAATAGAAAAAGTAGAAACGTGTGATATAATGCTTAATTCCCTTATAATATCGCCACTTGTCATCATGGTATAGGTAAGAAGAAGAAGAAGAAGAACGTCATACGTGGCAAGGGGCTTCACCCAGAAATGAAATTTACACAACCGACAAGGACTGGTGGGCTGAGCGACAATTGAAAAGTGGCAGAACTTGATCCACATCATGTTACATGTTGGGTTTTTCTAACAAAAATAATTTCTTATTTAAAGAACGATTCCAAGCCAATAAGGCTCCCAACTTTGCAATGGTTGGAAAATGAACGTCTATCTTCACAGCCTTACTCTTACTTTGCAAAGAGGTTGTTTCCACGACGGTCATGGGTTCGAGTAAAAATTAAATAATTGCATCAACAACTCTTTCTTCTTTAATCAATATTAATCAAGAGGAGAATCTAGGATTCAGACAAAATGATCTATTACTCTTCCCATCATATGATATGCTTTTGTATACAAGCGATTTAGTATATTACTACGCTAAGCTACACTAAGAGGAAGGGAGAAGGTTTGAACTGAAGACACAGTAAATTACAGTGAAATATCCTACTCAACAAATCAATCCACCACGTGCCATCATACGATATCCTCAACAATGCCTAATCTTCTTCATATCCAGATTAATATATCCCTTGATTCTTGAAGAAAACTTTGATGGCTCTGATTTATGTCAACATAATACCAGGTATAATACTTGGAGCCCTAAAATTAAATACTCATCCCACAACTTTATTCCAAACTTAAGGAAAAAAGAGTGGATGTGGGGTGGGGAGCTGAGAGAGAGAGAAGAAAGTGTTGTCTTCTCATTTCAAAATAATTCTTTAGGAAATTAGGAGTACAAAGCAATCATTCTTAGGTTTTGGAATCAGATTAAAGAGCAAGCATGCATATAAAGAAATGAATATTACCTAAATTTAATGTGCTGATATGATCGTTGGAATTAGATTAAAAAGTTTATATTCCGCTACTTGTCACAAGAACCTGAGTGGTTCTCAGCAGTTGATGTTTTTCAGAGTTTACATAAATCAAACCCGGCCATGGCATTGCCATCAGTGTTGATCTAACCGGTTCCACTGGCCATTTTATGTGTCCAAACAGGCACAGAGATATCAAAACCATAAAACCAAATATTCCCAAGAGGAAGAACCTGCATTGCTAAAAAGGAACCGTAATCAAATATACAAGCAAACGACTACGTATGGCTAAAGCAAATAGGAACTAATCAATCTATTCCCATTCTCCTTGAGAGAGAATCGCTGATGCGCCAAATCTGCATTAGATACGATAACCAGCATCAGTTTAATGACAACAATGACACCTTCAGAATAAAATCATCTTATTAATGCATGATCGACAGATAATCCACCATATAAGCATCAAATAAAACAGAATTAAAGAGTTCAACATGATATATTGCGTATTCTCACTGTAACGAAAAAATTCCAACAAGCAGCTTAATCGTCCTGGTCACCATATCCGATCACCTCTTTCTTCCACCACGCTCTCGTACTGAAAGGGTAAGTGTTTCTCCAGCTCCAACATTGTAGTAAGCAAGCGACAAATTGTCCTTGAGAAAGCCGGGTTTTGCACGAAGCTGAATCTCCGAGGAAATTTTTTCTTTCAGCTTAACAACAGATTCAGACAAAGACTGCACTGTAATCTCCAAAAATTGCCCCTTAAGATTACCTTCATTGGCACTAGGACAGAAACTCTGATGCAAACAGGTCCCCGATGCTGTGCCAGAAACCGATCCTCCGGAATAAGCATATATATTTGATGTGAATTACATGAGTACTTCACAACCATACAGTTGTAATGTAATTTTTTTCTCGTGCATCTGTTTGCTTATAAGGGGACTTGACCCCTTTGTATAAGCCATAGGTGAGCCCAAAACGTCCTAAGTTCTTAATTCTCTCAACCCTATCAATTATTGCGTCAACATGGAGAAGAAGTGACATTTATTCAGAGCTACTTTGTATAATTTCTCGAGTTAACGTGTAACGAGCACAACACTCATTAGAAAGTGGTTGAAAAGCAATTATGTTCTTGGTGATGGCCTACACGTAGATCTGTGTTGGCGCTTGAATAGACCTGTCTTTGGAGCTCCGTGCCAGAAAGTTGTTAAGTATGATAATTGGCTTGAGCAGTCAGAAAGTACTTTAAATTCTACACTCATCTCTTCTTATCAACAGACAATTAAGGACTATGAGTGGTCGTTTGACACAATCATCTTTATTTTCGTAGTGGTCTCTGTCATCGGGGTTTCTTTGGTTGGCTTTACGTCTTCATCTTCTTATCCTTTAGTGGGCTCTCTATTCAGCCCAAAAACACTAGATATTATCTTAATAAATCTAAAAAACCATGCGTTAACCATTGTCAAGCTTCTGCCGCTTTGGCTTGGGCTCTTCTGGAAGTGGTGGACAGGCTTCTTCAGGTGGTGGTGGTGGTGGAGGCATGACCTGAGGCAAAGGCGGCGGTGGCATCAATTGCATTGTAGGTAAAGGAACAGGGAAAGGAATACAGGCACGGGGAACTTGCGTGGGTTTAAAACACGGGACTGTGTTTAGAGGAACACAAGGTAGATTCAAGGTCGGACCAGGTGGCGGGAGAAGAGTACGAGCTGAAGGCACATTCAATTTTGGAGGAGGTGCTGTAGGACCGGGAAGGTTCCTTGCATCATTGTTAAGAACATAATTTTGTTTAAAGCCAATGGTTCCAGTGTGACCATCCCATATGACCTGCTTTTCTTGCTCATCTTTCTTTTTTTCGATCTCAACCCTGACAGTATTAGAAACCTCTTCCTCTGTGGTACCGAAAATATCAGGACGGGTTCTTGCAAGTCCCATAATGTTCCTTGAGATTTCGTCATCCTGAGCAAGAGTAGTATCCCTAATCTTAGCAAACATCCTCTCTTTCTGATCTTTGAATTTCGGATCAATGAGAGAAATCCTCATGTATTCAGACATCTCACTGATTGGAATAAGCTCCTGGTGACTGGCAAAACAACATACTTCGTTGAGTCTCTCTCGGCATGAATCCTCTCCTCTGGTCTCCTCCAGTTCTTCACAACTCTCATCGGTTCTTCTACGTCCTTTGTCGCCAACCCCTCTTCAACAAGCTGCATCTCTTCGTCATCCATTTCCATTTCAATCTCCTTATCAAACTCGACAACATCTTCTTCCATATCCGTGACCCTGATCCTCCTAGAAACCTCCTCAACCGTCATCGGAGAAGGTAAATACTCATCCTCATTGTCCACAAAATCTACTGTCTCAACGACCACAAAATCAAACCAATCAATCATAGCCATTTGGATCCTTTCCCGCTCAATCTCATCCTCCACCTTCCGCCTTTCCTTCTCTTGTGACTGCTCCCACTCCAGCCGGTTTGCACACCGTTCAAGCACGGTTTCCATGTCTGCAACACTTCGCCTAAGCTTCTCTGTTAAAGCGGCATCAACACCTTCGAATACGCATCAGCAAGAGAGGTAAAAAACGCAAACATCACACTGCCCGGCTTCAGAAAATTGAACTGGGAGTTCTTGATTTCCCTGCTTGTCAATCCCGCCAAAAATGACTTCCCGTTTCGAGCCACGAACTGGGCTGTCAGCTTAACAATGTCCAACTCTTCCCCAGTAATCCCTTCCGGAATCCGAACAGTATACTGCTCAGCTTCCGGTGTCTCGATTGCCTCTTGCACCGTTTTAAACTGGGCAGAGGGATCAGGCGTTGGTGACCCTGCTCCACCATCTGAGGCGGGAGCCGGTGGCGCCGCCAACTCTGGCGCGGCAGAGTCTGCATGTTGCTGATTCCGGTCCCGGAATTCAGACAACCAATGCTGATAATACGCATGGTAAGGACTTAAAGAACTCAAAAAGTCGAACTTCGAATTTCCAGAATTTTCAGCGACGATTCTTTTCACGAATTCGGGTCCGTTTTTCGCCACGAAGTGCGCGGTTTTGTCGACGATGGTTCTGATGTCTTGGGGAGGACGTATGACGCCGATAATCCTAGTGTGCGACGTCGTTTTGGATTCCGAAATGGCAAGCGTGAAGCTTCCATCGGAAGCAGGATCCTTTGACAGCGACATTGAAACGTCGGAATCGATTTTCTGAATCTCTCGAAAAGTTCGGTACCGATCGAAAGAGCGAATCGAACCCGGACGGAATTCGAACACCGGAATCGAAAAACGGAAACAATTTGTAATCTTTTGAAGCAAAACGAATAAATTGTTGCAAATTCTAGAGAGAGAAAGTAGCTTGGGGTTTATGATCGCTGCTCTTCTGGGTTCTGAAAGCAAGAACGAACTGCTGAACTTATAATTCACATTGTTTATATACAGATATTTGGATACTAATTACCGTAGGAAATCCAGAATCCTAATTCCTAATGGAATCCAAGTTTCAAATGGGAGATACAAAACAGTAGTGATTTTGCAGAAACAGCCCAACAAGTCTGATACCTCTTTCTCAAAGCCCGCTAAAACATAGGCCCAAAAAGGAAGGCTTCTCTTCTTTTTCTTTTTTGAATAAACAATATTATCTATACAAAATATGAGGGATGTGGACTTAGCCTCACAGTAGGCTTCTCTTCTCTCTTGATTTCTTGGCATGTTCATTTCACTTATATGGAATGGTTATTCCAATTATTCACGTCCTTAACTTCTCCGTGTTTACTAATACATATAAAATAGTGAGATTAACTAATCAACTACTTGATTATGTACCCATTCCTTCTCGTTTAAACATATAAAATAGTCAGATTAAATCACAACTTTCTCGTTTAAAGTAAGTACATATTGTTGTTAAGCTCAAAATTGAGAAATCAATAAAAATCAATATGGTCAATTCTTGGTTGGTTCGGGATGTAAAGCTAGATTATAAACCAAAGGATTTGAGTGGTTCACCCCTAAAGATGAGCTATGTCCACTGTAATGATTTGATATATATTTGATGTGAATTACATGAGCACTTCACAACCATATAGTTGTAATGTAATTTTCTTCTTGTGGATCCGACCGCTTATAAGGGGACCTGACCCCTTTGTATAAGCCATAAGTGAGCCCAAAACGTCCTAAGCTCTTAATTCTCTCAACCCTATCATTTATTGCGTCGAACATGGAGAAGAAGTGACGTTTATTCAAAGTTACTTGTATAATTTCTCGAGTTAACGTGTAACGAGCACAACACTTAATAGAAAGTGGCTGAAAAGCACTTTACCCGAGGCTATGTTTGACAATATTCATATCCATTCATAGACTTATGTTCTTGGTGATGGCCTACACGTAGTTTTGTGTTGGCGGCTAAATGGACCTGTCTCTGGAGCTTCGTGCCAGAAAGTTGTTAAGTATGATAACTGGCTTGAACAGTCAGAAAGTACTTTAAATTCTACACTCATCTCTTCTTACCAATAGACAATTAAGGGCTATGAGTGGTTGTTTGACACAATCATCTTTATTTTCGTAGTGGCCTCTGTCATCGGGGTTTCTCTGGCTAGCTTGCATGACCAGCGTTTTGATCTTCTTATTCTTTAGTGGGCTCTCTATTCGGCCCAAAAACATTATATATTATCTTAATAAATCTAAAAAGACTTATGTGTTAATCATTTTCACTAAATAAAAATTTTGTCATGTACCAACAAGAAAATTACCAAATAAGGGGAAGTAAGATTCTCTCATTTCTTATTACCACCCCCTCCTCTTAGGGTTGAAAAAAATTTCCGAAAATCCCAAACCAAATCGAAAAAATCCCACACCCAAACCAAAATTATCCCGTACCGAAAAATACTGAAATATTAAGTATGGGATTGGTTTCCAGATTTTATTTATTTGGTATCTCGAAATCCCGAAATCCTCTCTTCCTTTGATGTATGTTCCTACTTTCCAGCGCTACCAAAAAAAAAAAAAGATTGGCATACAAATAAAACCAATGCCAGAACCGTAAAAAGAAAAGTTCTCTCCTCTGTGAGAGCTTTCTCTCCGCCGTGAGAGCCCTCCTCTGTGAGCGTATTTCTCTTCTTGGTGAGAGTCTGATCGAGAAACCTTGAACACATTTCAGTTCCTGTCTTTAATTCATTGACCAACCTTCTGACGCCTTCAACTCCCTCAACAACCCCACCTAAATCCCCACCTTAACAAATCCACCTACATCCCGCACTAAAACCTTGTCTGCATGCACCCAACCCCTTATACTCTTAAATTCCCAAATCTTTGAATCCAGATTTGCCCTGGTGGGTCAGGTTTGGAGAGTTGTGGGGATGGGACAGCTAATCCCTCCTCTATCCGCAGAAGGATTCAGGAATGAAGCAGCCCTAGCTAATTACAGATCTGACGACTATGGCAATCAGACTCGAAGTAATTACCCCCACCTCTCCGGATAAGTAATTACCCCCAACTACCCAAGGCTATCAAGGCAGAGACAGATATTCATACCACCAACGGATCTAGCGGTTTGAATTAGGGATTTACGATTTTGGGCTTCTGATTATTTCTGGATTTGGATTTCTAGATTAATTTTCTCTGGATTTTTTGATTAATATTATGTGGATTTGGTTGATTGGATTTCCGGATTTGCATGGTCAATTTCTCCTATTTGATTTCTGGATTTGTATGTTCGAATTCTGCAGGTCTTAAGGCAATTTACGCATTGGTCACTATTTCGGGAATTCCAATTTGTCTCGAAATCCTAAAATTATTTCGGATTTTCAAAAATTTGGTTTAGGATCGATCTTGAAATTAGGATTCTTGAAAACTTCGGTTTGGAAATCAGGACGTGATTTTCGATTCGATATCCCATACCGAACCAACTGTACCTTCTCTCACATTTTTTTTTTTTTTATTGTCTATGTGAGAAATTTTTTTTTTTTTGTTTTTGAAATAGAAGGAGAAAGGAAGAAGGGATAGAGAATGTGAGGTGGGAATTTTTTTATTTAATTAGAGATATGTTAGAATTACATGTAGATGAATTTTTGAAAAAAATAGTAAAATTTAATTGTGTGAAATTATATTTCTGTCTCGTATTTCTTATTCATGTTCTGTTTTAATCATAGGTTAAATCTGGTAATTTTATAGAATTTTAATTAATAAAGAATGTTTTATTAATTAGTATAATCATTTAAATAAGATATGATAGAACGAAAGAAAGAGCAGGAAGGAAAAGAAACCTCTTGTAAAAGAGTACGATTACTCACAACGAACCCCTAAAATATACCATCATCGTATCTGAGTGAAATTTTTCTAATTGGTCAAATCAATCAAATGATCATCTGATTGATGACAGCATATTTAATGTCTATGTGCATTATGGTCATGAGGCCATCAGTCATGTCATATGCATTGTTATTGCATGAAACATGCATGAGCTCCAAATTACCAAACTCTCCTTCTCTGTCGCACCCATTATTTTCCCTCCACCGACAACTTTCTTAATTAATGCTTTTATAATTAAGGAAAACAAATGAAAATGATTTAAAAATTTTGAATTTTGATAAAATAAAGAATAAAGTAAATAGTACCATTATTATTTTATAGTGTAAAAATATGATTTATCGTTAAAATGAGCAATACTGAAAGTTTTTTTGTTAAAATTCCCTTATAATTATAGGTGCTTTCCTTAATAGGACACTAATCGGCTTCCCTCTATGTCATTATTGTACTTCAGATAGCAGTAATAGCTTAATTACAAAGTGCCTATTTAAATATAAAATGATCCCGTCAAAGAAAATATGTGTATATATATGGGTTAGATTCGTGATACCAATTCTTTTACACAAATTTTGACACAAATTTTTGTGAGGCTCACTTTATAATGTATTTCAATGATTTGAAGTATCTATCTTTTAAGTCTTCCATAAAAAATCATGTTCATTAAAAATCATCAAAATCTGAAAACCATATTACTATTGGATTAAAAGTTTAGGATTTCTTTGCATGACCGTATTCGTCCATTTTGTTCACCATAAATGAATGTCTTAATGATTTGGGATTTATCTAATTTTTTGTAAGGATGATCTATGAATAATGTTATAAAAGATAGATTGTTCAGATCATTAAAATACCTTACGAAATGAGTCCACAAAAATCAATATAAAGAATTGTGTAAAAAAGGTATCGTCACGGATCTATTTGCATATATATATAATTGTTCAATCAAAATATATTGCTACTAAAAGCAACTCATCGTCTAACTATAGTTAATATACATTTGCATTTAATTTATTTAATAATTCACTAATGCTATAATTATGTTAAACCTAATCATCATTCTTTCGTTTTGATGTACGATGATTGCTGTTGTTTGTTCCAATGAGTAGATTGAAGAGACGCTCAAGTTTCTCCTTTTATCATGATTTTTTTCTTTCTCCATAATTTTTTCAAACAACAAATGTTTGAATTAAAATTGCGTATTTATTCATAGTTTTTACGAACAAGTTGTGGAATGACATTCTGGCTATCCGTTATACATTTTAAGTTACTTTTGGTCAAGCTCTCAATTGGGCCGATTCCATTACGTTATAGGCTTAATTAAAATTAGAAAACCTTAAGTAGTAAAAAAGAAAATTAATGAAAATGGCTTGCAAACTTTGAGTTTTAACAATAAAGATAAAATAAAGGTAAAATGAATGGTACCATGATTGAATTTTTAGTGTAAAAATATAATTTTTTATTAAAATAAACAGTACCAAGAGTTTTTCGTTAAAATTATTTAAATAAAAATGTAGTTCAGTATCAATGTGGTCTAGCAGTCCATAATCCAACATTATCATATTAAACCGGCCCAAACATTTGGAGCTCAGACCAATTTTACCGTCCTAAAAGCAAACTTTAATCTTGAAGAAGACTAAAGAATAAAGGACGGAAAGATGCAAAGCTACTACAAAGTACTAAGCTACAGGTAGCGTAATTAGAAAAAGATACAGCAAACAAACCTACTTTCCAAATAAGGACGCAATTGCAAGCATAGAGGAAGAGAATCCCTTGCAAAAGAAAAAGGGGAGCAGCTTTACGGCCATGACAAACTATCGATTCCAATTCCTATGTCTGGTTTTGGCCCACCGTAACATAAAATTACCAAATTACCCTTTTCAAAAATTAAGGTTGGTAATGACTTGTTATTCTTTGATCTCAAAAAATAAATAAATAAATTTGTTATTCTTGGTGGAAACTTGACCAAGAAGTATGGTTGTGAGAGATCAATATCATGTAGACTATTTGATGTAGAACAATGTTGTAGTGAATCGCTTATTACGTGTGAGTTGATTATGACCGTTTATATATTGTGATAATGTTGTTAGGATGACTACTCATGCGAGTGTGAGATGGTTCTGACTTTTAATGCAATGTAAGAAGACTAGCACAACGACTACCAATGCATTGCTCATGCATCAAGCATTAGTTGAATTCACGAACTAATATATTACAAGATGAATTATCCGATGCTATTCTTATGCGCATGAGTTGATCATAACTGTTAATGCATTGCAAGAAAAAACTGCCACTACGACTACTAATGTGCGTTTGGCCTGGTAAGATTGCCCTAGGAACTAACTCTGTACCTATAAATTTATATATAAATGACTGTCGCTAATATTAACTTAGACTTTACCACCTGTGGTATAATATAGTATCGAGTGGAGTCGGTGAGCTAGGCAACAAAGATTGAGGGGGTAAAAGGGTAAAATCAAAGGCTACTTGGTGAGTGAGTGTGTGAGGTGGGCGCATAACAAGAGCCATCATCAAAATAGGGAAAAACCCAATCGAGTAACATCGCTGTATCGACATCTGAAGACAGCGGACACACACATCGTTATCACAAAACCTCAGACCCATTTCAGTCATTTGCGTCACCTCCTCCCTCGAACTCCCACCATCACCATTCACACCCACACGCCACTCTCTCTCTCTCCTCACTTGCAACTCTAACGTCTGCAGCTGCTGCTGCTACTTCCTCTCTGTAAAAACCCCAAAAATGAGCAGTCGAATCCCATCTCACCAGCTCAGCAGCGGGCTGGTGGTGTCGGGCCGGCCCGAGCAGCAGCTAAAAGAGCGCCAACCGACAATGGCGTCGCGCGCCGTCCCATACACTGGCGGTGATGTGAAGAAATCTGGAGAGCTAGGCAAAATGTTCGACATCCAAATTGCCGATCATCCTCTTTCTGCCCCATCCAGCGGACCTCCTCCTCTTTCCAAGCTCTCAGGCTCACGCCCGTCTTCCTCCTCCCAACACAACAGCGGATCCGTTCGATCGGGACCCAACTCCGGTCAGATTTCTAAGAAATCCTCAGGCCCCTTGACTCCACAGCTCCAGGTAACTGGCCTTATCACCTCCGGGCCGTTGGGCTCGGGCCCACTAAGTTCCGGGGCCAGAAGGTCGTCTGGTCAGCTGGAACACACTGGCTCGATGAGCAAAGTGCTGTATGGTTCGTCGGTGACCACTTTAAGCGAGGAGGTGAAAGTGGAGTTTCGGGTGTCGAAAGTGGCGGTTTGGGTGTTCATGGTGGTGGCGGCAATGGGGTTGCTGGTGGGTGGGTTTCTGATGGTGGCCGTCAAGAAATGGGTGATGTTGGTGGCGGAGGCGCTCTTTCTGGTGCCGGTGCTGGTGGTTGTTGTCTGGAATTGTGTTTGGGGAAGAAAAGGGCTGCTAGGGTTTGTGAGGAGGTACCCAGATGCTGAGCTCAGAGGTGCCATTGACGGACAGTACGTCAAGGTTACTGGGGTAATCACTTTCCCCATCTCTCTCAGATTTTCCTTTCCTTTTTCATATTTATTTATTTAGTTGCTTGCCCGCTCTTAAAATAATTGGGTTCTCTTGCTATTCAAATTAGATACTTTCCCAGTTTATTATTGATAGGATTTTTCCCACTCCATAAATGCGGTTAAATTACATAAAGATATTCAGGATAGGCCAAGGCAAAACCAGGGTTAAATCACGTAGAAATATTTTTAAGAGAACAATGTTACTGTAATATAAACGGCTCAACTAAAGTCGATCCCCACAGAGGCTAATATAAAGAACTTTCGTTAGGGAGAAAATCAATGTGAGAAGCACTAGGGTAGCCGTCACCATTAACACTCTTATATAGTCATACCAGCTTATGAGTTAACACATGCAAATTTGCAAAAATATAGAAGACACCCTTGTAGTATAAAGAACAAATTGTCAAAAGCTCCTCGTCCGAGTTCTCCAAGAAAAGAAACAAAACGTATTGAACCCTAAGGCAAGACTTGCTATATATAAAGAAAACTAGAAAATCATAATCCTACCAAAAATAGGTCTTCTAATAAATCTGGAAAACCAAATAAAATAATATAACCAGAATATACATTCATATTCTACTTTGGTAAACTGGGTAGCCAGAAAGTCACACGTTTTCAAACCAAATATGCATAAAATCAAGCATGCAAGTTGGCGTTGGAAAGCTTAAGATGCCCCCTTCAACTTTGAAGAAGGAATTTTTCTAAAATATGTCATCTTGAATAACTTAGCGTCCAAACAATTCAAAAGCGTCAATCTGCCAGCACTTCGTATTTGCCTCCATTTAATTGTCACGATCAAGGTTAAGAATTAATGACTGAAAATTTGACATAATCAACTTCACTTCTTAAGGAATCGGCTTCAATTGGAATCACTCCAAAATCCCATCATTTTCTGTAATTCTTAGCCGTTGGATCGTGACAATTAAATGAAGGCAGATGCCCAGTGCTGATGGATTGACGTTTTAAGACTGGACGTAAGTCTGTCAAGATTACTTTTTTGGAGGAAATTTCCTTCTATAAAGTTGGAAATGACTTCTCAAGCTTTCAATTGATATCTCTTGGGACTGAACTCAAACTACTTTGGTCGGTCAAAAGGTTGAATTTCTGTGCAGTCCAAATACCCGTTAAATGAGGAATGTATTTTTCAATTTTATTATTTTATTTAGTTCTCCAGATTTGTTGGGTGACCTGTTATAGGTAGGATTTGTATTGATTTGGTATTTATAGCCGAGTCTTAGCCTTATGGTTTCTCATGCACGACTTTGCTTTGAGAACTCGGTTTAGAGAGCTTGACGATTTGTACTTCATTATACAAGGGTGTTTTTCCTGTATTTTCATTTTAATAATTTTTTATATTTAATTATGACTATGAGTTACCAATTATCTAGCTTAGCATGAATATATAGTTTCTTTTCAATTTACATATGATGTTATGCATGCTTGCTTTGAAGTGTCAATAACTGATTTTAAACTATGTATATGTTTTAATGCTTAGCTACCATTAAGATGTTTAGGCAAGTAATTGGATGCAATTTTTGTTGAAATATCACCCTAAATTTGGTTAATGCTTTCTTGTGATTGATAATTGTAAGTTCACTTAAGGTGAATGTCACGCTTTTAAGGGTTGCATGGTTTTTCAAACGTTTTTCACAAAACTTAATGAGTCTTGCATGTTTATTTTTATCTGAAAGCCATAGATGGATTGCATGTTAGATATACATTATAGTTTGAATGCCACAACTATAATGCATTAGGAAAACCTAACCTTCAAAGTTAGCGTTTTTAGTTTTTAATGTTTTACTTATTTTCATTTGTTCTTTTAATTCACTCTTCCAACTTTCTAAATTTTGTATTAAATAGGTAATTAAGAATTGTGTTTTGAGTACAAGTTATTTATGCCAGAGAATGACCTTGCTTGAGCCGTTTGCAGTACAATTACCTTTTATCTTGCAAGTATTTTTATGTGATTTAACCCCATTTATGCAGGTAGCTACTATATTTAAACCTTTTGTTTAATGCAACATTTATAGTTTTGCATTGAAGACATTCTGGGTCAATTGTTTGATTTTGACAAAGACTAATGTAAGGAGGTTGGATTATCACAGTCAATTGAAATGTTTCCAGTTGTGTATTGTAGACATACGGGCATTTGGTACCACCTAGGAATTACATTTATCACTAGCAGAGAAGTTAAAAGTAAAACAATATTGCAGAAGCGGATTAGGTCAGTTGGCAGTGACAGTGTGTCTGCCCCTTTGCACTCATCACTCGAGTTTAATCTCCCTCCATGTAGATTAGGGTTGATTAAAATGTTGCCATGTAAAAAATGTGAAACAATCTTGGATGTCACCATAGTAGTAGCTCTTTTATTCTAGTATGATGGTTTGGTTTTATTCTTCTATGCTGGTGTTTCATATCGTGGTAATATATGTGGATATTTCTGCATGTAGGTTGTTACCTGTGGCAGTATTCCGTTGGAATCGTCCTACCAAAGAGTACCTAGGTGTGTATATGTTTCCACAGAGTTGTGTGAATCTAAGGGATGCTGTGTGCACAAGTCAGAGAATAAAAAATCTAGACATTCAGAGGTTAGTTGTCGGAATATTTGTGCTTATGTGCCCTTAGTTGCGTTCAGTGTCAAAGTTTGGCCGACAATGATTTGTGATAAAGATTTGTAACTAATGCACTCACCGATCTGACAGGCCTCTGAGAAGTGAAATCTAGTAGTTACATACATGTATATAGATATGAACACCATTGCTTTGTCTTTTGTAAATGTTTTACACCACAAAAAAGAATGCATATGCAATTCTTTGTGCAAAGATTTCGATCAGGCTGGAATTTTAAAAACTAATTTTATGTTTCTTTTGAACAGAAATATGTGTCTGACTTCTACTTATCAGACTTCCAATCGGGTTTAAGAGCATTAGTGAAAGCTGGCTATGGAGCCAAGGTTGCCCCATTTGTAAAACCAGTGACTGTGGTGGATGTGACAAAGGAAAACAGAGAGCTGTCTCCAAGTTTTTTGCGCTGGCTTGGTGAGCGCAACCTCTCTGCTGATGACCGTGTAATGCGCCTCAAAGAAGGGTATGCTGCTTTTTTTGTGTCTAGTCATACTTTGTGCATGATCATACAAATTTTGAGGTTCTGGCGTTTACAATTTATAGGATTTTAAGAGTGTTTCTTTTTCGTCAGGTATATTAAAGAGGGCAGCACTGTAAGTGTGATGGGGGTTGTCAGACGCCACGATAATGTGGTCATGATTGTCCCTCCAACAGAGCCTGTCTCAACAGGCTTTCAATGGTTTCGCTGCCTTCTCCCAACCTATGTTGACGGTCTCATTCTGACATGCGATGATAATCAGAATGCTGATGTGGTTCCTGTGTAGATATATTCAGTTCCGTGATAGTTTTGTTTAGAAATGGGTTTGGCATGTGAAAATATGAAGGCTGAAACCGAAGGAAAAAACACACGACAACCGGCTCTGTTCTTTCCTTTCGCGGTTAAGTGTATGTAAGCCTAAAGATGCAGTTCAGAAAGACTGAAGATACTGTGAAGGTGGTAATGTAATAGGGCAACAAGGCTCTACTACTACCCTTTTGAAGAAGTTTGTAGATGATGTAACGTCGGAAATCTGGATGCTCTGATTTCATGTACATATGTCATAGCTTCATAGTGTGCCCAAAGGGGTTCCGGCTGCCTTTCGTGACTTTCATCTGATGCTCCATTTTAGTACAAAAAGTAGTTCCTAGGGTTCCTGTGGTTTCCTTTTTTGTTCTCGTGTATTTGTATTTCATCCTGCAATATGTATTTTTTGTGACAAGAAGAGTAATGTTGATATTCTTTTAAGCATGGGATTGTGTAGTGTTAATGTTTCGTGCCAGAGGACTTTAGTGCAAAAACAAGCACAGTGGCCTTCTAAGATTCATACAGCCGACCTCAATGGGATGACGTTTTGTTATTGTTGTTATAATGTTTCGTATCAAAGATTGTAAATGCAAAAATTACGCTCCGTTGTGAGATTTATATGTATTATTATATTTTGGAAATTTTAGCGAAAAGCTCCCGATATTATTTATTTTAACGAAAAACTACATTTTTACATTAAAAAGTCAATCATGATACTATTCATTTTACCCTTTATTTTGTCCTTATCATTAAAACTCAAAGTTTTCAAACTCTTTTCATTAGTTTTCTTTCATATTTTTTGGTATCAGATTGGAAAGAATGACCGTACATTATGAGATAGCGAAAATTAAAGTCGAAAATCAATAGCAGTGAATCTTATTGATATTTACTTCAAGGTCTAATGCCAATTATGAAAAACATTTGTTCTTGTAGTGATTAGAGCAAAGAACATGTCGATAAAGAAGGGAATTAGAGTCGAGAGGGCATCCCTCCTGCCACCACTATAGTTTCTCCTGTTATGTAAGAAGCATCATCAGATGCCAAAAAGGCAGCGGCAGCAGCCATGTCTGCAGTGGTGCCGAGCCTCTTGAGCAACGTGTTCTCCTCGAGGGACTTCCTCTGCAACAAAATACCATTCGAGTTCAGTCAACCATGAAGGTGAAAGCCCTTTACCCAAGATCCGTTGTAAAGGAACTGTATATATGCATGTATATACTTACCACAGCATCATTTTCTGTAATGTATGAAGCAAAGTTTGTAGGAACAAAACCCGGAGCAACACAATTTACGCGTGTATCTGGCGCCATATCACCAGCAAGGGCCTAAAACAAGACCAGCAAAGAATGAGAAGAAGAAAATGTGTGGCTTCTGGAGTAGAAGAAACAAACGGCATAAGACATGAACCACCTACATACCTTGGTTAGCCCAAGAAGGGCTGTTTTAGTGACCCCATACATAGCCATGGCAGCTCCTGGTGGATTGTAGCCAGCAATTGAGGAAATAATAACAACAGAAGAACCCTTTGTCAAGTGCGGCGACGCATCCTGCAAAAATAATCTAATACTATAACCTAGCATACTACACCAGACATTTATGCACATCGAAAATGTGAGGAGAGGACAAAATAAGTCATATAAAAGTTTATCTCGGCAACTGTTTAAGGATCAAGCAGAAAATTTCCATCGGAAAAGAGCTCGACTGCTCAATCATGTCTTCCTATGACATTTTACCTTGAGAAGAAGTATAGTAGCTTTGACGTTGATTTCCCATAGCTTGTCAAGCACAGATTCTTGGGTTTGCAATATGGGGTCAACTGATGGATTGGCAGCTGCATTTGATACTACCACATCTATTTTTCCATATTTCTGCAAACAAACCAGTAAAATTCATCGTTTAGTAAAATGGCATTGAAGAATCATTGAGACGGAGAAAGTGATTGTTTATAAGGAACAGAGATCATCTCCTTTCGAAGGTGAGTTAGATCAAAGGTTGTAATCAAGTATAATTCATTATGACACCGTAGCAGTCTACTATATCTACCAGCTTTTGGATGTGTATTTCCCGTCTTGCTTCGATAGTAGACACAAAAAATCATGGATTCAATCATTCAACAAATGTTCTTACCTGCACAGTCTTGTTGATGAAATTCTTCCTTTGTTGCTCATTTGAAACGTGGCATACGACTCCCAACGCTTCAATTCCTTGAGCTTTAAGTTTCTCAACTGCTTCATCAACGTTTTTCTGGAACAATTTGATCAATCACGAAAGAATATTTGCCCCATCACAACCATTAAAAAACAGCATAAAACTCAATTACCACTTGCTGCTTATGGAAGATAGCAAAAGAAGCAAAATTTGTGATTCAAACATGTACGATTTAGATTGATTTAAGTTCATGGTATGCAATATTTCACTAATTCTTCCTCTCTTCATTTCCCCGGAAATGGGTGGGAAAAAACATCTAAAACTTCTCCATTTTAAGAAGCTAAATGTTCGTTTCGGACTGCTTCTGTAGAAAGCACTTACGACATAGAATGCTTTTATTAAAAACATATAGAAATTTTCTTAAACGCGCTTGGTGCAATACTTCTCGCAAACGTAGTCAGAAGTGCTTTCGGCGGTGAGAAAGCACTTTTATCCAGAAGCCGTCCGAAACATTTAATTTCATTTTCAGCAACAAGACATAACGAAATTCAGGGGTTCATTTTTCGATCCCAATTTCCACAGAAACCCGAAAGAAATCAAATTTAACTAAAATTGAAGAACAAAGTCTAAGATTCTTTCAGAAGAATTGATGAGTGTCGGAGACTGACCTGCTTGCGGGATGAGATGACGACGGAGGCGCCTTCCAAACCGAGGCGCTCGGCGATGCCGAACCCGATGCCCTGAGTGGATGCCGTCACAATCGCTACTTTGCCTTCGAACCTCCTCCCAATCTTCGATTTCTCCATTTTTCTTGGGTTTCTCCGTAACCAGACGGACTTGTTTATTTAGCTGAGCAAAGCCCGGGCAGAGACAAGATTTCTTCTCCCCTTTTTTGTATTTACTGACAATTACGAGTGCGAATCTCGCCGAATCTTCTTTCTGACTCAAATCATATCTGTTTATTGTATATTGTACAATAAAAAATTATTATAAATTTTTTTATTTAAAATTTACTATAAACAATACTGACAAAAACTGATCGCACAATATACAATAAACGAATGTGATTGAAAGATTTCCAAAATCCTCTTGACAATTATTGCCGCTGAGCGATTAAGAAACTAATTACATATGGACTTGTTCACAATTGTATTTTAAAATAATAAGGGAAAATTTGAAATAGGTCCAATTTTATAGACTACCTTTTGAAATAGGTCTAATTTTTAGTGACTTTTGACTTTTGAAATAAATCTAATTTTTAGTTACTTTGGATCCATTTCAAAAAACCCCTTTAAATAACTACTAAAAGTATTTTTGATAAAAATATTTTTAAAATCAATTTTCGATAAAAATTTCAATTGAATCTCAAAAAACACTAAAATGCTTCTTGCAAAAAGTACATATGTTTCTTCCTCAAAATCAATTTCACTGAACATTTTCAAACAAGCCTATAGTAATTATTTAATTTACTACAACAAAACGTTATTAGTCACATTGGTTATATCGTCCAAGTTTAAATTCTCCTTTCTAACAATATTTGAAGCTAATGATTATTTAGCTTAAGAAAGGTTAAAACTTTGATTATTAACCTCAAACCATCTCTTACATGCCCATGAAGAATGCAATCTCTCAAAAGTACTCAACTAAAAATAAACTGCAACAATCAAATATTAATCTCTATCAATTGTAGGGATTTCTGAATTTCTTCAAGAGCTCAGGTATGTCATAGCCAAGCATGTCATCCACAGCTTGAATCATTTTCGGCTTCAACTTGTCGAATTTATCGATGCTGTAGCCGCCCAACACCTCCCGAAAGTGCTCCACGTCTGGAAAGTCGCCAGCCGGTAAATGGAAGTCCCTCTGAACCTGTTTTTTTTTTTGGAAAAATTAACCAGAGTAAGCATGCCTCCAAAGATACAGATTTAAAGATCGAAGAGTGTTGTTTAAGAATCGATATACCTTTGCAAATTCTTCTTCGAGGTTATCGATGAGTTTTCGCTGAGCCTTAGATTTTCCCATCACAGCAGGCATCTCCTTCTTCAGATGACTCATTATGTAGGCATGAATTTTAGCAGCTCTAGCACGTTTTACAAATTCATTGATCTGCAATATACGAAGTAATAGATTTTGGGATTCAAACGCAATGTGCGCAAGAAGAGCAACCAAGCCTTCTTTCGTATATCAACCAAAACAAAATCAAGAAAGATCGAAGTGAGAAGCATATAATCTTACCCGGCGATCACATGCTTTCTTCGGTATATCAACCAGATCCGATAGGAGGTCATCTTGTTCTTTTTCAAACAGTTCTTTACCGATAGGGCCAACGACTCCTTCATTGACAGGCTTATCATTGAATGAGCTGCAAAGCCATGAAGAAATACCAATATTCGATCAAGATCAATTACACATCGAAAACAATCCCAAAGAATTAACAAATCCGAAAAAAGAAAGCCTACCCGATATAAACACGCACAACCTCCGGAGTATTCAAAACTTTTCCAAGCGACCACATCAATGCCCCATAAACTCTCATCAGCTTCAGTGTGTAAACGAAAAGTTAATAACTTGAAATTTGCTTTCAACAAAAGTATAATGAATGCAATATAAAATAGAGGTGCATCTCACTTGTTGAGTATCAACTTGATCAGCTTTATTCAAGACCACTCGAATCTTGTCATCATGACCACGTAGAGATGAAATAACACGTTTAAACTCGTCGCTGATGTCGAGCTTATGAGGATCAAACAGAAGAAGAATGACATCACATTTTGCTGCAAACCATGATATAGCACCAGTGAAATCGTAGCTCCTTTGTGTTCGTTGCTTTTCTCCAGATAGAACTCCAGGGGTGTCCACAAATGTAATTTCATCTAGCAACTATAACAAAAAAAAAAAGAAAGGTTAAAACACTCCAAGAGGAAGACTATGGTGACATAATCAACGGAAATGCTATACAAATAGAGGATTATAAAAATTTCAAAACTCACTGGATGTGGCATTTGTGAACACTCAAATTTTGACAAAAATGCACCTCCGAAAGTTGTTAGACCACTGAAAGGCATGTCTGCATGAACAGCTATAGTATTTCCAGGAATACTCCTCTCATCAGGTCCAGACTGAGAATCGAATTGTGATCAACAATTAGAAATTAGCAAAAAAATTTTAACATACAATATAAAATTCAGGGTGTACAAAGAAATAATGATAAACTTGATAGACTTTTAGAAGGAAACCAGGTGGTTAGCAATTATACCATCACTACAACGAATCTATCTGTAGTAGGTTCTGGTCCAATGTGAGCTCCTGTTCCAACAAGCGAATGTTAAGCCCTTCAACGCTAAGGTTGCCAATTATTCATTTCAAAAATAAAATAGAGATAACTTAACCAACCTGGATAGTCGCATCGTAACAAATGTTTAATAAATGTTGTTTTCCCTGTTGAATACTGACCCAAAAGCATGACCATGGGTTTAGCATCAAAATCACTATTAATCTGCAAAGAAATAAATCAGCCATATGTTTAGCAAATGTACTATCTAAACGAAACAGTGCAAAGAAGAGCAAAAGGATATTTGATTCCCCAACACACTATGAAGAATAAAGAGGTGAACTATACATCCAAAAACATATAGAAAATCCACTCACCAACGATGGAGAGGCAAAATCGTTGAAACGATATGCAAGTTCCAAAGGCTTTAGTTTCTCATTGTACAATCTCTTCAAGCCATCAACGATAGAAGTCACAGCATTGGGAGGGAGCTGAAGAAAAATGTTAAAATAGTCAGGCAATAAGGAGAAGATATCCCTCCATAAATATGTAAAAACAGGTTGATCTATAGATGACAAAAAAGATAATATGTAATATTCGATGAATTAGAATACAGAAGAAACTAACTCCTTTCAATCAAACAAGTAAAGAAACTCGTTAAGGAGATTGTTTAATTCATGAAAAAACATACGACGAGTATAGAAATACAGCAGTAATCAATTGCACAATGGACATCTGGTCTTACTTTCTTTGCTGATTTTGAACCAAACCGCTGAACTGATGGTTGAAATTGAGCAGTTCCTATATCATTGCCAAGGAAGACATTCAGTACAAGATTATAACAAGTACATTCCCAAAAAAGTTGGATCGATTTTCTAACCATTTACTTCAACTCCATATGTTGTTAAACTCTTGGTTTTCTGTCAGTACAGAATCGAGAAAATAGTAAGTGAAAGTCACAATGTATGATATAAAGTAAAAAGGGAGGTAAAAGGAAGACACTCACAGCTATCAAATCATCCAAACCTTCTATAACTGGAGGTTTAATGTTTTCCCAGTCAACTGCAATTGAACATGAATAACTTGAGGCACAAAATGAATGAGACCTAGATAAAATGTATATGTTGGTTCTTCCATAGTTACGAAAACAGAAAATACGATATTAAATGGAGATTCTTGCCTGCGGTTTTGAGGACGTCTGGGCTTAGTTCATGTTCTTGTGCCAAGGAAATCATCTACCAAATTCAACCACACATGAGGGTAAGATTCTATTACAATTCTCAATAGCTAATAAAGCATAAACTAATCAAGAAATATATCCCAAAAATCATGCACAACCTGCATTGCAGTAATGAACTCTGAAAACCCCAAAAATCCCTGTCGTTTCATGTCAGCAATCGCCCAAACCTTGAATGATAAATGAGAAAACAAAAGGTGAGTTCCAAACAATCATACCTAATCCCAAACACAATCAAATTAAATTCCAATACATATCGATCTGAGGGCAAAACCATACAATCATACTTTCCTAGTCGAACATAATAGTTTTGGTACTACTTACGGAAGAGAGAAAAGAATTTTCATTTCTCACAACCAAAACCACTTTTGACTGTGATTGACACAATATATAGAAGTGCTTCTGAGCACCTGTAATGTGCTTTCAAATAAGTATTTAGACTTTTATAAAAATTTCAAAGTGTTTTTACCAAAAGCACTTATGAGCAATAGTGACTTCTACATAAGCAATCCCTATAAATAAAGAAAACTACGAGCCTGCTATCGCAAAAGAATGAAAACCTGCTTGAGTTCTTCTCGAGAAAGCTTCGACATGGCGAAGAACTTGGTGGCTTCGTTTCCAGTAATACGGCCATCGCCATCTAACAACCAGAGCAATACGATTAACAGACAATCGATCAGAAGTTCAAAACCCAACTTTTAATCAAAAATTTGCGAAAGAAAAAGAGGATAACATATTTCACCGGAATCAACCAAGTTGAACCACTCCTGGTAAATCTTCTGATGCTCTTTCGGGCACACACCGGTCCGACCCGATCCATTCTCCATTCGGACGAAAACAGGAGGAACTTCACTCAGAAATTTGAAAACCAGAGAGAGAGAGAGGGAGGGAGAGAGAGTGAGAATTTTCTCTGTTTGCGTAACAGCATTTGGCACTTGGGTTTTTATTTCCAATGCAATGGCAAACGGCGTCGCATTGGGGTCGTGTGGGGCCAGGGTCGCTGTGGAGCGACACGCATGATTTTGATTGACTTTTAACGATTGGGCGATGTGATAATCCTGGTGATGGAGGTGGATGTTGAAAGTGGGCCCCATCGGGGCTCGACAGGATGTAATCGGGCCGTTGGCGTAATACAGCACAGCATAAGATGATGGGGCCTTTTGTAGGGCATTCTGACCTACCATAATATTTGAATTTGGGTAACGATGAACAATAACCTAATTTGAAGTTTTGAATTTTAATTTCGAGCGCCATTTAATTTCGATTACTTTTTATTTTAATTTGTTGGATAATTATTTCCCACAACAACATCAATAAAAGTTTATCTCATTAAACAAGGTCAACTGTATAATTCTTAAAACGTTACTGTAGCGTCAAATATTTCGTTATCTCAAAATACTTCATATTTAAAAAAAAAAAAAACATTTGAATAGCAACTCCACTGTAAACAAACTCAATTCAAATATACTTTCATTAATTATTCCAACAGAAAAAAAAAATACTTACATTAACAAAATAGAATGCAAGAAATTATTTATCAACATAAATATTAGACACATGAAATAATAACATAACGAAAGAAAATTAGACACATAACAATCAGGAATAATTGTTGGATAAAAAATGAACAATTACTAATTACTTAGTAGCGACAACGAAATTTTCATTAAAAAAAAGAAAAAAATAATAAACTGTCCAGTCTCAGAGAAACTAGAGAATAATTTGAGTTTCTTTGTCTTGCAATAAAAGGACCAAAGCATGATCATCTCCATGTCATTGCCCTATTTACTTGAAAATATGCAGCACCAACTCTGCACAAGAGCATAAGAATTTATGTATTAACAGTAATTCGTCGATGAAATTTTAAACTGTCGAGAATATGTAATTACGATACTTTGTTTGGCCGCAAAATTACCTTTGATTTGGAAGGCGATTTTCCACTTTTATTTGCGCTGTTGAGATTGTTGCGTGCTTGCTGAGGCACATTTGGGAACTTTGATGCAGTTTTCTTTTCTTCCTTCACTCGTTCAAATATGTAAGTAAAACCTTCACCAGATTGGGGATCTTCTTCATCCCAATCCCCAAATTTGGGTATTGAAGCTACTCTAGTATGCTGTCACATTACGAATCTTGCATACTTTAGCAATGAATTCTATGTAAGCGGGACGATTACAATTTACGAGCTATAATATGACAGTTGACGATAAGTACTATGTTACATAAAAATAAGGCATAACATTAGTAAATTGATATGTGTTTTATGACTTTAACGGATTGATAACACCATTTGACGGTGACAAGGTTTTATCAATCCGTTACTGTAGAGAGAAAAATGAAGAGAACTTACAGTATCGTGTTGAATATGATTACTGGACTGATGAGTGCTACTGCCAGTACTATTAGGCTTGCTCTGGGAATTGGAAGCGCTATGACTACGATCACTTCCTGATGAAGCCAAGCTACTTTTTCTATCAGATCTCTCACGGTGGTGTCTCGGTTGTTGCTGCAAGAGCGAATAATCAGAGTTGCTCCTTTCGCTGCCAGACTCCGATGTGTAACTCTTGCGGCTCCCTCCAGAAACCCTATGCTCATGCGCAATGCCATGTCGCTGATGCGCACGGTGGCTATTGTCTCCTTCAGTTTGGCGTACTTTTTCGCTTGAGGTTCGTGGTTTGCTGCTCGAACTCGTGGACATGTAAGCAGGTTGTGCGGCGGAGGACTTGAGCATGCTCTTGAAGGCCTCTGGGTTGTCTTCGGGATCATTTGGATTTCCCTTCACTCCATTTTTACGAGCACTTTCAAAACATGCAGTGTATGATATGTTGTCACTGTCCCAGTCCCCAAACTTTGGGACATGGGGTTTTTTCTGCAACAAATTAATCTTTTTAATATTGTTTCTTACAACAACAAAAATCTTCCACGAGGACTTCCATGAATCGAGATGACATTGTTATTATATTCTGGACAATTCGCCCAACGTTATATAAGAAGTTAAAACACATGATAGTGTGTGATTTGCATCGTCAACAGCGATGGCGTTGTAAATAAGTTTTCAAATTATACTCATATAAAGAATCAAGGAAACTTGACTAAAATGATAAAACTTTATATCACAATTGTTGAACTACTAGTCAAAAAATTAAAGATCCAACGACATAAAAATCAAGGGATCTTGACTAAAATGATAAAACATTATATCACAATTGTTGAACTACTAGTCAAAATTAAAGATCAAACGACACAAAAACCAAATATCAACAAATTAATAATCAATGACTGACCAAATATAGCAATCAAATATTGACAAGACACTGAAACTGATCACTTTACAATTGAGATTTGAAAATTGATCATTTTAGACAATTTCCTAAAAATAAAATTCAATATGAATTTAGTCAAACATTGGATAGTATCAAAGATTTTCTAATTAGGATCAATCAACAAAGATTGTCAGCATTTATCAATTCAAATACCGCCTTTACGGTATGAATTAATCTAATATACGGCCCTAAAATCATAATATATATATATATATACACACACACACAAATCATGATCAATTTCTTCAAAAATGAAAAAATACAGTTAGTAGCTATAAGGCAAATTGTAATACTGAATAAAGTATAATATACAGTAAGAATTTCAATACTAAAAACAGAAAATAACTTACGGCCATAATATCAGGTGAATAAATTGTGCAGAAATAAGTCCTTAAGAAGAAGAGGAACAACAAGTGGAGGGGAAGACGAAAACTATAGAAGAAGGGCGATTGATCCGATTACTTGTTGTTTTCAGAGAATATATCCCGTACGCGTTTCGAGCACCAAGAAAATTGGGGGACATGGACGTGCCTTAGAAAATTGCCGATCCGATGGTTACAAAGTTTGCTAAGCGTGTAAACCTTTTCAAAGCCTCGACAAACAGTGTATTTGTTTGCTAGCTTATACTATAAGTTCAATTTATTCATAAAAAAAAAGCTCCTATAGGCGATTTTTATTTTTTATTTTTAACAAAAAACAACAAAACAAACAAGAACAAGAAAACAAGCATATGTATGCCATGGTTGCCATGAAAGTGGAGGTTCTTCGTCCTCTTTCGCATGTTCTCTTCAATTCCGAATTTTCACACAAAATTGTATAAATTCTAGAACGTCATTATGCTCGATTTGCACAAGTACTCCTCTGTTTTGGTTTTGGAATTTCCACACAAGTTAAACATTATTCCAAAGTTGTTTTTCATTTCACTATATATATATATATATATATTTGTGTAAAATTCCCATGAACAGACTTTTTATGGGGAAATTACACAAATATAATACATTACGAACATGAATATTATATAGTAAAGAAGAACAAAATAAGCAAAATTATTTGGCTTAATTAAAAGGACTCCTAAAGCAAGATATCAAATAATCAGGATTTAAAAATACAGAAGACAAAACCAAAAACCTGCTTAATGTCGACAGAAGAATTGCAGTTTGTTTGTGGATCATCCATTCTAATCCAACACAAAAAATAAGAAAAACGTTTCCTTCTAATTAATTAATTGAAGGGATAAAAAATGGTAAAATGCAACTGATCATCATCAAAGGATCATAAAGAGAGAGCAGTAAATGAGAGCATACCTATAGGGACATGTGTTTTTTTCTTATTTATTACTCTTCTAAGCGAGCTCATAAACAAGTCGAAAAACCTAGAGTGTGTGCGGGAAAAAAATGGGAACATATGGAGACTAGGCGATGCAGAAATTATTGCATGTTTATATGATTGCTTGTTCATATGTACGATGTTGGATATAATTAATACAGAAATAATACACAGATGCATGATTCCTTTTATATAATATTAGATACGGCACATTATTAACATTACCTTAATTACTAGGTGACACCCCTACAAGGAAACATGCATTAACCTTGGAACCCAATATATTTCAGTTGTTCATGAATTAGAGATTGATGATCATCTTTGTGGTATCTCAGATTAAACTCTCTAAATGCTTCGTATAGAGGAAGACACGAACCCAGGATTTTGTTTAATTTGGTTTGTCTTCCTCGTTAGCTGGAAAATCAACTCCTAAACAATTTGTTTGCTGACTTAAAAATTCAAGTACGAATAGATAGGATCGATGGTGATTAAATAGTAGACAATCGAATTCCCAATAGCCAGTAGAAGGTCGCCTTTGAGCACACAGTTTTTATAATGCACTGGTTCCAACTTCCAAACACGTTCTTACGCAAACATACAGAAGAAATATATTCACGCGGTCCATTCAACAGTAGAAGATAGAGCTGCGTTATAATCCTGAACCCCTTACTTTCAGGCCTGTTTAGTTTTGGATTTTAATGGAAAAGAACCATGCTTCCAGCGCAGGTCTGGTTTGTTTATTTCCAGCCATTAGAAAGCGTTTTAACAGCAAAGAAAACGTTTCTTCTCAGATAGGGTAAAAGCTAGCTAAACATATAAAGCCTTTTAACTGGAAATTAGCTGGTTGTTGTTTTGTATAATTATATGCATAATTTGTCGAAAATGGCCAAAGAATAATATTTTGAACCCAAAATTTTTTTATTTATTTAAATAAACGATATTATCTACACTAAAATAGAGAATGTGGGTTTAGCCTCACGAGCTAGCAATAGTGTGGTTCAAATTCGCCTTTGGTGAAAATCGAATCTAAAACCTCTCATTTACAAGTATTAAGTGAAACCATAATTGAACCTAATACCTCTTACTTACATAGTTTACAAAATATAATTTAAATAGATGGTATTCCTAGCATTCATGGCGATTGTGGTTTCACACATTTTTAAACCTGTTTTTCTTTTGGTGAGGTTTTTAATTTAAAGTAAAAGAAATCTGTGTAAGAAGGGAGAAAAAAGTATAGCTCCTTAAGAAGGAGAAAAAGCACATGAGCAACCAAAAAGCTGCTTCCAACTTCCCTATAATTATATAATAGAGCATGCAATTCATGGTCCAAGCCACACCCAAATCTTCAAGTCTCTGCTTATCAAAGTAAATTAGTCAATTATAATCAACATTTCCTTTTGTTTGCTTACTTTGTTTGAAAGTGGAGATGAAAATGATGTCTGCGTTGGTTTTTGGGTTAATGGTTATAGTTGTCAACCAAGCAAGTCCTGCATATGGCCATATCACATGCCGACAGGCCTTGATGGATTTGAAGCCCTGTGAGGCATACGTGAAGGGGTCCGGCCCTGGGACTCCTCCGATTAGTTGCTGCCATGGTTTGAAAACTGTTTTAACTGCGGCTAACACCAGTGAATCTCAGATTAAACTCTCTAAATGCTTCAAGAAAGCAATTGCTGGAATGCAACTCAGACTTGACAGAATCATGCAGCTTCCTCATTTATGCCATGTATCCCCTCCCGTTACTCTCGACCCCAAAATTGATTCCGAATCGTAAGCACTCTCTTTCTCACTCATTTATTGTTTAAGCTATAATCCACACTTCAAAAAAGTCATCTTGCACCGTTCATGGTGAAAAAGAACACAATGACTACTTTAAAGTGATAACAACACTTTCTTAGGATTTTTGTTCATAATTTGACATTGGTTAATGTGTTTTTAATCACTATTGTGACGTGCAGAATTCCTCAAGTCTGAAGGGCGTGCACGCGAAACCACAGATGTTATAAATAAGACTTGGAGAAGGATTAGCTAAACCACAGATGTTTTGTGATGTGTTTTTAATAAGTGGTAGATTACTATTTGTGCATCCAAAATATGCATTATAAAGCACTTGTGGGGAAATAGAATGCTATCTTTCTCTAATTTCCTTTCTTATTTCTTCGTTTTCCTAAATCTATGCTCCAACTCATTAACAATTAAGCTTTGCGGGTATAAAATTTAACATGCTTTCCCAGAAACACGATGACTTCCTAACAACAAAATTACCCACCAAGACTTGAAAGAATTCCCAACTTCACCACCAAGCCTTTTAACAAATTGCTCCACATTATAAGTTTGGAGAACAATACTCACAGATTATTAGTTCAATGACTAAAGCTCCAATTGGAACAAAGTTTAAGGACCATTGCTCCAATTTTTTTTATATGGAATCGTTCATGCTCAAAACAGGGAGGTGAACAAAAACTTGTATGGTTTACCCTTGGCGGGTATGGGATATAAAGCTAAACTACGGATACAAGTATTTAAGTGGTTCATCCTTAAAAATGGGCTATGTCTCCTATAGTGGTTTGATATATATGTGATGTGGATTACAAGAGAGCTCTATAATAGTGTAATATAATTTTCTTTTCGTGAATCCGACAACTTATAAGTGGTGTTCTGCCTCTTTATATAGGCTTATACGAGCCTCAAAAGTCCTGGGCTCTTAATTCTCTCATTGCCCTAGACACGACCTATAAGCTATTCCTCTATTATTCACTCCATATGTGGAGAAGACGTGGTATTCGCTTAGAGTTACTTGCACAGTTTCTCGGGTCGACGCGTATCTAGCGTCCTGCTCATTCAAAAGTGGTTGGAAAGCACTTTAGCCGAGCGCTAGGCCTTTCTTCATAAACTTCTTTGGCCGTTGATGGCCAACGCGTGGCTAGGAGTTGATGTCTAGGCAAACCTGTCTTTGGAGCTCCATGCCAAAAAGTTGTCAAGCCTACCACCTAGCTCAAGCAATCAGAAAGTACTTTAAGTTTTGCACTTGTCTCTTATTGTCAGTGGACAATCTTGGGTTGTGGGATGTCGTCTTTCGTTCTTGTGGTGGTGCTTTGTCATCTAGATTCCTTGAGCTGGCTTGCAAATCTAACATATTGACCTTCTCGTCCTTCAGTGGGCTCTCTTCAAACCCATTTTATTAGGCCCAACCAACAACTATATTCTAAAACGATTATGCACTAACATAAATATTAACTTTCTTCATGGTACATATTTGGCACATTGGTCAAATTTTGAAGGCCAACATCATCCAATAAATGTCATTCACGCATTTGACTTGAGTGTCATCAAACATACACGTGATGAGGCGTGTGTATGAAAGTTTTGTCTTACATCGTAAACTAAGTTTTGAAACTTTATAGAGCTTATAAAGAGTTGGGTTGGAAAAAAGTTGAGTTTCCACCATAAAACCAATTAGTAATGTGGGAAGTAGTCAACCTCTTATAAGCCTTTGCAAAGTTTCTTTTTTTTACCAATATAGGACTCTTTTACCTTCACATCCTCACAAGGCCACCAGCCACTCCCCGTATTGTGACACTCCTAATAATGATATTCAATGTCAGTGTAATAATCTTAAGTTATTGATATATAGTATCTGTCATAACTCATAAACTTGACCTGCATAGTACGTAATGTGAGTTGGTGTTAGCCCAGTGTTTCTAAGGAGGAAGACAAACGAACCCGGGATTGTTCAAGTTGGTCTTTCTTCTTTGTTAGCTGGAAAATCAAAGTTTCACCAATTTTTTGCTGCCTAATTACATCCTGAAATATTAAGTACGAATTGATAGTAGTGATTAAATGTTATTTTCTCTGGCTGAGAATTGGATTCAAATATTAGACATGCCTTGGGTGTAGCTTTTGTTTTGTACTGATCGAACACAATGCATGCACTGGTTCCAATACTGAAACACGTTGTTTTTGCGCAAACAAACACAAGAAATTCACCACGCTTTCCTACAAACAGTTGAAGACTAGACCTGCGTTTTAATCCTGAACGGCTTAATTTCAAGCCTGTTAGTTTTGAATTTTAATGGAATACAAGCATGCTTTCAGCAATGTTGAGGTTTGTATTTATTTCTGGCTTATAACTCTAAAGGCGTTTTATACCAGCATAGAAAACGTTTCTTCTCCATATATGTAAAAACCAGCTATATAGATACATAACCCTCTGAACTCCCAACTGGAAAACTAGCTGTTGTTTTGTTTATATGCAGAAATTGTCGGAAATGCCCCCCTAAATCAAACTCCACAATCTACATGAATAATCTTTTGAACCCAAAAATAAACTTAACAAGATAAAAGAATTAAATTATAATTATCCATCAAGATACGAATTTTGCTAGATTTTGGTCATTGTGTAGATTTTTAATATTAATTGTTTGTTCAACTTTTATCTGCTTTAGTATTGCCTATTTCTTATTGTTTTACACAAGTTATATTTAGGGTCGAGGCTTCAAATTGAAGAAAAAATGCTCTTAATCAACTGGCGCCTATGGTTTTACATAGTTTTAAACCTGTATTTCTTTTGGTCTGACATGGTTTACACTTTTAAGTTAAAATTAGCTGTTTAGAAAAAAATTCTCTTAAAAAGGAGAAATTTTTTTGACTGCACCTCTACGCATTAAATGAGCTACCAAAAAGCAGCCCGCGACTCCACTATAAATAGAGCATGCAGTTCATACTCCAAGCCACACCCAAAGCTTCAAGTCTTTTGCATATCCAAGCAAATTATAATCAATATTTGCCTTATTTTTGTGTTCCAAAAGAAAATGGAGATGAAATTGGTGATCCTTATCGGGCTGATGGTTATGGTTCTGAACCATGCAAGTCCTGCAAATGGCGATATCACATGCCAAGAGGCCTTGATGGATTTGATGCCATGTAAGGCATACTTGACGGGGTCCGGCCCCGGGACTCCTCCGATTACTTGTTGCATTGGTGTGAAAACCGTTTATGATGCGGCTACCACCAGAGAGTGTCGGAGGAACCTCTGTGAATGCTTCAAGAAAGCAGCTGCTGGCATTCCGATCAACCCTGACAGACTCAGGCAGCTTCCTGACTCCTGCCATGTGTCCCTTCCCGTTCCTCTCGACCCCAAAATAGACTGCAAAGCGTAAGCACTCTCTCAATTTTTAATTTTTAATTTTTTTATATGAGCTGTTATTAACACTAAAAAAATCATCTTGCACTCGTCCTTTGACCGAAGAAATAATGAAAATGTGCATGATGACTGTTTTCAAGTGCTGGCTAACAACGATATTCTAGATTTTTTGTTCATACATTGATATGGGCTAATGTGTTTAATTACTATTCTGATGTGCAGAATTCCTCAAGTCTGAAGGGTATGCGTGCATTGCATGATGAGATAAATAAGACTTAGGAGAAGGATCAGCACAGATGTTTTGTGATGTACAAATAATTAATTAGTGTTTGATTACCTTTCGTACATCCAAAATATGTATTAAAAAGAAATTATGCAAATGGAATTCTACCCTTCTCCGAATTTCCTTTTCGTCTCCAATTACAATAATTAACAATTAATCTTTAAGGCTATAAAATTTGGCCATAAAATTTTGGAACCAATACTTAGTAAAACATGCAAGTAAATTCTAAAAAATCACATAACTAGTGTTTCTTGCACATAACACTTTAAGTGCTTTTAGAATAAAATAACATTTTCTAAAAGTGTTTTCGGTAATTTTAAAAGCACTTTTAAACGAGCCTTATTTGAAATTTCTAACAATAAAACTACCCACCAAGCATTTAATAAAATCTCATCTCCACCAGCAACACAAGGTGAACTGATGTGTTTAGGCTTATTCCGGTAGCAAACAGCGCAAATGTTGATTGATTGAATCCTAATTTCAAAATATATAATGACCTCAAATCAAAATCTATCGATATCATTTTCCATAGAAAAAGTTCAGTGACCCATATAACTACATTGTTTTGGTACCATCCTCAATGGCAATGGGTGCATCAAACACCCAGCGTCTTGTTCAGCAGCCATAGCAGAAGAGCCAGTTGAATTGCAAAAATGGAGTGAAGCCACATTCGATCCACCGTGAATCCGAAAACTGTTATCCCTGCTCTATTGTTCTCCAAATATGTCACTGCAAAAAACAGACCACAAGTTAATGGCTACAAACTCAAATGGTAAAAATAATTTTATAAAGTGATCTGTTACTACTAACCTAGAGACTGTCTTTTCTGGAACGAGATTGTTTGACTGTAAATTGGTACTAACTTCGTGTTGTCCAAATCGTCATCTTCTACACCTTCTTCATCTTCCGATTCCATGTCGACACCAAAAGGAAACGCCGGAGTTGAAGAAATCGGAGCCATAGGAGTCTCAGTTTCTGTGTAATCAAAAGAGTGTAATGTGGCGCACACATGCCACTTTGTAGCAAGGCCTGTAATTGACTGTGCCTTGTGTGTTATTTTGGTTGCACTTCTCAAGCAAATGAAAAGGCTAGTCACTAGGCTAATGGAACATAACTGCACAAAATAAAAAGAGTTGACGGGTTAGAATTTGGACAGGTTCAGAGTTCAATTCTTTCCAATGTAACAAATAGAGTTGAATTGAAAATTACCGCGAGCTCCCCGGCCTTGTAGATGTTGACATGAGCACTAGACCTTGTTACCAACACCAGAGAAGTAAGCTGACTTGCTGTAACCATGATTAGAGAAAACAATATGAATATGCGAAACCGATGGCTCATTGACCGGAGGTTCCGTCTGATCTTGAGGTGTTCCATCAAGATCAACTCGACCTCGGTCTCCTCTTGGAAAACTTGTGCAAAATTTTGTAGTCTAAGTATTTGAAGATGGCAAACGAGCCGGAACAGAACACAAACGAGGAAGAAAATCGTGGTTCGATAAAGCCATGAAATCAGCTCCAACGTGCACAAAATGCTGTTGCTCAAATAGATGTTGCCGTAGTACGGCAATTCGCTTGCTCCCGAGACGTACCACCATATTTTGTAGACACACTCTAATACAAAACAGGGGATGACGATCAAGCAAAGGAGCTTCATCGAATTCTGCAATACCAAGTTCGAGATTAGAGATCAAAGTTTCAATAACTTTAGCTGGAGCGAGATTCATATCGACGCAATATTGATAACTATAAATCTAAGTATCTACTATCAATAAAAAATCACAATGTTAGGGGTGATCTCAAGCTAACAAGGCTCCTCGCTTTGCGAGAGTCAGGAATAACGTCTATACATACATGTTAAATTGTGATTTACCTGGAACTGTTGTTTATATCCATGGCGAACTTTCTCGCTTGATTCATATAACCTGTCAAGGAAGAGAAACTTTCTTAAACCGTATCTGTGAGTCCAGATAGAGAGGCTGACGAATGCGAGCACCGAGAACAAGGAAAGCGAAAGTTGGGAGACAACATGGTAAGGGCGGCTGTGATTGGCATCGCAGTCCGAGCAGGCGAGGAGAAAGTGAGACACGAGTGGTACACCAATGGCTAAGACGAAGAAGACGGACCATGAAAGTCCGGTCCTCCATATGCTGGACTGATCCACGAACACCCATTTGAGGCATACTCCGAAGCTCTTGAATTCACTTCCTTCGCGGCCAAAGTAGTCTGAGCTATTGGCTCTTTGTTTTGCGATCATTTGTTCATCCATGGTTTTGGAAGTCAAAAGCAGAAACAGAGGAAAACGTAAAAGCAAGACCCTAAATAAGTTCAAAACTCAAGTTAGGACAATTGGTCAGGTTAGAACTCGGACCTAAATAAGTCTGTCTAATTTTATCGAGTTGAATTTCTCGCATACTAAAGTAGTTCAGATTATTGTTTTACTCGATTCGGACCGATAATTTTAAACTAAATAATTTAACTTAAAAATTGTCAGATCTACTTGAATCAAGGTGCACAAGACAAGTGTTTAACAACTTTGATTAAGATAATGTTTAATGTTCTTAATCATGAGATCATGATGCACCACGTTACAGTATGAATAATTTGGGCAACCCATTTTTTTACGTCTTTTTGGGGTTTTGGTTGATTGAATTAGGAGCATCTGTACACGTGTAAAAGGAGGTGAGGACCATAAGGTTTAAAGAAAGCTACCATTTAGAATTTCAGATTGATCCATAATTTGCATTGCCATTTTGCAGTGGACATCTCTCTATTAGTTATTTACAATAAGGTAAGAGAACACGAAAGGTCACGAGTTCGAATCATAGAAATAACTTTTTTGCAAAGTAAGCATAAAACTGCGTATTTAGGATAAACGTTCTTCCCTACCCTCGCAAAGCGAAAAACCTTATTGACTTTGGATAGCTCAAGGTAAGAAAACATGAGAGGAAGCGCCATTTTCCTAATACTTGTGACCGACATTCTGTACTCGGGAAAAACCACTCTAACCAAAAACATTGCTAACACTAACGCACTTGCATGTGCTTGTTCAAAGAACACAATTTTTTTTTTTAATATGATTTTATCGCCGCATGAATTTTTATATAAGATTATCGCCGTGCTTCTGATAAAAGCGATTACAAAACTTAATTAAGCTTTTTCAAGGGGGAATTTTAGTAAACGACCGACCATAACATGCAAGAGCTGCTATATTTTTAATGGGGTGTGTTATCTACACACCCCATTTTACTTCTCACACACCCCTTATTAGTTTATGTCATTTGATATTCTTCAATTCATTCGATCCGATGATAGAAAATTAAAAAATTATGTAAGAAGTAAAAAATGATGTGTAGATCGCACACCCTATTTTCAATAAGTAGTTATGTGTACACCCAATTTTATCTTTGGACACACAATTTATTTTCACACATTTCTTTTGAACATCCAAAATAATTTACTAAACTTCTAAATATACTATTCTTTTACTTTTTTATGAATTTATTTTTTACAGGCCATCCATTTTTTATTTTCTTTGGACGCCCATATTCCTTGTATTAATTATGAAGGCTTTCTCTTTGATTTTACTATAAAATTCAACAGTCACGAAGTTCTTCAGTCGATTGGTTACATAAAGAAGTTAGCAACACACTCAACGCAACATCAACAAATTTTACTTCTCGGCCGAGCTCGGCCAACGAGTTGACACGCCTCGTATTCAATCGAATCATGTAGTTAGCTTATTAGTTACTCAGCATGTGCGCCACGTAAGCTTTGTAATTTTTAGAGTAACAATGTCCAAGGAAAATAATTGTTTATCTTAAGAAATCATTAATTACCTTGTGGTCATTTTATATACTGGTATACAATTTTTTTTTAAATAAAGTTATGAATGCCTAGAAACAAAATTTAAGTGTACAAAGAACCACTAATTTTCAATTCATAGTGAAGAAGCCCAATTCAAGCCCAAGGGTGATCAAAGCAAGAAAGACCAAAAGCCCAACAGTCCAGTAGCAACTGGTGATAAAAGCAGCCACGTCCACGAAAAAATGAATACAAAATTCAAGTGTAGACAAACGTTTGTCATTGTGTCGTGTTTCTAGAAAGCACCAAGTAAAAATGCAGTCGGCCATGAAGAAGAATCTTCGCCGAATCATTTTGCTAAGACTTCTAGGATTAAATGATCTTATTCGTTTATCGTATGTTGTATGTTCAAATCAACAATAGTTGCATGCTGCCCTCCCCACATTTCCTACAACACGACACAATATTTGATGCTATTTTTCACACTCCCTCTCCCTCCCTTTGGCGGTTGACTATTTCCCATCACACCAACTGACGAATCGAAAAACCAAATTCCAATTTTGATTTCCACTTCTTTTGGGGGTTTGAATTCTCTGCAAAATTCGTCGAGAATGGTGGCGGCGACTCTGTATTCGACGGTGTTTGCATTCTCCGCCTCCCGCCCTTCTTCTTCTCTCGGAGCAAGTAGGAGCTTGAAGAATTCAGCCTTTTCATCCCGGAATCGTTTTCCTCACAATCCCATTTCAGCTCGTCCGTCGATTTCCAGGTATATCTGTTTTCCACCGCTTTATGGGTTTAAAAAAATTGAATCCTTAATGTTGCCAACTTGCCATTTGCGAGAAAACCTTAAATTTTGGTGTTTGTGCTTTATGGGTTATTTTTGTAATCGGATTCTGAATTCAAATTTGTGGACTTTTTAATAATTTGATAAATAAAATTTGTAATTTGGTATTGAAATTCGTATAGAGTTCGAGCAACTATTCTGCAAGAAGATGAAGAGAAAGTGGTAGTGGAGGAGTCCTTTGAGTTCAAGGCTTCAACCTTCGATGAATTGAAAGCAAGCAGTGAGAATCCCCTAGAGAATTCGTCTTCAAGTGCTTTTGAGAGCTGGGTTATCAAGTGTGAACAAACCTTCAACATCTTCCTTACGGTAAATCATAACTCTTGTTAAATTAATCGCTTTACTGTGCTTGCCTAGCTCCAAGTGTCGATTTTTCGAAGAAATGTTATATCATTTGGTAGCTTTTTTTATTCATTCAGCGCACCTACCGAATGTGAAACACAGATTGCAGTTTGTACCTTCTGTTGAATATTCAGGATGATCCTAGCACTTTAGTATTAAGATGTCGTCCTAGTTGATTTATTATACGCTTGATTTGATATCACTTTTGGGAAGTTTAGGAGCTTTTGTCTTTGGCGGTTGTTATTGATGTTAGATTTTAATTCAGTTCTACTATTCATTCCAGGATACAGTGATAAAGGTACTTGATACTCTGTACCGGGACCGAGATTATGCAAGGTTCTTCGTACTGGAAACTATTGCAAGGGTTCCTTACTTCGGTGAGTGCTACTACGCCAATTTTAGTAAATATTGCAAGGGTTCCGTACTTCGTATTTATAAAAATATGCAAAGAAATTCCTTTTCAAGCAAGATGAATTTAAGCATTCAAATGATTGAGGACAACTCACATTTGAAGGCAGTGCATATTTATTGTTACGTTAGTCAAGAAAATGTACAGCCAAATCATGCATGCCCTCACATACTTCAAAATTTGACCGTATCATCTATTATAATTATGATTTGGTCTGGTATATGGAGTGCCTTCGTATCATCATCTTCTGGAGGTCAAGATGATAATGATTGATTTCATGGAAGGGTGTGCCATTACATTCCTTTTAATTTTCTCTCAAATTGTGCATTTTACCCGTTTAGGAATATGTTAATCCATTTTAATGACCTTTGTGGATCAGTGCGTTCTTCAGTAGTTGTGTTCCTAATATCTACTCTGGTTTCTAGTTGCGAGTTTTAAGTCTGTGTCTTTGTGGTAAATCTTTGGCAGCCTTTATGTCTGTTCTGCACATGTATGAGAGTTTTGGCTGGTGGAGAAGAGCAGATTATCTGAAGGTGCATTTTGCTGAGAGCTGGAATGAGATGCACCATTTGCTTATCATGGAAGTAAGGATCTTCTTTGTGTAATAACATAATATTATTTAATATCTACATGTTTTGCTTGATATAATTAATAGAATATGGATCTAATTGCAGGAATTGGGGGGAAATGCTTGGTGGTTTGACCGCTTTCTTGCTCAGCACATTGCAGTCTTCTATTATTTTATGACGGCCTTTATGTATTTAATAAGCCCAAGGATGGCATGTAAGTATGAGCATCTAGTTTTTAATGTACTATAATTCTTCTGCTTTTGTTGCCTCACTTGCATCCGAGCGTTGTGTTGGTGCATTATCCTTATTGGTTGCAAACTTACAAGAACTTCCTCTCCATCTAAACCAAATGATTACAGAGTATATGGCTGACTTCGTTAAAAGATTACATTCTAATCTCTACTTTCCGAATCCCTTGTTGCACTGAGTAGTCTTCTATTGATTGCATTTTTGTGTTCATCTTCCTTATGTGACTGAATCGAAGGGCATTGTAGAATAGGTAACCAGAAAATTAGCCAGCCTAGCGTTTATGTTAAAATGCATTTTCATGTATTTTGTTTGATCACTATTGCAGATCACTTCTCTGAATGTGTAGAGAGCCATGCATTTTCAACCTACGACAAGTTTATCAAGGCCCGAGGAGGTACGATTTAGAGTTTTTCAGGACTTGATGCCTTAAGACCAAGTAGGTTGAATCACAAAAAAGGTGTTTGTTGGATCACATCGAATATTCTAAGCATGTAACGTCCAAGTGATGATCTTAATCAATCAGTTGTAAAATGCACTGTCTTACACTGACCTCGAATACAAATTCACTTAACCTGATGTGGTATTTTCTTCTGTTGTAGAGGATTTGAAAAAGATGCCTGCTCCTGAGGTTGCTGTGAAATACTACACTAGCGGTGACATGTACTTATTTGGTAAGTTTTGTCTGTTTTTCAGTCTTTGTTTGTATCCTGAAAGGCAACAACGAAGACTTAACATTCCCCCCAAATTTTATGCAGATGAATTTCAAACTTCAAGACCTCCCAATTCTCGAAGGCCAAAAATAGGCAAGTCTTCAGATTCTGATTTTCTAATGTCAGTTCATACATCGACATGCCTATGAGTTTGCTCAATTTTAGACTTTGTTTTAGAATCCTGTTGAAACTATGACGTCTCATTTCCGCTATATAAATAGTTGGGACGGGACCAGTCTCAGGAACCTAAAATAGTCTTGCACAGCTTTGTACCAACATAAGCGGGAATAAGTTCAGAATGATGGTATGACCTAATTTGCATTGTGTTTTTGACAAATGTTCCATTTTCAGAGAATTTGTACGACACATTTCTGAACATAAGAGATGATGAAGCTGAACACTGTAAGACAATGAAGGCCTGCCAGACTCATGGGAACCTCTCGTCTCCTCACGCACGCACGGAAGACTCCTTAGACGATGACTCTACCTGCGTCGTTCCTCAAACAGATTGTGAAGGTATTGCAGATTGCATAAAGAAATCCGTCACAACAACGCCAGCAAAGTGATGATTACTCGATACAAGAGGAGAAAACAGGAAAATTAGGTACAATTAGTGAATGGTAAAAGAAATTTGTATACAGAAGAATGATATAGTATAGATCTAAATTACAAAAGAAGTATAAGACGAAGACATGGATGTGGTGTTCTTTCCCATTTCTTTGACGTTTTTGCCGGGGCTTTCGGTTTTAATGTACAACACGCTCATGTAGGAAACACTTCGGAGATTAGAGTGTTGACTAAAAATCCAGTTCTTCCTAGTTACTTCTTAAAAAAAAAAAACACTAAAAAATTACTTTTACGACTCAGAAGCATGTCCTAAAACGCTTTTAGCTATTTCAAAAGTAATCCGAGGACGTGTCTAATATCATTAACATGTGGTAACCCAAACCCAGCATCTTCTTTTTAGGAAAACTAATGAAAATAACTTGAAAATTTTGAGTTTTAATTAAAATGACAAAAATGTGTTGTAAGTAAATAGTATCAGAAGTGGCATTTTAAAATAAAAATATCATTTTCGTTAAAAATAAACAGTCTTCAAATAGAAGTGTTTCGTTAAAACTTCTATTCTTGTTTCGGTGCATCCTTCAACTAGGTTGCGTTGGATTGTCAAACCGCCTGGGTCCGGCTGCATTTAAAACCAGAGAAAATATCTAACAGCAGCATCATCATCCCATCACTAGCAGCGAACTCTGGTCCACATCCATGGGCCATTTTTGCCAAGAAAACAAATCGAACCGTGGAACTGTCTTCTTGATTGATGACCAAACCGACTTGCACTATAGCCTATAGGCTATCCTATTCTCTCATCATTCAATATTATCGCTATTTATCTACTTAGAACAGCGTATTAAAATTATTCTGATTCTCGTTTTGTTATGTTAATTACATATGTATTAAAAATCTAGTTGTTGAAGGGGTTAGAAAATAGAGCAAACATACGCCTACTTTACAGGTTTATCGTTTACCATAAATTAAAACTCTTTATTTAGTAAAGTGATAATTTTAACGAGTTAGTTAATTGTTAGAAGGAAAAAATTGGTGAAAATCCACGAATTAACCTGCATAAAGAACACGCAAATTCATTCTATTAATTTTGACACAAACGATACTACTTAAATTGATTTAAACTATAAAAATTAGTGGTTCGAACTTGGTGGTACCAGGGAGAAAAATAGATGTAAAACTTCACTGTCCTTTCTTCTTGACCTTTTCTTTCTCTTTGAATGAGAGATTTTTCAGTATGTAAAATACGGTCCGATACACTAAATACAATAATACAATTGATCAGATACTTGAAATTTTTTTAACAATTATATTTTAACACTTGTATACTAAATTGTGTTCTCGGCACATTGAAAACTTTATCCGTTCGGTGGACGATTCCATTTTATTAATAAGTAGTAGTTAGTTTCTGATACACTAGCTTTTAAATTAGTACATCGTGTTCAATTTTCGATCGTCCCTTCCAAATTAAGAAAAATAAAATAAAATAAAACAAAAAATAATTACCCGCCTAACGTGCGCAGTTATCGCCCTCAGAAACTCTTCAAGTCAAATGGTCTACTCACGCACGCTTCGCCCAGACGAGACACACAGTCTTCAATTCTCTCTCTCCTCTTTCTCTCACTACAGAGTCTTAAATTCTATTTCAGTCCCTACAATGGGAGAGAGCTCAATGGGTGGTGCGCTGGTCCCCACCGTGAAATCCGAACACTTCACGGACTCCGCCGCCGAAACGGCGCCGTTTGACGACGAGCCGGACAAGGACATGACGTGTCCGATATGCATGCAGATCATCAGAGACGCCTTCCTCACCGCCTGCGGCCATAGTTTCTGCCACGTCTGCATTTCAACTCATCTCCGCATCAAGAGCGATTGCCCTTGCTGCGCTAGCTCCCTCACCCCGGCCAGCATTTTCCCCAATTTCTTGCTCGACAAGGTTCGTTCTTTTACCGCTTTTTTCAGCTTTGGATTTGGACGTGTTTTGGTGTTTGGTTGCCGAGAAAGTGCTCGAAAGTTTGTAGCTTTTCATTGGAATTTGCAGTTGCTGAAAAATGCTTTGGATTCTCGGATGGCGAAGAATGCATCTCCGTTTGAACTTCTTAGTCGGGAATTGAACAAGGTCAGTATCAGGGCCCATTTGAAAATGCTTTTCTAGAAAGCACTTCTACTCATAATTGCTTTTATTTCAACAAGAACGTCGAAATATTTAATAAATTGTAACTTTTTCAGTAAAATCTTATTAGAAACGTTTTGGTTATTCGAAAGCGCTTTTAGCTAAAAGCACTTCCAAGCCTTAGTCATGTTTGTCACAATTAATCGAAATTTTGTATCTTTATTGACTTAATCTTGCTTAATTAACTCAAGTGGTTTCGAAATTTTACTGCTACCAAGTTATTGTGTTCGAATCCCCTACCCCAATATCACTTGTATCGAAAAAGGGAAAGAAAAAAATGGTCGTATTTACTTGAATGACTTGTTCTTGGCAATCTTAGACAGGGCTGCGAGATGTCGATCAAAGAGCTGGACGGCCTTTTGTCCTTGCTTGAAGAGAAGAGGAGAAAAATGGAGCTACAAGAAGCCGAGAAAAGCATGGACATCATGCTTAGCTTCTTACATTGTCTGAGAAGGCAAAAGCTTCAAGAGCTCAATGAGGTTCCAATTATAATAGGTTTTTGGTTTTACTGTTTTAGTTTTCTAATTGTTTTGTTTTTGGCACGGGGATTGGTTATGTTGTTCTGTTTCCCTCTGCAGTTAGAGGCCGATCTCAGGTACATCGAGGAGGACATTACTGCCGTTGAGAGGCATAGACTAGAACTATGCAGCTGGGAACAGGAGAGGTCCGCAAAGCTGAGAATGCTTGTTCCCGGTGATCAGCATGGCAACGGCATTGCCTGCAGCACGCAATATGTGCAAGACCGGATGAGTTCTTTCAACCTGCAGAACAAGAGAGCTGATGTAAACGGGCAATCAAGCTCCAAGTTGCTCCAACTGAAGGATGCTTATGGAAGGTCTGAAATGCAGTGTGTTACAACACCAGGAGCACTATCACTAGCAAGAAAAAGGCGTGTCCATTCGCAGGTTAGTAATCTTGCAAAGTGACTTTTGTTCTGTTGTTGTCGGCTTAATTGATCCAAGGATTGTTTGCATGTTCTGGTTATGTTAAGGCTTTCTAAATATTGTACTTTTCCTTTTCCTTGCTATGCAACTTGCAACAGTTTAATGATCTACAAGAGTGCTACTTGCAAAAGCGACGAAATTGGAACAGACAGGAAGAGGACACAAACGCCATGGACATAGAAGGTTACAATCCAGGCCTTGAAGATTTTCAATCTGTGCTTGCAAGCTTTACACAATACAGGTATAAGCTTCTGAAGTATCATTTCAAACTTCTTTTAGGGAATCCTATCTTGGTATAGTCCCTCATACCTGTTTGGTTGCTTGAAACAGTCGATTGAGAGTCATTGCTGAACTTAGTCCCGGTGATCTTTTTCACTCTGCTAATATTGTGTCAAGGTGATTTTAAATACCGACTCTCATGCACCGTTTTTTGTAAATATTGGATGACTCCCTTTCATTAGGGGCTGCTAGCTTGTGACCTATCATGCCATTTGGTTACTACAACTTGCGAATTGTGTGTGAAAATTTCAATCAAATCTGTTGGCATTTGAGATTCCCATTATACTTGCTGCAGTATAGAATTTGATCGTGATGAAGAGCTCTTTGCTACTGCTGGAGTTTCACGGTGCATCAAGGTTTTTGAATTTTCCTCGGTAAGCATTGGACAGATACCTCGCAGCTGTAAAATGTCAGTAACTTTTAGTCTTTTATTAAACTGGATAATGTTCCAGGGCCAATGTTGAGTGATGACTCAATCTATTGCTTCCAAGTGCTGCTGATGAAATCTAGTTGATCTTTAATTAAAAGTAGTTTGTTATAGTTTAATATGCAAGGGTACCTTCCTTGATTTTTTTATTTTACTTTAAGATAACTATTGATTTTTCTCATAAGAAAATGCTTTCACTACAGTTTAGTGTATACTATATATATACTCGTCAACTTTTGCTACACTTTAGTTAATTGACTTGTTAAGAAGTTCTAATGTGATTACTTTCAGCTGGTTAACGAACCAACCGATATCCACTGTCCTATTGTGGAGATATCCTCACGATCCAAACTTAGTTGCTTGAGCTGGAATATGTACACTAAAAACCATATTGCTAGTAGCGACTACGAGGGGATAGTAACTGTTTGGGATGTAAATACTCGTCAGGTAGTGAAAGATTGTCATTAAAATATTTGCCAATCTACACACCTCTGCTGCCCCAGCCACATTTGTTCACATACTATATAACAAGGCTCTTCTCTTACCAGAGTATGATGGAATATGAGGAGCATGAAAAGCGAGCTTGGAGCGTTGATTTTTCATGCACCGATCCTTCAATGCTTGTGTCCGGAAGTGATGACTGCAAGGTATTCGAGATGGAGTAAAGTTCATTCTGGAAAATCCGTTAAGAATATGACATTTCAGTGCTCTTGCCAACCCCATATGAAATTCTCATGTGGCCCATATTAGATTGCTTATAAGCAGTCTCATCATGTGTTTTCAGGTCAAAATTTGGTGCACAAAGCAAGAAGCAAGTGTTCTTAACATCGACATGAAGGCAAATATATGTTCTGTCAAGTATAATCCTGGATCCAGCTTTTTCGTGGCAGTATGTTTCTGTTCTTCAGAATTCCAAATTTCTAACCTTCACCATATTTCGAGCATTTACAGTTGATTCCTTTTGTTTCATTCCATTCCATTGGTATTAAACAAAACTAGTATATATTGTCTTGCCCTAATCCACTTAGTAATTTTTCAGGTTGGCTCTGCTGACCATCACATTCATTATTATGACTTGAGAAACATCAGCCAACCACTGCACCTGTTCCGTGGCCATAGAAAAGCTGTTTCGTATGTAAAATTCTTGTCTAACAACGAACTTGCTTCTGCATCCACTGACAGCACACTGCGGTTGTGGGACGTAAAGGAAAACTTGCCTGTGAGTTATCTTCTTATGACACGTTAGATTTCTATACACATTATGATACTTTCATGAATTTAGAAACAAAGTCTAAGGTAATTTTGTTTTCACTTTGACAGTTGTGCATGTACAGAGGCCACATGAACGAGAAGAACTTTGTAGGTCTTGCGGTAAATAATGAATACATTGCTTGCGGCAGCGAGACAAATGAACTATTCGTATACCACAAGGTAAAGAAATTTACACGTGAACAAATTAAAACCCCACACACGATTAGTGCCATAGTTGTAAAGTAGTATTCCTGATGTTACTCTAGTAACACTACTTTGTGAGGCATCTTGTTATAAATTATACTTGGCACCAACATTAGTTAATTCAGTTTTGATGATTACTTGCAGGCTATCTCGAAACCTATGACTTGGCACAGATTTGGCTCTTCGGATTTAGGCGATAATGATGACTATCCAGGACCATACTTTATCAGTGCGGTATGTTGGAAGAAGGATAGCCCTATGATATTGACTGCAAACAGTCAAGGAACGATTAAAGTGCTCGTACTTGCAGCCTGAGTATCAGTAATCAAGTAAAGTTTTAAGGTATTTGATAACCCCGTCTTGAATCGCTACAATTCGTAAGAACATTGTATATCGATGCAGCTTACTACACATCAAGCTAGCTTTTCTGTTTTTAAGCACTGATGAAATCTTTTAGTTATGGTTTCACACTGAATATCAAAAAGTACAGATGGCTGTCTTCTTTATTACGTTTTACTCAAACTGTCACTGTGGAACACATCGTTCAGTTTCTTTTAAAAGTTTCTCCCTTTCAGAGCTCGTTTGGAAATGTTTTCAGACCGATGTTGTGTCAATGTGATTTGAACTGTACAGAAGCTTCTCAGTCCAGTTGGAAAGTACAGAAGCTAAAAAGAAGGATGCCCAATTGCCAATGAATGAGTAAGGTAGGAGGATGGAACGTGGTGTGGTACCCAACAAACAGTCCATGTGTCGAGCATAATTGCAACAAGATCAGCCCGTCTTTATCAGGAGAGCAACTTGCATCGATGGAGATATGTACCCTCATGTTTCTATGTCACTCATATTAGGTGGTGAGTATACATAGAGAGAGAGATAAATTTACACGTTACAAACAAGTACAAAACCCCTCGACAAGTGAACAAGGTGTACATAGAGAGAGAGAGATATTTACACGTTACAAACAAGTACAAAACCTCTCGACAAGTGACAAGGTGTAGTAGACCTCAAAGTGCCAAATGTGTCACCCGTCGAGCCGTTACGTACTTGTCAATAAACAGACTCCTTTCTAATGAAGAATTCTATAGTCCGACAATCTGACCGCATGGCTCATTAGGACATGCACAAAACACCTAGGTCTCCTGTATTGGAGAAAGACTTCTATAGCACAATTATTTCGTCACTATACTCATCGCATTCCATCAAAGTTGCTCTGCCTCTATTGGTTTATTAACCATCAACGACCCCTTACCTGTGGCCCCTTTTCATGTGAGCAAAAGCCGCATACAATCAGCCGTATGAAAGATTTTCTCCTCTCCAAATCTCCATCAAGTCAAGCCCAAATCACAAATAAATCCCTTATCCCAGTGGAGTCATCACCCGCCCACACGGTCACCCCAGTGCACATCTCATGCAAAATCCTCTTCCTCTTGCAAATCTCCGGCCAAGGTTTATAGGCCACATTTAACCTTAAAATTGACAAATATCCGTCACCAACCAAATAGCTAAAGAAAATTGTGCTAAAAGAATAAGCTAAATTTAGCCTCCGAATAGGCAACATGTAACTCTGAGGGCCTGAGGCAGACTACGTTGGATCGCAACAAGTAATAAAATATAAAATAAAATAAGAAATAAAAAAGTCTACACCAATCTTTAAAATATTAAACTTTGAAAAGATACAACACAGTTGTCACTCAGTACTACATTATGGTAATACTTCTCTTCACTTAGAAGTGAGAGATCTTACGTTCAAATTTCTTGGATAATGAATTCGATATCAAATTAGGCTATCTATTATGTGGTATAGCCAAATTTCCACTTAATTTAATATAAAAATATTAATGTACTCAAACACAGATAAAGGCTCCTGGGCTAGTTTTAGCCCTCCAACTGAATATGGCCTGATATTCCTCTCCCCTCTCTCTCTCTCTCTCTCTCCCTCCCTCCCTCCCCTATAAATACAGATCCTCCTCCCCAATGGATTCTCAGAATCCCTCTCTCTCTCTGATCATCCATATTAGAACACTCCAAAACCAATTAAAATGAATAAATAAATATTATCTCATTTTTTGCTTTCCCATTTTTTGGCGCGAAAAAATAGGTGGCAGCGATGAAAATAGAGAACGGAGAACGGAATATCAGCATGGCGTCTCCGGCGGAGAAGGCTGCGGCGATCGGAGACGAGAATGAGAGGGGCGGAGAGGCGTTCGTGCCCCCTCTGAACTTCGCCATGGTCGACAATGGCGTGTTTAGGTCCGGCTTTCCTCATTCCCCCAATTTCAGCTTCTTGAAATCCCTAGGCCTCCGTTCCGTCATGTGAGTCAAATTCCCGTAAACTTGTTTCTGTTGATCAATTTAGCTTCAAATTTGGTTTTAGTTTGATTGAATTTCGGTAATTTCAGATATTTGTGTCCGGAGCTGTATCCGGAGGAGAACAAAGAGTTTTTGAGAGCAAATGGGATTCGCCTTTTCCAGTTTGGGATCGATGGCTCTCAGGTTTCGTTTTCTTTTATCTTTATTTTGCAGATATTATATTAACATAATTACATTGTAATTTGTGTCTGGGCTTATGCTTGGATTGCTTGGAAGTTGGGATTAGAGAATATGATGACAGTAATGGCACTATACTCGTTTGTATTTTTCAAATTGGGATGTTCTCTTCTCTGATGATTCGATCAAGATTTTTAAAGTCCCGCGTCCGAAACTAGCTTATATTGCGTGGTTCCCTTGTATAAAGCCCCACACCCCCTAGTCTGTATGTACGTGCAGGTGGTTAAGTTAAGACAGTATCGTTGTTGATTAATATTAGGGCGTTGGTCATCTGTTGTACGAAGTGATCGTAGATAAGATTTGAAGCACTTGCACAAAAGCCTGAATTTATTTTTGTTGATGGTATCGGATAAAACCATCTCAGAGTGAAGATTTTCTGGTTTGAGTTCATAGAGTTTGGAAATAATTGTCACCATCGACCCACTTTTAGAAAGAGAGATGGCAAATTGCGTGGATCGATATCACTTCACTTCATTAGCTAGATTGCTAGTGTGATGAGGCATTTGGCCTTGCTGTGTCCCACTCCCACGATACCTCTGCTTTTCATGAGAGACTAGTCACTAACATGAAATGGGGTCGGCAAGTTGGCAGTGACCCAGACCTTTCACGCGTCGCTATGGCTTGCTTTGCATGAATACTATACTTGAACGGAACTGGAAGATAAAAGTGTGAAGCACCACTATATGCGTCCACACATATATTTTAGGTGATTGATTGGCTTCCACAACACCTGTGAATTGCATATATATTCTTACTTTATCTGCTTACTCTAAAAAAATACATGAAATCTAGGTGGTTAGACAAATATATTGACAACCCTACTCAGCATTTGGATTTGTATATATGGATTATTACTCTCTAGTGACGTATTTTCAATTTTGAAGCAGCCGTCCACCTTTAGCTTTATTGATTTACTTTACCTATTTCAGTGGCCTTGTGTTTTGTCAGCTGGCAATGAGTGTAGGTCCTCCTGGTGTTCCCTCTTAATAGGCTAATAGGAGGCCATTCTGGGTTTTCACCTTTTCATCGATTGGTTTTTACTTTTCCAGACACCGGTCTTCTGATTATTAAATCTTACTTTGATCATCTTACCGCGCCACACCTATTCGACGATGCATTACTGTTTCTCATGTTTGTAACTCAGGACTTTGTTTTGAGTAGTTATAAATGATATCAGTTGTTTGACGCATGTGCTGTGTAACATATTCTGTACAGGAACCTTACGTGAAAATCCCGGAGGACACAATTCGTGAAGCATTAAAAGTTGTCCTTGGTATCACTAAACCCCTTGAACTTAAAGCTTCTTATTTTTTAAGTTCTTAAGATTATGCCACAGCTTGTTTGTTTTACATTTAGCCAAAGTTCTAAAAGACTCTAGGCGCTAGTCGGGCAGCGGGCTGGGGCCTAGCGCCTAGGCAGATTTAAGTAGATATGTTATATTTTGTGTAAATAAGTATCTGTTTATACTTAAAATATATATAATTACATCACAAATTATCAAATAGAATGACATATATATTATGAAGTATTGAAACATAATGAAAACATGAGAAGACTAGCTATAATGTGCGTTCATTTAAGTATCTTACAATTTATTAAAAAATAAATAATGCAAAATGAAAGTTATTTATTTTCGGGAGTCGCAACCTAGGCGGATGTCTAGGTGGGTCTGGGCGGGTGCCTAGGCGGTCTAGGCGTCCTTTCTAAATTTTCAAACGCCCATTAATCGGGGCGATAGTTAACTACCTAGCGCCTAGGTGAGGATTTTTAAAACAGTGCATTTAGCTTACTGATTTGCTTGTCTGTGTATATGGCAGATGTAAGAAACCACCCGCTCCTGATTCATTGCAAGCGAGGGAAGGTAATCTATCATTTCCCATTTTTTGTGTTTTCTCAAACAATCTCGGGCTCCATCTTCCAACAATGTTGTTATTAATGTTGTGCAGCACCGGACGGGCTGCCTTGTGGGATGCTTAAGAAGATTGCAAAGATGGTGCCTGACCTCAATCTTTGACGAGTACCAGAGGTTTGCAGCTGCAAAAGCTCGAGTTTCGGATCAGAGGTTCATCGAAGTCTTTGATATTTCTAGGTTCGACAACTGTCCAACGTCGTTTTCGTCTTCTAAGAGGTAGGTAGCAGACTCCAAGTCCCTTGCATCTTTTGGGTGTTCGTGACTCGTCAGTTCGTTTTCATGCAATGCTGTACCCGCACGCATATTGTACATAAATACTAACTTTCAATTTTGAATTTTCAATCCTTATAATAATCCGTAGGTTCAATTTTTAGGTTAAGATTCGTCGTAATTTTGAGGTTCCGAATTCAATTTGCCGAATTAAGATCCTCTCCGAATCTCTATCCGGGGCCAAAAACTCAAGAAATTCAAGCCGTTTAAGAAAGAAATACGTTCTAAGGTTTGATTTTATGTGAGGTAAGCAAGAGCGGAATTTAAAAAATCGTTTTCATAGAGAAAATCAAATTGTTTCATCATATCACATACAAATCCATTAAATTATCCGTCTAATACAAATGATCGTTTTCCTTGAACTTAGATTTTCTGGGAAACATTGTTTTCCAGAAAATTCAAACGATTTAAAACAAGTTTGGAGTTCCCAATAAAATTTTTGAAATCCTAACAATAATTTAAAAAAAAATATTAAAATACTAATAACAATTTTCTTTTAAAAATATTTTTTGAAAATAAAAGTAAAAAAATTGAGAGTGCATCAGTGTGTAGAAAATCCACAGGGAGGCTAATTCTCCATAAGTCGGTTCAAAGTGAAGAAAATTTAATATTAAATTTTACGCATCATTTGCACTCTTCTCACCAACAATTTAAACTAATTAAAAACAAATTAATTAAAGTAATTTAAAATTTAGACGAGAAACAATCGAAACGCCAATTTATAAGATGACGAACGAAACGATGACTCGGCCTTTTCACTCTACCTCAGCTGCTCTTCTCAATCAAGAAACACACAAATCGTCCCTCAATTTTTTCTACAACAACCGAGGCTTTGAAATTCTACAAAATAATCAAAGAAAATGACATCCAGTTGCAACGACGAAGCACAAAACGCATACGACTGACAGAGAGAAAAAAAGGGAAGAAGAAGGAGGCGAGGAGCTCAAAATTTATCGATTTGGTGGCTGCGTATCGGGGATTTATATAGAGTCGCTCCAACCCTAGTACCTCCCTGTTAAATTACTACACTACCCTTTGTCGCGGGGATTTCGCTAATGGGCCCGCTACTTTCCACTGACGTCCAAGCCTGTAGATTCAATAGTGGGCCTGCAATGTCCAAATTGAAATGGTACCGATCGGCCGAATTAAGTAACTGCATTGTTGGTTTAAAACCGAACCGGCCCAACACTGTGTTTGATATGCCAAGTCCACCACAAGACGTAATTGGTGAATTTTACTGGTGGTTAGGTTTTCCTCTTGAGACTTTAAGGGGGCGTTTGTTGCGCCGGACTATCTCGGACTGGATTAGCTTCAAGGACTAAGCTGGACTGGCTTAGACTAGACTAAACTGGACTAACTTAGTGAAGCGTTTGGTGCAGTATTGGACTAAGAAGCTGGATAATAACAAATTCTAATATTATATTATTTAATATATAAATTATTAATATTTTATTATGATCTTATCTTTTTCTTCATCTTTTCCTACCATTTCTGTCCCACTCTTTTCCTCTTCTCTCATCGTCCCACCCTCTCCTTCTTTTTTTCCTCTTAGACCTCTCAATTCATGTCTCTTTCTCATTCCTGGTCAAACTCCTTATTGATTCCAGTGTCTATTTCTCTGTCCTCCCTCCCTCTCTAGCTATGTGTTGTTCGAATGGAACCTCACGGCTCCAATTTCCGACGAGTTGCAGGTTTCCCGATGTGTTTTCCAGCCAACCCTCGTTAAATTGGATGAAGTTAGCACCGCCAAAAAATTCATCACCATCCCTAGACCGAGATCTTAGCTTTGAATGCTCGAATCTGTCATGGATTTGAAGAAGCCCAAACAGGCCGAGACTTCCAAGCCATTTTCCGGCCACATTCGACCACATTTTGGCCTCTATTCAGGTAAAATCGTAATCTTGTCACTCCCAGCTTCAATTTGGTATATTTTATATGAACGTTGGTTGTGAAATGGATTTGAAATGGAGTCGGAAAGTTAATGATTGATCTAGGTGACCGGAGATGACGAGGAGTCTGTCGGGAGTGGTCGTTGAGCATGACGAGGTTTAGAAAGAGAGGATAGTCTTAGCTAGTCCCATGGTTATTGGGGGGTCTCGCTAAGACCTCTTAGTGAAGGGTTTTGTCCATGCTAGTCCCCTTTAGTCTCATTAATGTTAGTCCCAGCATGGAACAAACACAGTATTGGACTAATAGCTAGTCTAGTCTAGTCCAGTCCAACTTAGTAAGGGCAAACAAACGCCCCCTAATAGACTGGGCTCAGAGTTCAAACTATTCTCTCTCGCTTTATTTAGGCGAGCACTGTCCATTAAAAGTAAGATGCGTTGAACACAACTTTTAATGTGTCGAGGCAAGCACATGACGGATCATGACACCAACCTAAGGCAACTAAAGACTCAAAAGTAGTACGAGCACAATCATGTTTGAGTTGCAATTGGATCGAGTTTAAGATCCATAACAAATAGGTTGCCATAAACATAAGCACAACACAAAACACGATTAAATTGACAATTAAGAGTTTGAAATGCTTCTTACAAGTAATTTTCAATAATATGTATACAAAAAACGCTTTAAAGTTATTTTTTTAAAGCAAAACAAGCTCTAAAAAGTCCAAACCGATATTTGGAAATTGAATGAACCAGCCCTGTGAACAGCTTTAAACCAAAAGATAATCAAATCCTATATTTTACTTGATCTGACGAATGAATATTCCAGTAGGAGAGTCCGTCAACGATTCACGCACGTAAGAAAGATCGACGGTGAAAGTGAACTGAAGGGAAGGGCCCACATCAGATTAGATTAAACCCCGATTGGAAATAATTTGCAGATATCTCTAGGGTTTGAGCCACCCCAAGGGGCAAGAGTTGAGTTCGGTGTTGCTTCCAGGTACCTAGGGTTTTATCCTCCTCCTCCGTCGACTCGCTGAAACATTTCTCCGGTTGTAATTTCATCTAATCCAAAACCCCATCACTCGCAATCAAAACATTTGCGTCAAAGATTGATGCTTTTCGAGCTTGTTCATCGGTAAGTGCCCCCATTTCTCTCTATCCTTTTTCATTAAATTCTCGTCGAAAACAGTGAAAGCTTGCTGCTTTGATTCTTCATCCATCAATTTTGGATTAGATAGATACAATATTTTGTGTATATAAGTGGGAGAGTGTAATTTATAGGGGGTGGGAGAGAGGGAGAGGATTATATGGGGAAATCAGGTGGTAGGAAGAAGAAGGGAGCTTCGAACCAGGTCCCGACGGATGCGAATTCGACTCCGATTGTAAACGGTAGTGTTGATTTGGACAATTCGATCTTTTTGAAAAGAGCCCACGAGCTCAAAGAAGAAGGGAACAAGAGATTTCAGGGGAAGGACTATGTGGGTGCTCTGGACCAGTATGATAGTGCTCTTAAGCTCACTCCCAAGACCCACCCGGACCGGGCGGTTTTCCATAGCAATAAGGCGGCTTGTTTGATGCAAATGAAGCCAATAGATTATGAGACTGTCATTGCTGAGTGCACCCTGGCGCTCCAGGTGCAGCCCCGGTATGTCAGGGCTCTGCTTCGGAGGGCGAGGGCATTGGAGGCGATAGGGAAGTATGAAATGGCTATGCAGGATGTTCAGGTGTTATTGGTTGCTGACCCAACTCACAGGGATGCTTTGGAGATTGCCCAGCGGTTGAGGACAGCGCTTGGCGTGCGTCAGGAGGCTCAGCAGGACCTCCAGAGCCGCCCGTCACCTGCTGCCCTTGGGGCTTCTGCTGTTCGCGGTGCTCCAGTTGGTGGGTTGGGGCCTTGTTTACCAGCCCGGCCTGTTCCAAAGAAGGCAGCTGCTTCAGCTGGTGGTTCTGGTATATCCCCAAGTAATAGGACTGAGAAGCCTCAAACAAGTTTACCGGCTGAGAATGGACCTTTGAACAAAACCCAAATGCCAAAACTCACATTGAAGCCGTCAAATGGTCCTTCAAAATCTGCCAATCCAAGTAAGGGTAACCTGAAGGAGCCGTCATCTTCAGTTTCATTGCCAGAGGCTGCAACTCGTTGGAGACCATTGAAGCTTGTTTATGATCATGACATAAGGCTTGCCCAAATGCCTGTGAATTGTAATTTCAGAGTATTGAGGGAAATTGTGACGAAGCGCTTTCCATCATCAAAGTCAGTTTTGGTCAAGTATAAGGATAGTGATGGTGATCTGGTGACTATAACCTCTACTGCTGAACTTAGGTTGGCTGAGTCTTGTGTTGACAAGGTCATTTCAGAAGAGCCTGAAATAGATAAAGCTGATTCTATTGGGATGTTGAGATTGCATATCGTGGAAGTGACTCCTGAACAGGAACCGCCTTTATTGGAAGAAGAGGAGGAAAAACCTGTCGAAACCGAGGGGATCAAGGAAGATGAAAGTAACTCTAATTCTTCACTTGGTGAATCTGTTTTGGAGCCTGCTGATTATGAAACTGACAAGACAGAGAAAGAAGTTCCAAAGGAGAAACCAGGAGCTGCAGAAGATCCCGAGTGCAAGGAATTGGAGATGGATGATTGGTTGTTTGAGTTTTCTCAGCTTTTCCGCAGCCATGTTGGCATTGACCCAGACGCTCATATTGATTTGCATGAGCTTGGAATGGAGCTTTGTTCGGAGGCTCTTGAAGAGGCAGTTACTAGTGAAGAAGCTCAGAGTCTTTTTGACAAGGCTGCCTCAAAGTTCCAGGAGGTGGCGGCATTAGCTTTCTTTAATTGGGGAAATGTTTATATGTGTGCGGCAAGGAAGCGGATTCCCTTAGATGAGTCTGCCTGCAAGGATGTAGTGGCTACGCAGCTTCAAATGGCCTATGACTGGGTCAGGGAAAAATATTCCTTGGCCAGAGAGAAGTATGAAGAGGCACTTGTGATCAAGCCAGATTTTTACGAGGGGTTGCTGGCGCTGGGGCAGCAACAATTTGAAATGGCCAAACTTCATTGGTCATTTGCACTTGCTAGGAAAATAGATCTCGCGACCTGTGATTCTGCAGAAATGCTGACACTTTTTGACAGTGCGGAGGCGAAGATGAGAGTTGCAACTGAGATGTGGGAGAAGCTGGAGGAGCAGAGGGCAAAGGAACTGAAGGATCCAAGTGCAAGCAAGAGGGATGAGTTGATGAAAAAAAGGAAAAAACAAGGTACTGGGAATGAAGGTGATGCATCTGGTCAGGGTGAGATTTCAGCAGATGAAGCTGCAGAACAGGCAGCTGTTATGAGATCACAGATCCATCTCTTCTGGGGTAACATGCTTTTTGAGCGATCCCAGGTCGAATGCAAATTGGGGATGGATGGTTGGAAGAAAAACCTGGACGATGCTGTGGAGCGCTTTAAGCTTGCTGGAGCTTCTGAGGGTGACATCGCATTGGTTCTGAAGAATCATTTCTCCAACGTCGAAGTAGTGGAGGGGGATGAGAAAAAGGTTCAGATTCTAGGCAGTGACGTTTCTGTTGAAGCCAATAAAGATGATGAGATTCTTTCAGGGAAGTAAGATCATCTATTTTAGTGGTGGCTTCCATGAAAAGCTTCATTTTTTGCATGTTCATCATGAGAATAACCGGAGAGAAGAGGTGTAGGTTTTCTGTACTGAATGTTTGAATTCTGGAATGCTTTTTATTCAGTTTGAAAAGGTCGGGTGCCGGAATATGCAGCTGTGTACTCAAAAAGATTTTGGGCAATGTTCTTAACATTTTTCTCAATGATGATGAGTTGTTAGTGTCGATTTTATGTGCGTAGCGTCTGATTTTTTAGCATTGCTGCTCCGATTCAGTGCAGCGTGGTATGTAATTGCAATCTTTATATTTGATAAAGTGAACTTTTTTCGCAGTACTGATTAGTTTGAAGTCTCTACTTTATGTGCTCAAGGCCTGCGATTTGGCTTGCAGCTTCAGTTAAGTTGGATCTGATATATAGCTTGCTCCTCAGCTCCAATTCAGTGCAGTGTGATTTATGAATACAATCTCTGTTTTTATGATATGAATCTCAGAAGTTGTGAATGCACAATTTGATCTCTCCTTATCACTGTATCCGTGTTATCGCGCCACTATACCAATCACGTGATATTACTAATCTGTATAACATATTTAACGTAATGAAATTTTTGAAGAACATGGTGATGGGTCCCTCGAGTTTTCGGCATCTAATTATTTGTATTTGGAATCTAATCATTTGTATTTTATATAGATAGATTTCAACCACAAAAACAGTGGAGGTAAAAAATAAAAGAAAACAAAATAAACCCAAACTTTCTTCTCCCCAACTTTATTTGGCACAAACGCATAAAACCCAAGCACTAATTTTTTATTATATTTGTGTCATGTTCCATCGGACGGTTCTCAGAGCTCAGGTAGTTGCAACAGGGGTCGATTCCTTGGCCTTCATAGCTTCAAATCTTGGTTCCTTGGCTTGGAATTTCAGGCCAGAATACAGCTTCATGTAGTCATCAAACACAAACTTGGGATAAGTTGGGGCGTCCTCAGTTTTCTTCTCAAGCACTGCCGGTGCTGGGCTGATAAAGGCATCATCGCCTGGGTTGTAGAACGAGGCTATCGACATTCTGGTCCCGTCCGACTGAGCTATCACCCGGTGCATCACACTCTTGTACTTCCCATTGGTGATCACCTGCATCAAAATTAGTCTACGATTCAGTAAACTTGATAGCGAAAGTATTAGTTATATGTGCATGACGTCCACTCTTCATTATAAATTGGTCGAGCGTTGAAATGTATTGGTAACATGTCCGTAAGTTTTGTTGACGACAATGATATCAATACATATTGATGACGCATCGGACTTCCGTTCCATAAAAAATGGGTAGTCAGGTAACTGGCATACCTCAATCTGGTCACCTAAGTTTATGACAATGGAGTGGTGCATTGGGGGGACATCCACCCATTCACCATCCTTGAGAAGCTGGAGGCCGCTGACCTTGTCATCCTGGAAAAGCAGGATGATGCCACCGGCGTCGCTGTGGGCCCGGAGTCCCTTGATCAGGTCTGGCTTGGGGCATGGAGGGTAGTTGCTGACCTTGGTCCCAAAATTCGGACCCTTGGATCCATAGAAAACCTTCTTCAGATAACCCTTCTCGAGTCCAAGATTCTCACACAGCAAGTCCAAAAGCTTCTCAGCTAGCTTCTCCAGTTCCACTGCAAATTCTTTCATGGTCTTCCTGAAATATTGTTCAAAATATATACAAGAAAATCAACACGATAGTCTAATACAATTTAACCTACATGGAGGAGATTCGAACTTAATGCAACGAGGGGCCGCACGGGTGCTCTAGCCAACTTGACTAAGTCCAATTCTGTGGAAAATTAATTAAGCTTGTTGTGATTAGTGTGTGACCTGTAATCTTCCTCGAGATCAGGGACTTCGGAAATGTTTGAGGAAGGAAGGTGGCGCAAGAAGAAGGTGCTTTCCCAGTCCAAGTCGTGGATTTCGGACTGGACAGCGTCGAGGCCTTTGGCTGCCACCATTTCCTTAAACCTTTGCTCCATGGTCTTCTTGTAGTGATCCTTGGTCATCTTCTCCACAGTGTCCAAAAGCTCAGTAGATATCCCATGGTTCACCAACTTCAGTTATTTATACACAAAAAAGAGTTAGAAACGCATAGAAATGTCATAATTCTACAGAAACTAACGCAGTACCATAAAACTGGGCAACTAGGGCGGCGCATTTGTTTTCCGACCCCCTTGCGCTTAGAGACAGATTTACTTTACAGATTTCCGCTCTAAGCACACGAGGGGCTGACATCTAGTTGGTGCCTCGAGGAGGGATAAAAATAAAAGATCTCACAGCTTGTTGGGTTACGTACCTCAAAGAAACCCCAGTTCTCACAAGCATCATTGATCTTCTCCAAGGTTGCTACTCTCTCTTCACCATTGACAAGGCTCAAGTCAACAACTGGGAAGGTCGCCATTTCTCTTTGGATTGCTTGGTTTTTATGCTCTGTGTGTAGCCTTTGTTTTTGTTGAGTGGAGTACCTATAGCTATGGTGCAATTTATAGGCTCTAAAGGAGTGGCAGATCCGTAAATAATTTGGATTTTTTTATATAATCTTTTATGTCGAATGTGATCTTTTAAAATTCAAATATTTATGGACGAATTAGAATTTAATCCAAATATATATATGGTAAAGTATAACAAGGGAAAAAAAAAAAAATACATCATGTCATTTTCGATTATAAGCATTTGTATTTACACATGATACATGTAAATTTTGTATAACAAAAATGTAAATGCACTGTCTAAATGCAAAACATGAGAATCCATGTACCAATTTCCAAATTTGGTAACTGTTGACACTAAGGGGGATATATTCAATTGGGATTTTGAGGGATTTTGATTCTTTTAATGAACCTAAGGGTATTCGATTAGGATTTTAAGTGATTATCTGAAATTGAAGGTGTATCAATTAGAATTTTAAGATAGTTTATTAAAATCCTTAGAAATCCGAGTGTATTCAATTAGGATTTTAAATAAGTTTATAACATTCCAAGTGTATTCAATTAGAAATTGATTTTAAAGAATTTGAGAAAGTTGAGGAATTAGAGGGAATTGGAGAGATTTTATAATGTATTTTAAGCATCCACAAATCTCACCTCTCCTCATGAGATTTCGAGGGAATTGAATCAAAATTTTATATGGAATCTCTACAAATCAATTAAACTCCATAAAAATTTATGGATTTATAAATCCATTAAAGTCTCTCAAATTCTCAATTGAATACACCCCCTAAAGCAAAATAATACACTATTAAAGAAGAATTTACAAGTACATATAAGTGTAAAAGGAAATGGAAAATTAGAAAATAAAATTAAGATTAGATATTGAAATAAAATAAATTTAAAAAGAACAGGACTCGAGGGAGTAAGTAAGCACGTCCTGATGGACGGACCCCTACCAATTTTTGTCCTGAGGCTGCGGCCAATGGCCATGGTCGATACGTTGTTGGATCATCGTTTCTTGTCTTTCTTTTTTTACATGATTACTAGCCTTCATGCACGCGAGTTTTTTTACATGTTTACTAGTTTTTATGCACGCACGATTGGCCATGGTCTATACATTGTTGGATCTTCTTTCTTTCTTGTCTTTCCTTTTTTACATGTTTACTAGTCTTCATACACACCAGGGGGGCCAGAAACCCCAACGGGAAACCTTTCACCGCGCCACACGATTCTTTCGCGAAGCGCTCTCTCAGACGTTTCCACTCCTGCCCCCGAAAGCAAAGAGGTTTCAATGAAGTTTTTTTACATGTTTACTAGTCTTCATGCACGCGCTCACGCGCGTGCAAAAAACATTTTTTGAATCACGGCATGTTACGCTCGACTTATATATTTTAAATGTATTTATGCGTAAATTGACAAAAAGAAAGTCAGATATTTAAAGTAAATGAATAATATTATATCATGCTAGAAGAAACATCTCATAAACCAATTAAAGTAGTTGAATTTACATAATTGAGCGCGTGCAAAAAACATTTTTTGAATCACGGCATGTTACGCTCGACTTATATATTTTAAATGTATTTATGCGTAAATTGACAAAAAGAAAGTCAGATATTTGAAGTAAATGAATAATATTATATCATGCTAGAAGAAACATCTCATAAACCAATTAAAGTAGTTGAATTCACATAATAAAATCGGTCTCTATAGAATTTACAATAAGAATAGAGAAAATAATATTTAATAAACAATTGATTAAATCACATTATTGCTAGCCCATTGTGAGACTAAGTCCACCTCCTCTCCCTTAGTGTAGATAATATCGTTTGTTAAAAAAAAAAATTCATTTGACAACTAATTTAATCACATTATTATCCATGTGCGAAAGGCCTTTTTTATAACCAACATTAGACGTATTTTAAGATGTTTTGAACGTGTTTAAAAATAGAGAAAATAATATTGAATGAACAACTGATTGAATCACATTATTGCTAGCCTATTATGAGGTTAAGTCCATCCCCTCTCCCTTTGTGTAGATAATATTATTTGTTAAAAAAAAAATTATTTGACAACTAATTTAATTACATTATTATCAACATGCGAAAGCCTTTTTTTTATAACCGGCATTACAAGTCTCTTAAGATGTTTTGAACGGCTTGGTGACACCAAAATTACTATTCACAACATATGATTGAATCACATTATTACTAGCCTATTGTAAGGTACTAATTTAAAAAAAAAAAAAAACATTACTAATTTATCACTGGCATTACGCGCCTCTTAAGATGTTTTGAACACAATATTCATGATTTTTCTTATTTTTTTATTATATTTTTCTTTCCCCTTCACGTGGCCACCATCAACTTTCACTCATCCTTCCATTTTTTATTCTTTTTTCTCTTCCCACTTATATTTATATTATATTTTATGATGATCAAATTACCCTTGCATTATTTGAGATATTATATTGAGCTATTTTTGGATTTTTTTGGTTGAGGGGCAATTTTGTCCTAATATTTTTGTCGAAGCCGTGACACTAAAATTGGTCTCCGGCTTTATATATAGAAGATAAGATTCTCTTCTTTCTAAATTATCTTTCTCTCATGTTTCCTTTTATTTAAAGGTCACAATCAAGTTTTATAGAGAGAAAGAAAAAGAGTATTGAGCAAGAAAGACAGGAGCGGAGGAGAAAAGTTTTACTCCATAACCATTTTTCCCAAGCATGCTATCTTTTAAAATTACTGTAATTTAGTTTATGGTAATAGTACTTCTTTTTTCAACATTGACAACGGTCATGAAATTCAACTTGAATTATTAAACAAGTTACCGCCGCCTAGGCCCCATCAAGGCGCTAGGCGGCTAGCCACCGGCCTGATTAATACA